CCAACCCTGGGGCACCCAGGCCGCGCACCTGTGGTCACGAAGGAGTAGCCACGCTCCGTGAGGATTTTCATCAGGTAGTCAGTGAGGTCGCGGCCGGCCAGGTCCAGACGCATGATGGCGTGAGGCAGGGCGTAGCCCTCATAGATGGGCACGTTGTGGGTGACACCGTCGCCAGAGTCCAGCACGATACCTGCACCGGGCAGGCAGCGTGAGGCAGGCCGGGACTCGAGGCTCAGGGTGGGGTATACAGTTACAGAGAGGGACACCACGCAGGGCACGCAGGGCTGAGTTGGGGGCGCAGGGCAGGGCCACAGGAAGGGCAAGGCTGGGACGGGGGTGGGGGGTGGGGGTGGGCGCGGGTCTCCCCTCCTCGCTCCTCCGCGGCCTGGTCGCGTAAGCGCACTCACCAGTGGTACGGCCAGAGGCGTAGAGGGACAGCACGGCCTGGATGGCCACGTACATGGCAGGCACATTGAAGGTCTCAAACATGATCTGGGTCATCTTCTCACGGTTGGCCTTAGGGTTCAGGGGGGCCTCAGTCAGCAGGGTCGGGTGCTCCTCGGGAGCCACGCGCAGCTCGTTGTAGAAGGTGTGGTGCCAGATCTTCTCCATGTCGTCCCAGTTGGTGATGATGCCATGCTCGATGGGGTACTTCAGGGTCAGGATACCTCTCTTGCTCTGGGCCTCGTCACCCACGTAGGAGTCCTTCTGACCCATACCCACCATGACGCCCTGCGAGCAGAGACAGGATGCACTGGTCACCACGGCTGCTGGCGACACGCGCCTGCGCTACCGGGAAACCGGCCCGGCTCCCACTACGGACGTCGATGCCTGACCTGGTGGCGGGGGCGACCCACGATGGAGGGGAACACAGCCCTAGGGGCATCATCACCCGCGAAGCCGGCTTTCACCAGGCCAGAGCCATTGTCGCACACAAGAGCGGTGGTCTCGTCTTCGTCACACATGGTATCTGGTTTCTGCAAGGACAGGGCCACAGCAGTGACAAAAAGCAGTCCACAAAGCCCTTCTGGCTGGCTGCCACAGGCCCTCCCTCCCCAGAGACCCAGGGAGACCTGCAGCTTGAGCCTCTTGCATCCTTGAGCAGAGGGTTACGGAGGACCTTCACTTAGCCCAGAGCTGTGCTGCTGGGGAGGGAAGCACAGAGTGGAGAGACCACCCTTCGAGTCCTCCAGCTTCCTACCGAGAGGACAGTACTCCCTAGAGGGCTCTGCCTTCACAACAAGCACCTGCTCACTAGCTAGTCTAGCCTCTGTCCTCTGCCCATGAGGCCTCATCTGTCAAGGAGGGATTAAGACCCTGTCTGCTCTCCTGGCCTGGGTGAGCACAAGGAGCTGCCCATGGATGGGTTGTGGGACACCCTGGACATTCAGACTCAGAAGGGACTCTTTGTCCTGTCTGTGATCCCAGAGAGGTGGCCCTTGCTGCCCTAGGCTGCAGTGGGGACAGAGCTGCCCTCAAGACTGAAGTCACACTGCATTTCTCAGCACCTCTCACATTCTGTTTCCCTGTGCACATCCTAAATGCCAGGTGAGCAGCCCAAATGGGCTGGGAGTCAGCCTGGAGATATTTCCAGAGCCCATGGTCTCCTCTTTGAAGCATCTGTGGAGGGGGGCAGCACGGGGCACAGCTGAGTTCTGCCCATGTCCCTGGGACCCCTCTGAGGGCCTTGCTCCCTGTGCCCTCCCCCCTCCACCCTACCTGGGTGGGTGGTTACACCTGCTGCTCTCTGGCTCGGCTGGTCGGCTGGTCGCTGCGGGAGGGTGGCTGTCCACTGTGGTGACCACTTGTTCCCAGCTCAGGTTTTATATAGCCCAAGGGCACTCCCTCCATGCCGCCCCGTAGGAATGTTGCTGCCCTTTAGAGCCATATTTGGGTGTCAGGCACAAGTCCCTTCCTTCAGTCGGTTCCTGGCCTGGGCCCCGCCTAGTCCCCTAGGCTGACCAAAGAAGGAGCGGCTGGCCCTAGCCCAGGTAACATGGACCAGGCCATATTTGGAGTGTCTCCCCGGCGAGCCTGCCCCTCCCGGGCATGGGGCAAGGTTCACCGTGTGTGCCCAGCTCCAGCTCAGAGCTGCACCTGTTGCAGAGGTCTCCCCGTCCCACCGATCCTGTGCACTCAGACACTTCAATAGTGCCTGACAATGGATGGGCTTCCCACAGTCACTCCATCTCTGAGGTCTTCCTCAGCCCCCACCCCACGTGCAGCTCCTGTGGGGATAGGTGGGCTGGGAAGGTGCAGAGGCAGTCACCAGGGTATTGGCAGGGCAGGGGGAAATGCTTGGCTCTTGAACCCCACTTCTCCCTCTCCATCCTAACACCCCAAGCCAGAGCTCTGACCCAAATTGGCCCCTCCCCCACCTCAGAGGCCACAGGCAGCCGGAGGGCATGCAGCTGTCGCTGGGCAGACAACTGGTACGGAGGGTAGAGGAAGAGGCACAGGGGTTCCACCATAGGAGGTGGGGGCTGTGACCATCAGGGGCCCCCCAAGCTGTCCCCTCAGTGCTGCAGGATGCTTGGAGCTGCTGAAGGGAAGGAGGACTCGGGTGGGGGTCCCTTTCTCCATAACTGACTGCTGACTGCCAGGTTGGCTGGCCTGTTAGCCCCCCACTCCGCCTGCTTGGTAGCACTGAGTATGTCTCTCCCTTGGGGCTGGCTGGGCCTGAATGTGGTGGTGGCAGTGGGTGATGGGAAGGTGAGGCAGTGTCCTTACTGAAGACCAAGACTGCACTCTACCAGGGCAGCAGCTCCTCCTGCAAACTTCTCTTTATATTTAGAGGATGATGCTGTGGGTCAGGCTGCTCCCAGTCCACCTTGGATTCACCACCTGCCAGAGCCTGTGCAGCTTCTATTTATACTGTGGATACATGGGGATATGCCTTCTGGGCTTCTAGGGATTTGGAACTCCTTATAGTAAAATGGAGTGGGGTCAGTGGAGGCCATACTCCTAGCACCTCTCAATTTGGGGGTGGGCTGGGGAGCAAGAAGGCCCAGGAGAATATCTTCTATCTTCTGTGACAAACTTGGTGACATGCTTTATGGGGTGCCCAGGGATGTCATTTGTTTTTCTGATGTCTTATGTGTTCCCTTTGGGGCTGGGGATTTAGCTCAGTGGTTATACTGCCTGTCTTGAAAGCGCAAGGACCCGAGTTCAATCCCCGGTACAAAAAAAAAAAAAAAAAAAAATGTGTTCCCAAAAAGAGTTGCAATTCACATTTGGTAGTGGAACTCAGCAGAGGACAGGTGTGGTATCTCCAAAAGAGGATATGAAGGGCACCTGACCCCACTCCAAAGCCCCATCATGCAGCTCTCCCTGAAATAATCAAAGTAGGGTCAGCGGAGTCCACACAGCAAGCAGAAAGAGCCCAAAACTTCAGGGATTTCATTCGGCTTTCCAACTATGTTAGAGAACAAGGGACAAAGGAATGGAACTGTTTACCCTCAACACCCTGCACCCTCCTATGTCATGGGTAGTGGAAATAGTAAAGAAAAATAAACCAGCAAGCATAGTGTGAAATAGACTTATATCTGGGCCCAGGAGGCAGGAAGGACAGTGCTGTCACCCACTGGACACCTCACGGGCCACAAGCTGTGGATACTGCTCAGAGCTCTTGTGCAGTGCATTTCCCTGCTCTTTGACAGGTCTGGCTCAAAGTCTACTGGATTCAACTCCCTTAAAAGTTATGAACCAAGTGCCTAAAGCTATAGATGGTCTCCTGGTAGAAGCACTGTACACAGCAGGTGACCAGCAGCTCACAGAGGTGCCCTCTGCCCACGACTGATGTGCTGGCTTACAGTCCCTGGGGTCACCCAGGGCTCTTCCACTCCCACTCTAGAGCTGATGAAGAACCAGCGCCAGGTATCAGTGCAGCCTGGCTTGTGACTACCTCCTGAGTGTCACTTCCCTTCTCCCTCTGTGTCCCCTCACTCCTTCACAGCTTGCTGGCTTGGCTGCTCCAAAATTTAAACATGAAGTTATAGAAGTCTATGATCAGCTTTTGTGTTTCAGTTAAGCCTTCTCACTATCTGGAGATGGTCAGGACAGGCAATGCTCATCCCAGCCTTTTTGTTTTGGTACCAGGTATCGAACTAGGGACCTTGCACTTTCGAGGCAGGGGCTGGAACCACTGAGCTAAATCCCCAGCCCTCATCCCAGCTTTTCTTCTCCCGAAGCTTACTATGCTAAGGACACATCAGGTTGCACAGCAGTCATCAGGAGCAGGAGACAGGCGTGGTTTCTCTTAAAGGAGGCTATGAAGGGCACCTGACCCCACTCTGCAGCCCACACCACCACAACAGCTCTTCCTTGCCCACACCAGGCTGCCCTTTCTTACACTGAGTTGTCAGGGCAGGGCAAGAGGTGTTTTCTAACTCTTATCTTCCCTAAACCAGTGGTTCTGGAAGTATAACAGACCCATAAGCGATCTCCAATGGAGAGCTGAAGACACCTTGAAATGCAAAGTAATGGCTTCACGGGCAACCATGTCATCTGAGAAAGGACCACAAGAGGCTGGCTACTCCTGCCCACGGACGTGTCTAAGAGTGAGAGTTCAGGTGGAGGGGTCCCCTATCAGCCAAACTGCTGTGTGACCTTGGGCAAGTCATCTCCAGAAGGTTCTGCATTCTCAGCTGGGTTACATCTGTTCCATAAAACTGACTTGAAGCTGGGCATGGTGGTACACGCCTGTAATTCCAGCACTCAGGAGAATGAGGCAGGAGGATCACTACTTCAAGGCCAGCCTGCGCTACATAGTGAGTTCAAGGGCATCCTGAACTACACCACAACACCCCTTCTCAAAAACAAAACAAAACAAAAAACTGATCTGAGATCAATGCTTGGTAAGTGCCTGGGACCTGAGGAACACTGAGCCCACAGCAGGTCCTTTTTTAGAGAAAGAGGGGCCTGCAGGGATGAGGCTGAGTGCTGGACAGGTGACCAAAGGTCAATGACACAAGTAAATAGGCAAGGCCAGGGCAACTTTCCATGTTCTTGGGATGCACAAAAGTTTATTTAAAATTATTTAAAATGACAAAACCTCACAACCGTCAACAACCTCCATTTTAAGTTTTGAGAGAGTAAGCTATAAATTATAGCACAGCCATGCAGTCAGCAAAAAATTATATCCTGAAGAATATTTAAAACGCTCATTCTCAAGAGTGCAAAAACTGGTTCTTAGGAAATGAAAAAAACTTAAATATTTACAATTATTTGTGCCCCCCTAAAAGTCATGGTACAAACAAAGACACAGTAGATGTGTGATGCTGAAATTTCATTAGGTTGGGAGGCAAGTGGGAAAAACTATCCAAAAGGGCTCCTTTGGAGGGGTGATAACGTGGGGAAAGGTTGAGAAACTCTGGGATGTAGTACAGAGAAATGTTCACAGCTCATAGAAGAAAAGCAGGTTACAAAACAAAAAGGTACATACAGTCCAAAACATCCTAAAACACATTTCAAACTGGGAACCAAAATTATTTCTGGCTGGGGCAGGGGTTAAAGGGTCTATTTTATTCCAAATGCTTTTTTAAAGGAAAAAAGTAACAGATTTTTCCTTTTCTAGTCTTTTTAAACACAATATTACTTTTCAGAATGCACTTTGGTATTTAGTGAGTGGTATTTTACCCATGAGTATGTTACTTACTTCTCTTCAGGCATTCCCAGGTCTGAACACCCAGGAACAGGTGGTAGGGCCTGGGTATTTCTGAGGTGGCTTCAACGTGTCTGGTGCATGGGTTACAGCAGCACACAAAGCCAATGAGTCAGCCTTGGAGACCACAGTCCAGTTCTTAAAGAATCCCCCAGCCCCAAACCAAGGCCAACAGCCCTGGTAAGAGGAGAAACACCTTCCAGTCTTTAAAACTTGTCTCAGTTCCATACAGGATCAGGGCCTGTGTCCCCCAAAGCCCTAGAGAGTCACCACCAAGTGTCTCAGGTCAGTTCATGGCCACTGCTGCCTTCCTTCTGCTCAGAGTCAAGGGCAATACCTTGATGCTGTCACTCAAGGTCCCTATGGAATTCAGCTGCACCCAAAGACAGCAAACAAACTTTTCCATAGGAATCTGTCATGTGATACTAGCAGTCACCATGGGTTCCTTGATTTACCAGGCTCCTCACTTCCTTCTTTGGTTAAGAGAAACAGGACCATTAACCTATTCTTCCAATCAAAGCCCAGGCTGCTAACATTCTTTTTTGGTCAAGATTCACAACTCCATTAGCCTATTCTTCCAAACAAGTCAAGGGCTAGACTGGAAGTCCCAGGTGAAAGGGCACAAGGGGAGGGCTCAGAAGCCAGGCAATTCACCAGGCAATTCTGACCTTCCCAGCCATCTGACTAAGGTGGTTAGTAATCACTGGCCTTGGCCAAAGTGTGGATACAGCAGCTGTGCCCCTCTAATCTCTCTTTTTTATTTAATGCTAAAGAGAGTGATGATTGGTTAGGACAAAAAAGTTTTGAGAGAACACTACTTTTCAGTGGTCATATTGGGACAGTCCACAGTAGTTTCTAGCATTACACGTGCTTGTGACTAAGGCAAACTGTGGTGAAACTAGAATTCAGCAGAAATTGTTGTGAAAATACATTGGGGTTGAAGGGAACTCCAGGACTGAGAGACTGTAACTCACATGGTGCTGTGCAATTATCCTCAAGGACAATTACAGATGGGCGAGAAGCCACACGCATACTTTATTCATTAAAGTGCTTCTATTAGTACTGTTCATTATGTAGAAAAGTTCATCAGTTATCAAACTCACAAGAATTAGGCCCATTCTTTTTTTTCTGTCTTATAATAAGTTGGTAAAATTTGACATTTATGTTTCTAGACAGATATTTCCCACTGGCCCTAAACAAAACAGATGCCAAGTGCCCCAGCTCAGCACACAACACCCAATGTCACAACAATTTCAGATACAAGCTTGGGCAATCTCATAATTTTTAAGAATCACATGAGACCTAGAAGCGATCTGTGCATACGAATAGCCAGAACTAGGAAAAGAAGTACAGAACTCACTGGACCAAGTGAGTTAGAAAGGGCATCAGCGCTGGGGATTTAGCTCAGTGGTTCCGCCACCTGCCTCACAAACGCAAGGACCCAAGTTCGAGCCCCAGTACCAAAAAAAAAAAAAAAAAAGAAAGGGCATCAAATGTGGAAACAACTGACGAAATTCATGTGGAAAAAGTGAGGAAAAAAAATGTGTGTAACCAAAAACCAAAGCTGTAGTTACATACATAACTATTTAGTATTTAGTATTAGCTTCCAAATAAAGTACAAAAGAAAATTTTTAAAAACTCAGCCACAAACATTATAAAATTGTACAAACTTCTTTGAGGTTTAAAATTTTTATAAGCACACACTTATAAAAGTTTTAGAAACAATGCTATTTTTACAAAAAATTATGTTTGCCCCTGGACATAATACTCATAATTTGCTTTCAAAACAAACTCAAAATACGGGTTGGACTTGAGGCTTCCCAGCTGATCAGCCTGTAGCAGGTCATTCACTTCTGGCAAGTAGTCACTGAGCTGAATGCCTGGAAACACAAACACATTTTTTATTTTTACAAAACTCTTGAGTGGGTTAAGATGAATGATGATAAAGCACCTGTGCTCCTGTTTAGGATCTAATGCACTCTGCTGCTGGGCAATGCTCTCCTTAAGTCTAGTGACAGCCTCTGCTATATAGAGCTTTCCCACTGCTCAAAAGCCATCCGTGTAGCATCTTCAGTAGGATCTGAAGATCTTCATTTTCTCCTATAGCTTAAGACCCACCTTCAATGTAGTAGTTTTATAATTATACATTCCTCTATCTAGGTAAGAATTTAGAAGAAATGCTGTCTGAGGAGCTAGCTGCAGTATCTCAGAATATTGCAGTGAAAGCCAACAGGGTGGGCAGTCACCTGCAGAGCTGGAAAGCTAAGGAACATCAGGTGAACCGGCCATTTAAGTTGAGGTCGTGTAGTTAAGAAAGGCATGCATAATTTTCTAATTTAACAAAATTGGATGAAATTTTAAATTAGTAGCATAATAATATAATTTGTTACATTATCATAAGGTTCTTAAAACAAAATACTAGTTCTTTAAAAATACCCTTGAAGTGTTCAGGACATTTTTATATTTGTTACAGAATAAAAACTTGGGTTAATAAATGCTATGAGGGTAAATCTGAATTATTTGTATGTCATTTATTACAATTAACATGAGCCAGGGATTTAGCTCAGTGGTTTCGCTGCCTGCTGTGCAAGCGCAAGGACCTGAGTTCGATCCCTGGTACCAAAAAAAAAAAAAGTGAACTGGCCAGGGATTTAGCTCAGTGGTTCCAGTGTCTGCCTCACAAGTGCAAGGTCCCAAGTTTGATCCCCGGTACCAAAAAAAAAAAAGTGAACTATATTACAATTAACATGATTTTAAGACTTTCTCTCTATAAAATCATATGACACTTGTAAAGATTTTTCTTATTTTTGGTACCGGGAATCGAACTTGGGTCCTTGCGCTTGCGAGGCAAGCGGCAGAACCACTGAGCTAAATTCCCAGCCCAAGATGTATGTTTTGTTTTGTTTTTCATTCTTAAATTCTTTTATTGGTACATTTTAGGTATACAATACAGTTACATTTGTCATTGGGTGCTTGTACCTGTACATGATGTATCTTGGTTATTTTTTCCCCGTTATCCGTGTGCCCTTCACCCCACCCCCTCCACCCTTCCCTATTTACAAAGACTTTGTTTCTTTTTTATTTTTTCTTTTCTCATAATTTTTCCTTTCCCTTCTTTCCTTTCCCCTTCCCCTCCCATCACCCCTACCCCTTTGGACCTTTTCCTATTTCAAGTTATCAATTATTCATTTTAATCATTTTGATCCTTATTTACATTTTCAGCTTCTCATACTAGAGAAACTATTTGGTATTTACACATGTGTGTTCTATTTATTTCACTTAAGAGTATGGCCTCAATATGCATCCCTTTAGCTATAAACGACTCTAGTTTCTCGTTCTTTATGGCTGAGTAGTACTCCATTTTATAAAAAAACCACAACCAAGATGTATGTTTTTAAACTCGGGCCAGGGATTTAGCTCAGTGGCGCCATGCCTGCCTCATGAGCACAAGGTCCTGAGTTCGATCCCCGGTACCAAAAATAATAATAATAATAATTTTTAAAAATAATTTAAAATCGATCCCCAGTACCAAAAACAAAACAAAACAAAAAGTAATTATAAAAATAAAAGACCAATTCTCTAGAAAAACTTATTTGACTTTTAAGGGGCATGCCTTCTGTTGGGACCTATTATCGGGTGAATATTTCTCTTCTCTGGAGCAGGGTAGAAGCCCAAAAGCCCAGACAGGCTGGCAGGTAACAGTGACAGGGAGAGAGCATGGCTGTAGGGTCCTGAGAAGCTTGGCCCCCGACCCAGCTGACAGTGGACTTCAAGGACCTGGCTGGTGTGCCCAACCACTGGGTGTCATCCCCTTACCCCTGTGCTGGGGACTGAACCCAGGGAGCACTGAGCTCTACTCCTGGTCTTTTTTTTTTTTTTTTTCACTTGCTCTAACTGCCCCTGGCCTTTTTTATTTTGAGGCAGGGTCTTGCTAAGAAAAAGCCGGGTGCACGATTGTCATCCCAGCACTTGGGAAGCTGAGGCAGACAGAGTGCAAGTTCAAGGCCAGTTTGGGGTACACAGCAAGACCCTGTCTCAAAATAAAATCTACTAAGACCAAGCACTGCAGTTGTTCCTGGAGTTATCAGTGTTGTGCACTTTAAAGGAACCTACCTGACAGGCAACATCAGATTTGGACCCACTGCTTTCTAGAACCTGCCAGGCTCAGCGGAAAAGCACTGTTGACAAGTGCAGAGAGCACCACATCCTGTCAATTCTTCACTTCCAAATATGGAGGAGTGAAAGCCTTATAAATATATTTCACCTCTTTCTGAATTTCAAGCCAAAGGTATTTCCTTTTGCTACATCTCTTTATTTTAAATTTTTTATTTTTCTGACCGTGAAAAAGGTTTAGTTGACCTTCCAATTATTTGCTTATCTTTGAAATCAAAAGTATTCATTAAGGGGCTGGGGATTTAGCTCAGTGGCGCCACCCCTGCCTCACAAGTGCAAGATCCTAAATTCAATCCCCGGTACTGAAAGGGGAAAAAAAAAGTATTCATTAAACATCCTGTCAGATACCGTGGTACCTCAGTTTGCTAATGCTTTTGTTTGCTAATAATCTGATTCACAAACAGAAGTGTTTTGCAAAATTTTGTTTGTGTTTGCAAACTCTGCATTGGATGGCAAACACAACCATGACCCCGGCCATCTTTCCCACACAAAAACACCAAAAGTGGACACCTTTTCCAAAATCGTAGAACAAATTAAGTTCATGAACCAAGGTACCACTGTATTCGTTCTCTGTAAATAAAAGTCCAGACCAATTCTGAGCAAGTTCCAGTAATCAGTAAGAGAACTATATTTACACTTAATCAGCTATAATGGAAACTAAAACTCAGAAAATAGCACCAGGAGGTCAACGCAGACAAGCTCTGAAATGACAGCCTGTCTCTCTACCCAGGATATAGCTGGTGTGGCTGTTCCCCATGTTTTACCCAGCACAGACGAAGACATCTTGAAGTGCAAGTCAGTTAACACAGGGTGAAGATGGGAAGAGCCAGGGCGATGGATCTGTACACAATTCTACACACTCAAAGAACAAATGTTTATAGCAACTACTGTTTGCAGGCAGTGGGCTAGGAATATACCGTGTAGATTAAATAGTGTATTCTGCAGATGTGTGTAGAGAAAGCATGCAGGGTGTGTAAATGCTGCCCTGATGAATATCATTCTTGTTTACTCAGAAGAGCTGCTGGACCTACAGCAGCTTTTGTCATTGTGTATTTGTTGCAACTGGATGAAGAAGGGCATCCCTGCATTTGAGAAGATAGGTCAGCTCTAGGTGAGCCTATTTTACACACTGCCTGCATTTTGGCAACCCATATTTTAATAATTCTACAATACATCAGTCACATTTTTCATATATAAAATGTGCAAAGTCTCTCATGTCTGACATTCTCCACATTTTAAGTTCCCAGTTTATGAAAAACAGCAAATTTGTCTTTTCAAATTCACCTCTCCCTTGACAACAAGCACTTTACCCACAGCAGCCTCTTCACCTACTCCTATCTTCATCAGCAAATGCAATTTTGTTCACTGCCCTAGATACAAAACACACATAAAACACAATCCCTTCTTGTTTCTTTTTGTCTCTAAATCAAGTTTAGAGTCTTATGTCTAAAGTGGATTGTGCAAATATATTTGTTAAGTGTGGTATGGTCAGTTTTGAAGGGAATATATCAAAAATGTTTTTAAATTTTCAATCTTCCTAAGAGTTGATTGAAAAGTTAAAGGAAATCAGTACACTCTTGGTGTCACACTTGTGTCCAGGGATGGCCACAGGGAACCCCCAGGGTGTGTGCGTGGGTAACTTCACCCTGACATGTATTCTTCCAAGTGCAGTGAACACAGAAAAGCCTTTCCTTCACTGTAAACAAATCTCTAATTTTGAGTATGACACTGCTTCATCTTAAACATCCTTTTGTCATATGATATCTTGACAAACACCCATTAAGATTTCTTAAATTCAGAATATTGTAATTTCTGATAGTAACATACCACTTACCATCTTTTAAAAGTTTCTGTAAGATTTTTACAAATATACTGCCTTTGGACTCTTCAATTGGATCGCCTTTACCATCTGAGCTAGACCAGCTAGAAAACAAAATCACCATGAGGTAAATGAAGTCATGGACTTGGCTGAGATAAATGACTTTTGTTTGATACTGTGGCTTTGTTTGGGTTAGATCTCTGAATAAAGGACTTTAAATGTTGGAAACCCTTCAATTTCTGTACAGATGCAAATCATACTCTGACAGCTATTCGCCAACATCCCTGCCATACACCTGATTTTGTGTACTCAGTGTACATGAGGCACAAGATATCTGAAAACTTTCAAACAAGAAGCCAGGACAAGGATCGCCGCCCAGAATGACCAGAACAGGGTCAACAAACCAAAGGTGCCCAGAGCAGGCACTTGAGAGAGGGATGTAGAAAGCAGGTTCCCAACAGCTCTTAACTGAGGGAGTGGTCGGGAAGACCATTTTGGTAAAGGGGGGGCCCACTATCACCACCATGGGAAAGCAAACATGCAGTGGGGCTGCTCAGCATAAGGCCTGCTCCTCCCACTTTCCCTCGGGCACTCATCCCTGTCAAAGGGCAGTTGTAGGTTCTTTGCCTCTGAAGATACACAAGAAATGCTCCACTACAAAAAGGAGAGGGTTGTGAGGACAGGGTTTGAGGTGGTTACTCAGACTTAGAAGACACTAGCTGGGCATGGTGGTGCATGCCTATAACACCAGCACTTGGGAGGCTGAGGCAGGAGGATCAACTTCAGTTGGAGGCCAGCCTGGGCTACACAGTGAGTTCTAGACCAGCCTGAACTATGTAGTGAGATCCTGTCTCAAAAAACCAATAAATAAACAAACAAACAAACAAACAAAAAAACCAAAAAAAAAAAAAAGAGAAGCCACTGACCCTTAAAATACAATCACTTTTTACTTAAAAAACAAAATATAGCTTCAAATCTTGTCTAGCACAATGGGTTCAACTTTTGTGAATTTAAGGACCATGCAATTTCTGTATAATCTGACAGTCTAAATGCTAATATAAAAAGCAATGATTCAGCTGGGTATGGTGGCTCATACCTATAAACCCAGCTACTCGAGAGGCAAGGCAGGACTACAAGTTCAAGGCCAGCCTGGCCAATTTAGCAAGACTGTCTCAAAAAAGAAAAAGGACTAGAGTTGTAGCTCAGCACTTCCTGGGTCCAATCTTCAGTAATGCCAAAACAAAAAATACAGGAAAAAAAACCAAAAACAAACCCAGACTGATTTTATTATACCAGTGGGTGTAAGTCTTTAGGTTAGTCTTTAATTCTGAATTTAAAATGTCAGATTACCAGTGCAACAGTTAACATGTTCATAACGTGTTACTACACAACCAGAGGCTTGTGTAACTATCTGGTGTGTGATATCATGGCCATTTCCCACGGCACTCTGATCAGCTGAGAAACTCACCTGTCTCTCTGTAGAGCTCTGCAAAGGATCTCCAGTTTGAGGTCATGGATATTCACATCTTCTTCCTTCAGAGTAGAACAAAACATCTTCATTAATATTAGCTTTAAAAGAGAAATACATGTTTAAAGTTTATTTGTGTCAACTTCTAATCTTGCTTAAGTATTGTTGCTTTGTTTTAATTCATAACTAAAAAACTCCCTTAAAAGATGTCAGTACCACTTAGAAAAATAAACCAATTAGTATCTATGTGAATTAGGATCTGATTACCGTACTCTCTTGACAATCTGACCTCATCAATAACTTTGAGAGGTTAAGACTTTTAAGCAAGGCTTTAAAAAAAATTAATGTATTGGGCCAAGGATTTAGCTCAGTGCTTCCGCCACCTGCCTCGAAAGTGCAAGGTCCTGAGTTCGATCCCCGATACCCCCCCCCAAAAAAAAGAAATTAATGTATTGTTTTCATCATCTACTAAATAACTTTTGACTGCATGGTCAAGTAACAGAACAAATACTTAAATCCACCTCACCACGTGGCTTTGCCATAGAAAACACCTTTGAGAAGCGGTGTGGGCAGGAAACCCATTTTCTGGACCCTCTTCTGTCTCTCTTAGACAGAAGTTATCTTTCAATAAATTTTCATACTCTTAAAAAAAAAAAAAGAAGAACTACTTAGCCAACAGAATTCCTACTACAATTTTTTAAAGGTAGAGAATCAGCTTTTCTTAGGGTGAATGCTATGAGAAAAAAAACCCCTCAGGACTTTGAAGAGTTACTTTTTGTGGGGAAGGGGTAGGTGGTGCTTGGAATTGAATGCCAAGGCCTTGCACACACTAGGCAAGCACTCTCCCACTGACCTATACCCCAAGCCCCCACACTTTTTATTATACACAGAAGGTACTTGGGAATATGTAAGGATCACTAGGAATTAGAATCTCTTGGAAGTTTTTTAAAAGGGCTGGGTGCCTTCTAAGAGACAAGAGTAAGTGAACTAGAAATTAGTCTTTTTTCATGAGTACATTTCTGTGACTAAAAGAAGTATTTCCTCTTCTATGTATATGTATTCAGATACCTGAGATTGTCAAGGAAATTTACTTACCTCATCAATATATTCCAGCAAGTCCAAAGCTTTCTTAAAATCATATTCATTAGCTCTTCTGTTTTCATCACAGATGTACAGCTGTGGCAAGTTACAGTAAGGAAAAGAATTATTCCAATTAATTACAGAATTAACATTAGAGAAATTTATGGAGGAGTCATTATGTCTTTTTTTTTTTTTTGTACCAGGGATTGAACTCAGGACCTTGCGCTTGCCAGGCAGGCACAGTACCAGAGCTAAATCCCTGGCCCCCATGTCCTTCTTTTTATTAAGCTGAGGGTATTTTTATTTTTTTAAGCTGAGGGTATTTTTATAGTCAAGAACAACGTCACATTTGGGAACTACATTTCATCTATCTTATAATAAATTTAAAAAAATACATATCCTAGAGCAGAAATTAATTTACATAATTTGGTGCACATACTTTTAAAATACCAGGAAATTTATATTCTTAGGCTCAAAAAGATAGTATAGGGGCCAGGGATTTAGCTCAGTGGCACTGTGCCTGCCTACCAAGTGCACGGTCCTGAGTTGGACCCCAGTACCGGGGGCGGGGGGTGGGGGGGAGTGTATAAATTTCAACATTCTTTTGCACATAATCTGAAATAAATTCCCATCCTTGAACTTTTTTTTCCCCCCAGTACTGGGAATTGAACTCAGGACTTTGTACTTGTGAGGCAGGCACAATGCCACTGAGCTAAATCCCCAGCCCCCATCCTTGAACTTTTAAAGCTACTTACATGACTTTTGAAATATCTCCCTTGTAAGTGATTTTAAAAACTGCAACTCCAAGTATACCATGACAGTTTACTTAGAATAAGATATGCCAATTTGTTACCAATGGTTCTTTTGGTTACTTAACATGACAGCTGACTGCACTAATTTCTATACCCTTCAAGGGCCGGGGATTTAGCTCATGGTTTCCTGCTTGCTGTGCAAGCGCAAGGACCCAAGTTCGATCCCCAATACAAAAAAACCCCCAAAAAACAAAAAACCAAGGATAAATCTATACCCCTCAAATTTCCTGTAATATTTTCAGTAAAATACTTGCCTTGTTAAAAATCCCAATTTGAAAAAAATAAATAAATAAAAATAAAAATCCCAATTTGAACTTTTCCTCTCTTCCAATAACTGCTTGTAATATAATAAATTTTAATTTTAAAGATCTATATAACCCTTTAATAACATCTAATTTCAGAAAAAAACTATCTGTTTATTTTTGTTGTCTTATATAATTTATTTTGTTTCTTTGGTACCAGGGATTGAACTCACTACCCTGTACTTGCAAGGCAGGCACTATGCCTCTGAGCTAAATCCCTGGCCCTGTCTTATATGATTTAAAACACCAATATTTTGAATGTCCTTTTACCTTCACAACCTGTGAAATTGAAATGTGGCATTAAAATTAATGGTATCATAGGGCTGGGGATTTACCTCAGTGGTTCTGCCGCCTGCCTCAAAAGCACAAGGTCCCGAGTTCGATCCCCAATACAACAAAACAAAAAACCCTTTTCTTTTTTAGTGACACCTAAAATAATGATGAGTTACAATCCACACCTTAGCTTTCTAAGTTAAATATATTCTATCAGGAGAGGCTGCTGTGAGCTCAGTTACAGAAACTCTGTTACTAACAAAGGCCAATGCTTAGGTGTCTGGATTGTTAGCTTTGTTTTTATAGAATTAGAGCAAATTCTGGGTGGCCCTACAACATTACTCCTGTATGTGAGATGCCTTCTGAGAAGTAGGTTAAGGTGCACATGGCACCAGGCCTGCCAGGCAAAGATGAGGGGGCACCAGCAGGCCAAGCAGTCCTGTTCCTGGAGCCACTGTGCTCACAGCAGAGCCTGAAGAATGGCATTCTGGGGGAGCTACCAGGGCCTCCCACTGTACACTTCCCTTAACGTACTAGGAAAGCAAAACTACATGCAATTCCTCCCAGCCTCCTGAGCACCGGGAGGCTGGGCAGAGCTGTACAGGGAGATAAAGCTGACCAGTTTCCTGCTCCTAGAAGCTTCCAAAACATTTTCTAGGAAAAAGTTCTCAGGAAGGTGGAAAGCAGAAGGGCTCCTTCAGGAACCACACTCAATGTGGGAGTCGGCAAGGATGCAACACCTACGCTGATTAGCTGTGGTGCGGTCAGCACTGGCATCGCACTGAGGCTCAGCTCTCTCTCGGCCAGCAGCTGCTCTGGCAGGGTCTCCTGGTGCAGCAGGAAACGCTCCTGCTCAGCCATGGCTAGTTCAGGAAAAGAGGGGAGAGGGATGTGATTTTCACTTTTGCTCTGCTATAAAACAAATATATGAGTTAAAAAAAAAAAGCTATAAAGGTAATCTGACCCCTTTCTAATAACCTTGGGAAGTTATTGATTCTAACTTTTTTCTCGACTGCTGGTTATGTGAACAATATACGACATTCATTTGATTCAAATCATGAATCATCACACCAGCGGGAGCAGTGAGGAGGGGAGATAAAGGAAAAGTGCTCAGCTGTTTCAAGGAGAGGCCTGTATGTGGGGTCTCTATGCCATATTGGAGGGCAGCTCAGCGATGTGTGCAGCATAGTCCCATGCACAGAGGGAGGGACTTCAAGTCACCATGGGGTATCACTCACACTCACTCTCACACACAAACACACCCCTAGCAAGTATGTACCAAATCTACTGCCCAAAAGGAGTCACCTCCATGGGGCAAGGTTCTAGACTTCCTTACTGTACTGCACTGTTCCCTGGCTCTGCCCATGGGCAGGCCTGGGCTACCAGGAAAGCCTCGCACATAGCAGTCACAGAGTAGCTGAAGCACAAGCATTCTCACTCATCCCACACACTCCTTATTTTGTAAAAATTACACACAACATTTTTGTGCATTTTCATGCCTGAAAAAGCAGAGTGGGAGACTACATACCCACAGCTTACTTTCTGCTCTTTTTCTATAGCTGACAATCACTCACATAACTAAAAAAGTTACTATGAAAAGCCCTTTCCCCTGTAACTGCACACACCGCAAAAACAGTCTGCAGGGAATCGATGTAATCTGAAAATACTCTTCTGTGTTAAGAAGGCAAAAGCTGGGCCACAGACTTAGTTCCGCGGCACCGCGCCTGCCTCGAAAGTGCAAGGTCCTGAGTTCGATCCCCAGTACAAAAAAAAAAAAAAAAAAAAGAGAGAAGGCAAAAGCTAAGTGATACCAGAGCTCCAGTGATATCTGGGGAAAACAAGGAATAATCAAGTCCTGGGTTAAAATACTGTAATCTCTGAGGCTCATTATGGCCTTCTCTCCTAGGCCAGCAGCTGGCTTGAAGAGAGGCTTTCCCTAGAAGGAGGCATCACCAGCACAAAAAAAGAGAGTGAGGGGCCGGGGATTTAGCTCAGTGGTTCTGGCGCCTGCCTTGCAAGAGCAAGGACCCAAGTTCGATCCCTGGTACCAAAAAAAAAGAGAGTGAAGGAAGATTCCCAAACAAAGAAATTAATTTTAATAATAAAAGCTAAATGCTGGTACCTGCGATTTGAATACTTAGTATATGGAAGTCATTATTCTCAAGGAATACAGAGTATCCTCAAGTTTTTGGTTTTTTTGAGACAGGGTCTCACTATGTAGTTCAGGCTGTCCTCAAACTCATGGTGATTCTCCTGCCTCAGCCTCCTGAGTGCTGGGATTACAAGCATGCACCACCATGCCTGGTTATCCTCATTTTTTTTTTTGGTACTGGTACTGGGGATCAAACTTGGGACCTTGCCCTTACAAGGCAGGCAGCGGAACCACTGAGCTAAGTCCCCAGCCCTATCCTCAACTTTTAAAACTACTTTTATAAAGGAAAAAACTAAGGCTCAGGACAATAAACCAAATATCCAACTTCACAAAGCTAATAAGGTCTGAAGAAAATATGTGAAACCAGATCTATCCAAATTCTTTTTCTTCCTACTACATCTACTCCTTCAAAGAAAAAAAAAAAAGACAGCAGAATCATCTGAACAGACCTCAAAGGCTGGACTCTGTGCCTAAGACATGCAACCAAAAATCCATTATCTGCATATACTTCACACTTGACCAAAGAGCAGAGATTCCTTATTTTGAAAAAATTCCAAATCTACAGGAAATTTTTAAAGAATCTGGCTTGCACTGTATGTCTTCTATCTTGCCACCTGCTGAGAACATTTAGGCGCTCTGGTTTACCTCTCCCTCCTTTCCCTCATCATGTCGAAGCTGCAGATATGACAGTTCATTCCCCAAACACTTTAGAACATATCTCCCAAGAATAAAGACATTTATCTACAATATGATCAGGTTGAAAGAATTCAGCATCAACATGGGAAATATTATTTAAATCAAACATAGTTAAACTTTCTCAGTTGTCCCATTAATATTCATTAGAGCTGCCTTGGGAATTTGAAGGCTGATCTGAAATCCAACCAAGAACCTCGCATAGCATGGGGTGTGTGCGTGTTTCTCTTAAACTCATCTGATGTAAAGCCACCTGTCTTCCACTATTAGGATATATCTGAGTGTTCTCTTGTGGTTAGATCTGGAGTCTCTCAGAACACTGGCAAGAACACAGCACAGGTGCTGTGGATGCTGCATGCTACTCACTCCAAGAAGAATGAAATGTGGATCTGGCTTGAGACTGGCCTGGTGCATTAGTTCTATATACTGATACTCTAAAAACATGGGAATATCTGCTCCCCCAGTCCCAAACTCCATAGTTCCAGCATCTTTTTTACACGTGTGACAGGGCCTCACTATGTTATCCAGGCTGGCCTAGAACTTGCAATCCATCTGCATTACCATTCCTGACTCATTCTACCATCTTCTGAAGACCAACTATTCACTGTGGTTGCAAAATGGCAACTCCCACCATGCCTTTCCACATTTATTAGCTGTCATTCTTTTGTAAAGAGGCATTTCACTGACCCTCTTCTATTCTGGTTATCACTGTAGATTCACGGGTTTTTCTTTCATAAACTATGAAATGCAGTAAAACTCATGATAGAGTACTTGCTTAGCATGTGTAGGTCTGGACTTTGATCCTCAGTAGTGACAAAAAGAAAACAAAAAACCTGTGATATAAAATCCTTTAGCACCCTTGCTCCTGTCGGTCAATTATATTGACCCCGGTCAGGGGGAGCTATATTCAGGGCTCTTGTGTTCAAGGTCTCAGTGTCGATATGCTGCTTTCTGGCCCAACAGGACTCTCCAAAGTCATCTCTTCGTTTGGGCATATGCCCTTTCAGTGGAAACTGGTGGCGAAAAACCAAACACCATCAGGTGTACGCATGGTATTGGGCCAGGTGCTTTCACTAGAAAGAGCCAACACATTTAAAAAAAAAAAAATCAGATTCTGCCAGGCATTGTGGCGCATGCTATAATCCCAACGAAGATAGGAGGATCACAAGTTTGAACCCAGCCCGGACAACTTAGCAAGACCTCATCTCAAAATAAAAAATAAAAATGGGCTGGGGCTGGAGATGTAGTTTGGTGTGAAGGCCTGGGTCAGTCCCTCACACTAAAAAAACAAAATGAAAAGAAAAAAATCAGATTCTATCTGATTATCTCCAATTCAAACGCTTAACAGGGACATGCATGTGTAAATACCAAACAGTTTCTCTGGGGTGAGAAACTGAAAGTGTAAATAAGAATTAAAATGATTAAAACAAATAATTGATAATTTGAAATAGGGAGAAAAGGTCCAAAGGGGGAGGGGAAGTGGGAGAGGAAGGGGAAAGGAAAGAAGGGAAAGGAAAAATTATGAGAAAAGGAAAAAAATGGAAACAAGGGCTTTGTAAATAGGGAAAGGAGGACAGGGAATGGGGAAAAAATAAGAACCAAGATACATCATGTAGGGCCGGGGATTTAGCTCAGTGGCCCATTCTTAGGATTACATACCAATACCACTACCCACAACAGCCCTGTGTGTAAAGGTCAGGATTTCTTTGCAGTTATTTTAACTTAGAATACTAAACTATATAATTAAAATCATTTCAAGTTATTCTTTAGGAATTACTTAAAATACAAATTGGTTTTCTCTTTAAAAAAAAAAAAATATACACACACACACACACACACACACACACACAAAACACTGTGTGCTATTCAGGTTAGCACATGCCTGTAATCCCAGCTACTCAGGAAGCTGAGGCAGGAAGATCACAAGTTCTAGGCAAACCTGGGCAAATTAGTGAGACCCTGTCTCAAAAAAAAGTACATAATTGAGGGCCAGGGATTTAGCTCAGTGGTTCTGCCACCTGCCTTGCAAGGGCAAGGACCCGAGTTCCATCCCCGGTACCAAAAAAAAAAAAGTACATAATCGATTAACTATGCATGGAGGTTGAATAAAGGCCATTCTTCCTACAGCAGAGATGCTGATAGGCACACCATGAGAGATGGCTCATGGCCTGACCAAGGCATTAGGTCCTCTTGTGCAAACTGTTTTACCTTCGATTTTTTCTTGCAGTGCATCCTCTGAAAGGTCTGAAGCTAATGCAGCCAATTTACTCAAGCCAAGAAGGGTTTTTTTCTTTGCAAAGTAACGAGTTTCCATATTTGCCAAACTCAAAAGTGTTGCATGAGCCTACAAAAAACAAAACATGCAAACTGTAAGATCCTGTACCAACACAGCCTTGAAGTGAAGGGTAAGTACACTGCAAACTTGTTTTCTCCCCCTAAGCTATATCAACAAAGTCACACTGATGATTAGTAAACCTGACACCGAGGTAAGTGCACAATAAAATCTCAACCACATACACTAATTATGGGGCAAAAGACACGTATAAGACATATGCTTTATAACAATTCCATATTTACCCAGTTACCCTGTCAAGAACACACTTTAAAATTAGTTTCTTCATTATTTTTACTCATATTTTGAGTATTTTTGCATAGCTCTGTTTTTTTTTTTTTTGGTACTGGGGATCGAACTCAGGTCCTTGCACTTGTACAACAGGCAGCGAAACCACTGAGCTAAACCCCCGGCCCGTTTTGCGTATTTTTCATACAAGAATGTGTTCCTTACAATAACAGGCCAATGACTATTATATATATATACATCTTAGTACAATGTTTGTGCTTTATTTTATTACAATAGCAGCCAAAGCACAATGGCCTATATATTCTGAGATATTAGATGTGATCATAATTCAAGAATGCTCTATTCAAATTATGGGACAGACTAGGAAGAAATAGACATTTTGATAATCTATAAGCAGTGTCTCTTCAATTTTTAAAAAACTAGTATAGGTTGTCATAATTGTGTATTTTTATGGAGTCCAAAGCATACAATGTGGAACGATTAAATAAAGTTAATTAGCATCTATCACTGCAAGAACTTTTTGGTGGTGATAATAACTGAAATTTACTCCTTAAGCAGGTTTGAAATACATGACACTATTATTTTTTGTTTGTTTTTTTTTGTTTTTGTTTTTTTGGTACCGGGGATTGAACTCAGGTCCTTCCACTTGTGAGGCAGACGGTAGAACCATTGAGCTAAATCCCCAGCCCTAGGGTTTGTTTTTGTTTTTTTTAAATTTTGTTTGTTTGTTTTTTGGTACCGGGGATCAAACTCGGGACTTTGCACTCTCGAGGCAGGCGGCAGAACCACTGAGCTAAATCCCCGGCCCCATGTATGACATTATTATTAACTATAGTCACCTTCTTCCCTACCTACCCGAAACTCTGCTCTTTGACCAACATCTCCCCTACTCCCCCACTCCCCCACTCAGCCTCTGTAACCACCTTCTGAGTCTGACTGTCTCAGATGCCACATGTAATTGAGACCATGCAATATATGTCACTCTGCCTGGCTTACTTCACAGAACACAATGTCCTCTAAGTTCACCCATGTTGTTGCAATTGGCAGAATTTCCTTCTATTTAAAGGCCAAGCAGTATTCTATTGTGTACGTGTATACATACCACATCTTGATTATCCGTTCACTCACTAACACTCTGCCTGAGTCCTTAAGTGGGCTACTATGAATAGTGCCACATGAACATGGGTGTGCAGCGGTCTCTCAGACACTAATTTCACATTGTCTGGATATATATATATATATATATCCAGAAGTAAGGCTGCTGGGGCAGATGGTATTTCTATTTCTAGCTTTCTGCAGAACCTCCATGCAGTTTTCCCTAATGGCTGAACTACGTTACATTCCCATCAATAGTGTGCAAGGGTTCCCTTTTATCCACATCCTCACCAATGTTTGTTATTAAAGGACCCTAGTTAACAAGACAGACTCCATATTGCTGCTTGACCCACCTTCCTGCCCTTTAGACATATGTTCTAATAGCAGGACATTCCGCTTCTGTACCTTCTGCTTGCTTTGCTAGTTCTATCCCATGAGGGGGGCCTAGAAACTGTTGGCCTCAAAGGTGTATAAAACATGTTTGTCTCCCCCTAGTTGGGGCTTGAGTCCGATGCTCGGCTTGGGTCCCGGCCGGTAATAAACTCCTGTGTGGATTTAATATCGGTCTCTGGTTGGTTCTCTCTCACTGGGTGTAACAGTTATCATTCATCTTTTTCATTAAAGCCATTCTGACAGGTATAAGGTGAGATCTCATGGTGGTTTTAATTTGCATAATCTTAACCACTAATGTTGAGAAAAACTTCTGTGTATCTGTTGGCTATTTGTTCACTTTTTTTTGGTAGATTTTTGAGACAGGGTCTCACTGTGTAGTCCAGGCTGGTAAACTCACTATGTGACCCAGGCTGGTCTCAAACTTACAGCAATCCTCCTGTCTCAGCTTCCCAAGTGCTAGGATTATAGGCATGTGCCATCATGTCCACTTATTTGTTCATCTTTTGAGAAATGTCTGCTCAGGTCTTAGCTCATTTGGGCGGGGGGGGGAGGGGGGGTTGTACCAGGGATTGAACTCAGGACCCTGCACTTGTGAGGCAAGCAGCAGAACTACTGAGCTAAATCCCTGCTCCCTAGCTCATTTTTTAATTGGGCTATTTTCTTGGTATTTTGTTGAGTTCTTTGTGTAGTTTAGATATTAACCCCTTATTATGTACAGCTAGACATAACATTTTAATTACTAAAAGCCAAACTAATACTTAAATTACACACATGAGCTTCATATAACTGAATTTTTCTTACCTTTACTAATTCTTTGTTACTAATTTCATGTAACCAGCTGAGATGTTCATGAGCTTGCAAAAAATTTGCCAGCTGTCCATGTTGAGACAGGGGCTGAGATAATAATTTGCCCCGCTTTCCCTTTTCCAGATACCAACGAAAGAGAAAGTCTGAAAAATTCTACAAATAACAAAACCAAGAATCCATTAATATTTAGTAATATATCTTTTAAAAATACATTTCTTATTAGTGGAATACTAAATATCTTCCAAAGATGCCAAGTGGAAATCTTTCAAACAATAATTTCCTATATTGTTATAGGAATATACAATGAACCCTTGTCTTAGAACTTGATTGGTTCCTGAGGGCTGGTTGTAACTCAAGTTGGTTGTAAGTCAATACAGCTGAGATCTGGATGTTTACATGGGTACATGCTATACATAACAAGAGGCAGATGAATCTTCATTAACCTAATTAATCCAAGTTGTTCATATGTCAGGTCGTAACTTGAGGGTCCACTGTATATTGTTACATATTATTAGAATATATTCCCACATGGAGCAAATGACTCCTATACTTCTAATTCGTCTCAAGTTCAAAAGGAATGTCGCTCATGATCATCAGCTGCATGTTGTTATTTAAACTAATAACATTAAAAATTCAGTTCCTCAGGCACAATGACCACCCCTCAATTGCCACATGTGGGCAGCACCTCCTCCTTTTGGACAACATATAAGCAACATCTCTGTCTACTGGACAGCACCGAGACTGAGATGACCAAGAACAAGAGACCTCCAGGGGCAGTGCTGTGGAGCCGGCCGTGTGCACTGGGAGATACATCGGAATCTGGGGAGGCCCTTCAGGACTCATGCTGAGCGTTGGGCTGCTGCGAAGGTGGAACTAGAGAAGAGGCTGAGAGGCCCTGTAGTCTGAGTTTAGGAGATACCTGCACCAATGCAGGGTCCTGCTGCAAACACAGGAACTTCTTCAAAAGAACTGAGGTCAGCAGCAAAAGGCGTGACAAAAGCTGAGACAAGTGCTGGCCCATCTCCATTTCTGATGCACAAGTGATCTGCCTCTCAGCTGACCTGCCTGAGAGGGAGAGGAACGGCGACCCTCCTAGGAGGAAAAGAACATCCATTTCCATTCCCATAGTTTCTTTAATAAATAACACCCAAAACACAATTTGGGCCGGGGATGCAGCTCAACGGCACTGTGTCTGCCTGGCAAGCGCAAGGTCTCGAGTTCAGTCCCTGGTACCGGAAAGTGGGGGCGGGGGGATGACATGTAAAAAGCAGGAAACCCTGACTAATAAGCAACATAAGTAAGTATCCAAGCCAAGTGTGGTGGTGCATGCCTCTAATCCCAACACACAGGAGGCTGAGGTAAGACTGAGAGCTCAAGCCCAGTCTGGGCTATAGGGCAAGACCGTCTCAAGAGACAAAAAAGAAAAGGAAAAAATTTAAATAGGCAACTGAAGCAGACCCAAGAATGTGTGAAGTTAGCACAAAAATAACCATTAAATCTGCTAAAGAAAAAAAAAAGCAAAAATGGAGAGAAAATTGATAACCAAGGGAAAGGAATAAATATGAGAAAAACTGGAAACAAAGTCTTTGTAAATAGGGAGGGGTGGAGGGGTTGAAGGGGGGGCAGGGGAATGGGGAAAAAATAAGAACCAAGATATATCATGTAAAGGTACAAATTCCCAATGATGAATGTCACCATAATGTATACCTAAAATGTAACAATAAACTTAATGAATAAAAAGAAAGAAAACTTGATGACTAGAACCCTTAAAAAAATTTTAAATCATGACTAGTCAGAAGTATTTAGTTTAGCACTACTGTAGAATACTGGATAGGCCAGGTCCAAGAACTGGGTACTGATGACATGAAATCAGTTAATAAAATACCGTCATGCTACTAACGATGCTGCTGTAACCAGGCGTGGTGGCGCACACCTGTAACCCCAGCACTCAGGAGGCTGAGGATGGAAGATCAATGGGTTCAAGGCCAGCCAGGGCTACATAGTGAAATCAAGGCCAGCCTAAACTACATAAAGAGATCCTGTCTCAAACAACAACAACAACAACAACACTGCTGAGGACTATTTAATGAGACAGACACATGTCTGAGACGTAGTATGTGAAAAAAAGCAGTTGACAAAGCATACTTATTTATGATGTGGAGTAGAAAACTGGAAGAATAAAAATCCAGTATTTAGAAGGCTTCTCTCTGGGTGGTGGAATTATGAGCTTGTTTTTGTGTATATGGGTTTCCTGAATTTTAGACAGTATTATTTTCTTGGTAGGAAAAAAAATCAGCTTTTATACCATACTCGACTCATTGAATAAAATGGGCTTAAGGAGCAACCTAAATCACTGCAACAGTGCCAAAATGGGAACTTCATTTAAAAATCTGAAGTGATGTCAAACCCAAGAAGAAAGGAGTTGCAGTTGTGTGCCAATTTGAGTTCTTTATGAGCACCATCCTCTGCCCCCAGGGTTTTTGGTTCAAACCCGACATCTCCCGTGTCCCTGTGTATGAATGCTCTCATCACAATTAAATAAGAACATAAGGGAAAGGTTTAGCATTTTGCAAAGGCCAGAGAATCTCTCAGTAATATTTACACATAAAGAGCCATCTGCCAACTTAAACTTAACATGCAAATCAGTATCTTCTTATCTACGTTAACTACAAAAAATTGGGAGTTTCACCTCCAAAGCCCCAGCAAGAGGCAAACCCTCACCACAGCACGACCCACCACCCATGTACCCAGTGTCCTGACCTGATCAGCAAACTGGGTCATGTAGCGCTGCAGTCTGGTCTGGTTGTCCATCTGCTCGCACATCTGTACCAAGATGTCAAAGTCACAGTACTTCTCCGCCAGAGAAGCAGCACATGGGTACTGGCCTAGTGTGACTGAAAGTGAGAACCAATGGGAAAAAAAATCCTGCTGTCAAAACTTAAAATACATAATACAAAACTTTACTTGAAATTTTACTTTTATTCATGTTTTATACTAAGAGTAATTAATGAAATGAGAACCTTCTCAGTGACTACCATTTGGCTTCACACCCAGATACACCTGGTAAAGATGCAGACAGTCCACTGCTTCATCACTGCTGCCCAGACACAATGTTCTTCCTCTGTGTACCTGAGCCTGGCCTGGACAGGAATGTGCTGACTACCATACTGCACCACCTACACCCTCTGCCAGCCCTTACCAGACTCTGCTTATTCATGTTAAGGCCAGCAATGCTGGGCTTTCAGGGGAAGTCTCCCCGGGTTAATTTATTCACTTTTTTAGTACCCAGTAAGTACTGAAAAAAGGCTCAATAAAGGAACACAAAGCTGTATCTATTTGCTTCACTTTAAGCTCGTGGCTATGGCTGAATTAATCCTGCTACAGTGACTACACTACTTCAGCTGTGTAGCCCCTTCATTCGTTCTGCAAACTCACAAAGCTGTAGCCCTTGCTAAACATCGTGTACTTACGCAGAGCAGACAAGAGTTCTGATCTTTTCTGCTGGTATTCCATTTCTAGGTTGTCATATCTTTCTTGATCACTGGACTTGTCTAGGGACTTCAACTGTGAAACGTAACTATCCAGGAAGCAGTCGATCAGCATGACCAGCTGCTCTGTCAAGGTGTTCCGGAGGTGGCTGTCCACCTGCGGGTAAACCGTCTTCAGGATGACCCCGTGCTGGCGGACTATTGCTGTTCGGATGCCAGTGGGACTGCTTGTGGCTGTGAAGTCACACAGGGTAACTCAGTAAGGAAGGGTTCCATGATGGGTAGGGAAAGATCAAATGCCTGAAGACTAATGTCTCTTCAGTGCTACTGAAAAACAAATCAGCGTTCAGGTGACCCTGCCTGCCCTGCTTGAACCCTTCTTCTCTGTGGAGATTTCCTCAGTTCAGTCTGGTAAGTGGGACGCTTCCTCCTAAATCCCTTCAATGCTTCCCCAGTTACTCTGTGACCTTAAATCAACATAAAATATAGCCCATTCCTCCAGGGTCAAGACCTGCTTTTACTATTTATATTAAAACCTAGTAGATGCATAAAAAGTATCAGTCAAATAGGAAACTCCATTAGCCAAAGGATTAAAGTGATATTGACAAGAACTGCCTGCATCAGACAGGACACTGAAGTTTTTTCTCATTTTACTCACAAACCTGCCCTAGGGGAGTAATAGCTTCCAAACATGACGGGCTATTAGAACTCTATTTTAGAGTAGACTTTTTTTTGGTTTTTTTTTTGGTACCGGGGATTGAACTCGGGTCCTTAGTTTGCGAGGCAGGTGGTGGAACCACTGAGGTAAATCCCCGGCCCTAGAGTAGACTCTTAATACAACAGTGTATTACCTGTCCATGGAATGTACTCAGGCTCTTTTCTTGGTGGTTCTTCTCTTCTATACAAGGAGTTTCTGTTTTGGCGATAGTGATTAGCAGCTTGCAGCATATCCTGGGAAAATAAAATGCATAATCTCACACAAGTGGGAAGCAATAAATCACCATGTTCCTGAAGACAGTCTGAAACCTAAAGTCTACTGATAAGGAAAATACTAAATATTGTTTGGTCTTTCTTGCTTCTGAAATTTGTTTTATTTTACAATTTGACTTCAATTTTGGAAAAGTTTAATAACCAAAGCAGGAAACCCAGAACTATAAAGTCTAAAGGCTAAAATTAAAGCATTTTAATAATGTAAAAAGCAAATTTTCAGGAATTAAAAACTAGAAGTTGGGCATGGTGGCACAGGCCTGTAAGCACCTGGAAGGCTGAAGAGGAAGGTTTGCTTGAGCCCAGGAATTCAAGGCCAGCCTGGGCAGCAGAGCAGAAGAGAGTGGGAGAGAGGCATAAATACTAATATTTTTGCAACAATAGAAACATCCCTCTCCAAATAAAAGGTTTATTCTACCAAACAAGAAACTCAGGATCACAGAAACTCATAATTTGCAAAGCTAAATATTCAAAATATTTGTTAGCAGACTGATAAAATGAATGACATTTTTCTAACTTTTTGGAGTTAACAAATGGCTAAGCCTTTATAAACTACTGGCAATTCAGAGCAGGACAAAGGAAGCCACTTCTTCCTCTCCTGGCTCTGGGTTCCTAGCTGGCTGCTATCATCCAGGTCAGGCCACACCTTGAGAATAGTGTTGACGTTGATCGCCACCTCAGCCCATTCGACAGAGTCCAGTGGTGCATCCCTCAGAACTTGCTCTTCGTGATCCAGAAGACACTCACAGATGGTATCTACCTGGGATACCTGTGGGCAGACAGGGGCCACTGCTTACCACAAGGTCTTGGCAATGACTGACTACTCATTAAGCTGTATCGTGATTATTAGATGGGAGAAAATTTATTGGCAGCTAATGGTGATAATAAATGTAAAAACCAAGAGAATTCTAATCTAAATTTTAACAGAGCACATCAATAACTATGTCTTATAAGCAGTTAAAACCTGGTATTATCAGGTAGCTTTTAAAATTTATACTCTAAAAAACAAATACTTATTATTTGTTATTTACTAGTGCTTAATGGAACCTTTAAATAGCACTAGGCTACAAATGATGTTACTTTATGATGTAAGACCATAAACAAACTGATTAGAATGACTTAAACTTTTAATTTCTCTTTGAGGAATTCCTCATCTTCAGACACAGCAGACATGTTTGTAGAATAGCAATAACAATATAATGAACTAAAAACATAACTTTAATTCTTCTATTTTTTGGTCATTAACACGTGGAGATAAGCTTTAGGCACTGAAACTCATTCCTAGTTTCCAGACTCAGCTAAGCTTCTTCCTTTTATTTGGTGTGTATGACAGTTCTGAGCATTCAGAATAAAGACATCAGACTTGCTATCCTTCACAAGCACACAAACTAGCAGATAGAACAAGTCTTGTACACATGTAAATCCTGGCCCACACAATACCACTCTGTCTGCCTGGCAGGCCTTGTTCTCTCTTGTGTATTTCTGAGGTTATCAAAGGCATCCTAAAAGTCCGAGTCAGAAACCTTCAACACATTTAATATGTGAAATTATGTGTAAGAACTTTTTATACATTAACATGAAAAATGTAATGAAATCACAATCAGTTGGCTCTCCATATCCATGGGTTCCATAGGTTATGGATTCAACCAACCTCAGATTAAAAATACTAGGGGAGGGCCAGGGATTTAGTTCAGTGGCACCACACCTGCCTTAGAAGCCCAAGATCCTGAGTTCAATCCCGGGTACAAAAAAAAAAAAAAAAAAAGTATACAGGAGGATATGTGAAAGTTATATGCAGGGAGTGGAAATTTAGCTCAGTGGCTCTGGAGCCTGGCTCACAAGTGCAAGGCGCCAAGTTCAATCCCCAGTACAAAAAAAAAAAAAAAAAAGAAAGAAACTTATATTGAAATTCTATGCCATTTTATATAAAGAACTTTTTGATTTGGTATCTGTGAGGAGGGTGTGCTGGTCTTGGAATGAAGATCCTATGGATACTAAGGAATGATTATCTAATCTAAAAGAAGTACTATAAAAGGAAATAAAATGCTGAAACACTTCTGGTCTATCGTGTACACTCAGTGGTTTTAAACACTGCTCATAGGCCATGCCAACACAGCCTGCACCTCAGGCAGTGAACTCTGAGTGGTTCCAGGAACTTCCCAAATGGGAGACAGGCAAAGTGGGGAGGGCATCACCAAGCAGGCTCTGTGTGACAGTACTGCCACATTTAAAACTGCTCCCCATAAGGCCCACCAATCTGAGACTGACTTGGCTTAACTACTAGCTCTTCTTCAAATGCTGATAACCCTTCACAAATAATTTGCCATCCTCACCTGGATGGATAGGGAAAGAGGGAAAAATAATTCCTTACATGTGTACATTCGTGGCATTACCACAAACCTTCTTCCCACCTCTCCTTGGCCTTGTGGTCATGGGGGTGGGCAGTGTCACCATGGAGAGCGGAGGATCAGCACGCACCAGAGACACTCAGTCTCTGGGGACCATGCTCAACATGGACATCTCTATGCAGAGTGCTCTTTCAAAGAGCCAATCACACTTTTTGTTTGCTGTATAACATTCCTAAAGTACTATTCATAAATTATGTATCCAAGTGACAATTTCCAGACCCTTCCTTCTTATTCAGTTCAGAGGAAAGAGTGCATATACTGAATGAACTGCTGTGCTATAGCCTCTGATCCAAATGCAGAAAAAAAAACCAGGCTCTTGCCCAGTTCTTTCAAATAATCTGTCACCAATGAGCTTTCTTTTACCATGTAAAGTTATGTATAAATAAAGACCAAAGAAGACAAAAGTTTGACTTGTTAGATCAGGAAATTAGGAGTGGATTATCTGTACTTTTTCGAAATTTCTGACAAATTTTCTAGATTAAAAAATAAAAAAGTGGGCCAGGGATTTAGCTCAGTGATTCTGCCGCCTGCCTTGCAAGCACAAGGTCCCGAGTTCAAACCCCGGTACCAAAATAAATAAATAAATAAATAAATAAATAAATAAATAAATAAATTAAAAAAACAGTGCAGCCAGGGATGGTGGAATACACCTATAATCCCAGCCCTCTGGGAGGCTGAGGCAGAAGGCTCACAAGTTGGTGCCCAGCCTGTGCAATTTAGTGAGACTCTGTCTCAAAATAAAAAATTAAAAAAAAAGGCTGGGGATGTAGCTTAGTGTGAGGTTCCTGGGTTCATCTTCAGTACTGCAAAATAAAATAAAATGAAATAAAATAAAATAAGCTTTTCCTCCTGTTCCCTAGGAACTAATACAAACATAAAGAAGAATCCTAAATTAAATGCAGTTATGAGAGGAATTAAAAAAAAAACCCTGAACCTAGGTTATGGTACATCAAACACTGAGAAAAGGAGGCCTGTCAGATGCTGGACACAGCCAGGCTAGAGGAGCTGGATTTTGAGTCAGCTAGGAGCTCCTCAATTGCACAGGAAAATTCCAAATTTCAGAGCTGAGGGAAGAGCTGGCTCTGTGTCCAAATCAGACACCACTGCAAAGGGAAACAAGACAGTCCTACTTAAAGGACTACAACCTCCAGAAGTGAGCTGTGGACATGCAAGAGCAGAGCTGAGGACTGCGCTCAGAGCTCGGCTCCACAGACTTAGTCCAGAAAACTGGCATCAAGCTTGATCACCACTTCTCTAAGGAAGGGGACAGTCTGCCTCACCACCTCACCAGGCTGTGGGGTATCACACAAAAACAGGAACTATATTGCTAACACAGTGTCCAGCTGCCACCTGCTGGCTGACATCTTAATCTTTTCTCCCTCCAAAGTTTATAGCTGAGTTTCCTACTCCTCTGAAAATGAGCCTGGCTTGGAAACTGAGGCTATAAGCAGGACCTTAGCAGAGAGCTAAGGAGAGGTCTGGGGAAGGGCTGCTCACAGAGCTGTGGGTAAGACTAAGGGCCCAGAGGGAAGGAACGGCACTCCTGGGTGAGCACTGCCAGCCTACATAGGAAGTGCATGGAGAGGAAATAGGTACCAGACTGCAGAGGCAGGAGGCTGGACAGGAGCAGGGTCCCTGAATTGGACACAGCCAGTGTGCTATGGATGCAGGTAAGTAAAGAACCTGGGGGAATGGCTACTCCACCTTCTGCTTTCTGCAGTGCCCCACACTTCTCACACCCCATAGGAGGTCAGAGAGCAGGGAGCCCTTGAGGGCGCCAATTTCCTGTGGTAGAGCCCAGAGAGGATGTGGAGAGACAAAGAAAACCTCAGGCTCTGTGTATAGACCAGGTAAAAAATAAGGGACACTTCTCAGTGATAGCATGCAGAAAATAGAGAATGCAACTTAAAATTTCAAGATTTAGTCTGTCTTCTCTCTGGCCTGCCTGGGGATGATAAAGACACACTATAGCTCTGCAAAGCTCCAGGAAAGCACAAATGATTATGAGTCTGACCTCACGAAAGAAGACGTCTGCGGGAGTCAGGCTGCCCGGGATGTCGCACCCTCTCTTGTTCAGAGTAATCAGAATGGCAGCATTCACAAGGTCTGGCAGCCGTGAGTGGTGGTTCTTGAGAGCGATGGTGGCTGACAGCTTTTCTGCGTGCTCACACAGCAGCAGCCGGGTTGCCATCAATGTCCCTCTGACTGGAGAGGTGTCCAGGCGCCCAAACAAGCCAACCTCACCGAAGACAGACACGTGTTCTCAGTAAGCATTCACAACCACATGCAAACTGTGATGCCTTTCCCTCCAGCCCCAGGCTCTCCCACCACAGACCCATAGCTGTCTCTCTTCTCAACTGTTCCCAGCACACACACAGTAACACCCCTCAGGTGTAGCTGTTCCTGTCAGGGTTCCCCTACAATTTCTATTCATGACTGTTGTCTCTGTCCAACTGAATTTCTTGAATTGCTGCTCATGGTTATCAAAGTGGCCAAATTGTTCTTTTCTGTCTACACCAATGAATTCATCTGGATTCCAGACCTCTAGGTACTAGAAACTCAGCAGCCTCCATCTCCAAAGGCTGATTTCTGAACCAAAAGTCTTAGAGATAGAGTCTTCAGTTCTTTCTCCTCCTACTTCTGATTTAATGACATCCATTTCTAGTGGTTCACGATGGTGTAGGCGTTTTCCTACACTTGATCTTAGCCAAAAGGCTGAGAAGCAATGGTCGAGGAGTTTTCCTAAGAGTTTTAACTTGATCAAACATTATAGTACCAGGAACTAGGAAGCAACTAAGACAAAACATAAATGAGTAATTTTCTACATTAAAATACAATTCTTTTCATAATGAGTAACCTGTTTTCTCTAATTTACTTCTGTACCTGCTTCTGCAGTATTTATATGCTAGCAGGTACCCCTCTGAACCTCGTTAAATTTGATAGTACCTGAATTTTTCATAATGTTTAGTTTTTAATGACTGTAATATTTTCCTGAATCAATCTACCTTAATTCATTCAACCTGTTCACCTGATTATTTTTCACAAAAGGGAAAGGGACCAAGAGATTGGAGGGGGCGGTTAAGATGGGTTCTGTACATGTACCAACCCCCATGAGGACCGTAATCATTATGTACTGCAAATATATACTAATAAAAAACAAAAATTGAAAAAAATTAAGCATTTCAGATGATCTGAATTCATTTCCTGGTTCCTTCAAAAATCTCTTAGGTACTGTTCTTCTGAAAGGCCTCCCAAGGCCTGTAATGCAGACTGCTCTGAAGCTCAGCTGTGTGCGGAGACATACAGACACACAGGGAGGATGCCTGGGCTGACCACCCCTCCGCCCCTCTACACGGGGCACTCCGGCTTCCTCCACACTAGAAATGAGCAGCCAAGAGTTCTGAGGCACTGCTATCACTCCCTACCCCCCTCAGAATGAGGATACGCCCAGCTGCCGATTAACTGGCTTGAGGACATCAAATGCCCTGCAGTGAGAAGTATTTCCTTAGACAGACGATTCAGTGACACGTTTCAGTAACCGCTAACGCAAATGCTTTCCAATCGTGAAATAAGCTGTAAATATAACATGCAGGGCATGGCCAGAATGGGGTTTTCAGACCTTGGTAGACACTGCCAGCAGCTAAGACTCTGACAGGGTCTCTGGATGACGGAGCTGGGCCAAAAGATGACACAAGGTCCAACCCCTTGATGGCTGTGGCCTCTGATAAACGGATGTGCCCAACGTGTGACACACCCACACCCCAGCATGCGCACCCTCTTACAATGTGACCTTGCCCTCCACCCATCAGGAGTTTCTCCATCCCTTCCATCTGAACTGGTCTGCACTTGTTTTGACCAATGTCATTTTCTTCCTAACAATATAAAACCATTTATGAAACCCTAAGTTTTTATATAAACACACACAGAAAATCTAAATGAAATTCTGTTTTTAAAAAGAGCAGGTTTCAGGGATATGACAGTGTCAAAGCTGAATGTCAAAAAAAAGCTGAAATACAGTACTTTTCTTCTTTCAGCTGTATTCTCAATGCAGCTTTCGTTCTGGACACAGAAGATGAAGGCCACGAATCAAGTCCCAGCCCAGGTAACGCCTCAGATGGAGAGTAGGGAAGCTCTATTAGCTAGAGACTGATAAGGCAGCAACAGACCCAGTTGCAGCCTTGGGGCCCAGAACATGCTCTTACTTGGTGAAGGAAGTCCATGAGGAGACAGTGGGCTTTCATCTTGTCTTCCAGCTGGTGGAGAATGATCAACGAGGTGTTGCTCAGCCCAGGGGCCTCTGTTAGAGATGAAACCCCAAACATCATGCTTTTCTAATAATCACTGCTAGTAAATTTAAAAAATAAGAAAATTTAAAAAGAGAGTACTAACTCATCAGTGAAAAAAAATTTTTTTTGAGACAGGGTCTCACTACGTAGTTCAGGCTGTCCTTGAATTTGCTATGTAGCCCAGGCTGGCCACAAATTCAAAGATCTGCCTGTCTCAGCCTCCCAAGTGCTGCGATTATAGGTGTGCGCCACCACACTTGGCTGATCAGTAAAACTGTATACATATACATAACTCAAGAGTTTTCAAATTTAGAGAAAACCTGGCGGGGGGGGGGGAGATTACACAATTCATAGTGTATTTAATCAAATCAAAAAGTGCACTACAGTTTAGTCACTGTTATTATTCTAAGGAGGTGGGTACTGATGCTGTCTTCCCTCATTCCTACTGATGTTGAGCAGACTTGCCTGAAGCAGGATTGTGAAGAAAAGAAATCTTCATTTGAGCCAGCCTGCTGGAGCTCAGGAACTTCAGTGTGGCCTTGATGTTGCAGAGGTAAGGGCTGGTTGCCTGGGACAGGCAACAGGACATGATGTGGCCACTTCTATATACTGGGACTTGTTCCCTGCTACTCTAAGGAGAACATGTGAATTCTATTAGCCAAATATAATGATTATGTCAAAATTATTTAATTTGGGGCAAGTGTCAAATGCCTACCTACATCATCAAGTTCTTTCAGAAGTAAAATGCTGAGAACCCAAAGTAATCTAACTCAGACAGAATAACTGAGGGCCAGGGATTTAGCTTAGTGGTTCCACCGCCTGCCTCATAAGTGCAAGGTCCCGAGTTCAATTCCCGGTACCAAAAAAAATAATGTAGAAGGAATAACTGAGATTTGCTCCAAAATTTCCTCAGTCTCTATTTTAATATCTAGATCTAACCTGGGTTGCTTTTCAGGTTATAGCCTTTTTTTAACATATAGCCTTTTAACATAGGTTAAAACATAGGTTATAGCCTTTTAACAAATGTGCTTTGAGAGACATGTTGAATAAAGAACAAGAAAATCTTTCTCAAACAAATTGCTCCACCACTCAGTAAAATTGAAATATTCTTACCTTCAGGGACAGATTCAGCCCACCGTGGATCAGAAGCTGGATAGTCATCTATCAAGTCAACGCTGATCTGGGTGACAGCCCTGTCTAGTTCAGTATCAGCATCCAAGTCGGAGTGAGAAAATAGCTCATCAGCCATCATTTGAGCATGGCCCAAATCTTTCCTAAAATAAAATTGGAAAACAAGCTGGGGATGGTGGTGCACACCTATGATCCCAGCACTTGGGAGCCTAAGCCAAGAGGATTGCTGCAAGTTCGAGTCCAGCCTGGGCTACATAGGGAGTTCAAGGCCACCCTGAACTACAAAGTGAGACCCTGTCTCAAAAAAAAAAAAAAAGAAAGAAAAGAAAACCATGAAAGGAGGCAAAACATTTCCAAAACATCCCAGAAAACTGTGGCATTAAAGTCCCATGTGGAGGTTTTAGCCCAAAACATTATTAATAACAATCAAAAGGGAGAAAACTATTATGTAGTCATTAATAATTTACTGAATACTTAGAACATGCTAGGCCCTAGACACTGAATGAAGAACAAGACACTGAAATCAGTATTGGGCTTCAGAAAGTAGGCAGCGTCAGGACTCCTGAGTCAGTTAAATAAGCCATGACACACGCATGTAAGAAGTATCAGGACAGAGAAGAACAGAGAGACTGCCCTAGCACAGGCAGGAGGATGTGGCAGGAACACATAAGCCTGCCAGTCAGCAAGTAAGCTATCTGAAGGACCTGCAGCTATGTGGGAGGTGGAGACTGCCCAGGGAGAGAAGAGTTTGGAAAAAAGCTTCCAGAGCAACAATTTGAAGGACAGGCAAATCTCTAAAAGGCAAACTCTTCTTGACTGGGCAGAGAAATTACAGGACAACCAGGGTACCGATGAGAACAAGGGGGCCAGGCAGGGCTCACATTCAGAAGGGAGCAATCAAAACATCAGAGAACACACAGTGCTGTAAGCCACACTTGGGCCCAGGCCCAGGCACCATGGTTAGGCAACAAGGAGGAGGTCTCAGGATCTCTTCTAGTTTTCCAAAACACTGTCCTAACTCTATGAAGTACCAAGGGAGTGAGAAGGCAAACAAAATATGAGGGTGGTAACCTAATTAGGAGGTTACCAGAGAAAACTCAGTTGAAAAATTCGGATTTAACAGCTCTGCAATCCTACCGTGAAGAATCAACTTTTTAGGATTCCTCGCTGAGTGCTCCAAGAATGATCACGTGAAATTCACAAGCAGGGTCTAGGTGGCAGCCCTGCTAGAGGACAAGGACACACCCCAGCTAAAGGCAGGGACCCCTTTCCATGCCTAGTAACTCTCCAGGATACCTCACACTGACCACACTGGGTGGAGGGTGCTCCCTCCTCACAGGGCTGAGATCAGGTACCCCTTTCCATGCCTAGTAATCCTCCCACAGAACATCTCAAACTGACCACACTGGGATGGACAGTATTCCCACAACCCCATTCACACATATCTACAGCCTCAGAATGTGAATGGAAATAAGACTTCTGCAGATGCAATTATTTGAGATTAGGATTAGGGTAGGCCCTAAATCCAATAATGGAGCCCTTTAAGAAGGTCATGTGCAGATGGCTACATCAGGAAGAGGCCACGAGACAATGGTGGCAGAAATGGAATGATGGGCCTCTAAGCCAAACAACCATGAGAAGCCAGGAGAGACACTGAAGTATCCTCCCCAGTGCCTTCAAGGGAGCACAGCCTCGCTGGTCCTTGATTTTGGATTTCTGCCCTCCAGAACTGTGAGATAATACTGTATTCTTCTGTTGTTCTAAGTTACTAGGTTTAGGGTAATTTGTATGACACCCACAAGAAACTAACATAATGACGGTGACTAGCTACATCATCATTTACATCTGATAGAACTGTAATTAAAGGATAGACTTGCCAGGAGTGGTGGCACATACCTGTAATCCCAGCACTCCGAGGCTGAGGCAGCAAGATCGCCCCAAGTTTGAGGTCAGTCAGGGCTACATTGTGAGTTCAAGGCCAGCCTGAACTACACAGGCTGTCTCAAAAATGAACAAATGAATGAATGATAAACCTGCCCAAGATAAATAATCCAAATCTTTCTGGTAAGACTCAACCATACAACAAAACAATATTACAAGAATACTATTTAGTAAATAGAAACAGAATCTTGTCTAATGGTGCCCTCTTCTGGACAAGATCTAATCTCAGCAAATCATTAGGCGGCAAATAATTTTAAAACTGGGAAAGCACTACAGAGTCTGTTATCCCTTCAGTGACAGTGTTATGCATCAGTTACCACCACAAAGATTACATGGTCATGACCTGGGAACTAGGAGAAACGGAAGCAGTAATTCAGAGTATTTCCCAAAAATAAAAACATGTTAACTACTTCAGTGAACCCAGTGTAAAGGAAGAAACAGAGTACTAGGAATGTTACACAATCTGTTCAGTCTCACACAGCTCAGGGAGGGATGAGGTGGAGAAGCTGGATCACAAGCTTCCTGAATAAATTATAATTTCACTGCTCCTTTAAGGGAGGTGATATGCAGTGGTAAACTGAAATCTGAATTCACTCACAAATGCCCTCTTACTGTGTAGACCCACCCGAGCCTTGCTGTGGCTAAAAGGATACCAGCAAACCTCAATGAGCAGACTCGAGCTGGCAGTGCACTGAGGTGCTCTGCACCCTCCATTCTGTGCACAAGCTTGAGTAGCCTCTCAGACAATGGAGTGTGGGAAGTAAGTTTGAAAGAAAGGACCAGAAATGTCCAGAAAAGGTCTGAAATGATCTCTTGGTAGAGTAGGACAGACCTCACAAGAAAAGTGCAAAAAAATTCCCAAAAGAATGAATGGCCAGGGGCCGGGGATTCAGCTCAGTGCCACTGTGCCAGCCTGGCAAGTGCAAGGTCCTGAGTTCAATCTCTGGTTCCACAAAAAAAAAAGAATGAATGGCCAAGAGGAATCTGGAGATCTACCTGCACTACAGGTTGCAGGAATATAAAGGTGACAGGGCAAAGGGCGAGTTTCCCTAGACCCTGACAAAAGATTTTCCAATTATATTTTTTGAGCTGATTAAAATGAAAACCAAAATAATACAAAAGATAACTTTAAAGAAAACATGCTGTAAAAGCAGTACCACTACTTCAGCAAAAAAAAAAAAACAACAAAAAACGAGATAGAACTTGAAAGTGTATCTACCAATTCTGACTCTCAGGGCCACTTGGCCATGTCTGCAGATGACAGGGAAGAGGGAAAGGTGCTGCTGGCCTCTAGTAGGAAGCCTGAAGTTCACAGGATATGCCCAGCGCAAGCAAGCACCTGCCTCAAATGTCAACATGCTTGTGAGAGGCCACTGGAAATGTGCATGAACCAAGCCAAGAACAGCCAGCCTCAATCCGGGCCACTATGAGGAAGCCCAGCCGGGAATTGGTCCATCTACCCTCAAGTCCAGTCTCAAACAGCCAAACTGGGGAATCTAAGCCATAAAACTTAGGGGGCACTAAGTTCTAAGGTGATTTTGTATGCAGCAAACTCAACTAACAAGCCAATAAATTGCTAAGTTCTTTCATAACAATGATAAAACTTCACCTGTGATTTACTTTCTTATCACGCATGAAAGACCTTGCAACCCAGCCTCAAGACTGTCAGCTTCAATGTTCATTGCTTTCCACGAAGTGCACCATGAGTTAGATCAGATGCTTTCCCAGCCAAGCTCATACCAGTAACTACCAAGTTTAGAGTAACTGTTCATGAAATCACCAATGTTCAGAAAAGCCTCTTCCTGGGCCGGGGATTTAGTTCAGCAGTTCCACAACCTGCCTCGAAAGCACAAGGTCCTGAGTTTGATCCCCAGTACCAAAAAGAAAAGAAAAGCCTGCTCCTCTTGGTAGTATCACTCTTCCAACTTGTTCTTCCCGCCACTCAATCTGCAGCATGTGTCAGTAAGAACATATCCTGGACACATCACAAACCCTGATCTTAAAGATAGGCCATATCACAAGGTCTCCAGTTCGACCCTGGTACCAAAAAAAAAAAAAAAAAAAAAAGATAAGCCATACCTACAGTACTGCAGAAAGGCAGCTTTCAGTAGCTTTGTTTTATCTTCCTGTGCTATGGTTTCATTCTTTGTGGTGGTCTCAAACACCATACTCTGCAAGAAAAACAAGCTACAGTTTACAGGTGAAGCAATCAGAACACTCCTAACTGCTCCAGAATGAACTGGACCTATCCTACAACAGGACAATAACACACACGAACCGGTTACTAAATCATCTAACAAACTTGTTTATATATCCCCAGGCATTTACTGAACATGACAAACAGAACTCAACAATTCAGGCATAGAGACACATGCCAGTAATTCCAGCTACTCAGGAGACTGGAACAAGAGGATCACAAGTTCAAAGCCAGCCTTGGCAACTTAATAAGACCCTGTCTCAAAATAAAAAATAAAAATGGTTGGAGGTGCAGGGTTTAATCCCCAGTTCTGGAAAAAAAAAAAACCCACAAAAAATTAAAGATTTCATCATGACCAACACAATCCTTCACAAGTTTTGCACTTATATAGCTAATCACAATGTATACTATTAAGCATATGGATGATTACAAGATTAAAGGATTCAGAAAAACTTAAAAGAAATGGAATATTGTAAGGTAGCTTCAGAACATACAGCAGTATTACAATATAACTACATAATTATAAAACGAAGTTTAAAAACTTTACTTTCTGTAAAAGTCACTTTACTTTTTTTTTGTGGTTTTTTTAGACAGGGTCTCACCTTGTAGCTCAGGCTGGTCTTGAACTCACAGTGCTCCTCCTGTCTCAGCCTCCCAAGTGCTGGAATTACAAGGCATGTGCTACCATGCCTGGCTGCAAGCCACTTTACTTTGAATTACAAAAATATACTACATCACATACTATTCAAAATGGAACATACCCCAAACAGTATTATTTTTAGACTCCAGGAAAAGATCTAAAAAAAAAAAAAGCCAGACATGGAGGTACATAGCTATAATCCCAGCACTGTGGGGGGCTGAGGCAGAAGGATCACAAGTTTGAGCCCACCCTGACCTTGAGCAACTTAGCAAGACCTTGTCTCATAAAATAAAAAGGGCTGGGGATGTAGCTCAGTGCAAAGGCCCTGGGTTCACTCCCCAACAGCAGAGAAAGAGAGAGGAGACAGAAGGGAGGGTAGGGAAGGGAGGTCTATTTATAGATGGATAGGCCCTGAGGGGTTGAGGACAGTGCAAAAAGAAGGCTTCAGGGTCACAGATATGCAGATACAGTTTCCTGAGATACAACCATGGGAAGAACCTCACTGAGAAGCATCTTTCAGAGCCACTGAAGGATGTGGGACGACAAACTCAGACATTAAAGAAAAATGAGCCAAGTATAAAACTATGCCGTTACATACTCCAACAACCACAAGAAGTCAATCATGACATGGGAAATGCATCAGTACATTACTAGGCTCAGCAAACCAAAAACAATATTCACATTATCGTTAGAATAGAAAACATTTTTATTGGTAAGGCAAAGACAGATGAAGGAGTATAAATTACCCCAAACTTTCATCTTCTAAGATTGGTAACTCAGGAGACAGCAATATGCAAATATTGTTTAGAAATGGAGAGGAAAATAACAGAAGGAACAACTAAGAGACCTAAAAGCAGCTGCTCTGGGAAACAGGACAAAGGAATGAGGGAGATAAGAGAATGAATGTTTTTTGATGGTCCCAGGAGGTTGAGGCAGAAGGATCACAAGTTTAAGCTCAACCTACAGAACTTAGTGACTTAGTAATATTCTGTCTCAAAATAAAAAAAGGAGGGCTTGGGATACAGCTCAGTGCAAAGGGCCTGTGTTCAAACCCTAGTACTATCAAAAAAAAAGGACTGGAAGCGCAAGGTCCTGAGAACAATCCCAGTACCAAAAAAGGGATGTTTTCATCCTAAATCTTTAAAAACTGGCTTAAGTGAAACATTTGTGTGAAACAGTCTTACAAAAACAAAAGTTAAAACATCTTAGGAAACCACTCGACCTCATTGCCTGGTCCAGTGACTGAAGAGGCCAAGGACCCCTCCATGTCTTCCGCTAAGAGGGATACACTTTCCCTTGATGTGATGGACACCAGGCCACTGTTTCTAGAGAAGAGGATGGGAACACTGCCACAGGAGCCAGCACCCAAAATGCCATCTCCTAGAAAGAAAACAAACAGATCTTTCTGAAATCCACCATCCTGAGCAGAAAACAGTCATGATCATGTACTTTTTCCTTTACAGTATCACTCCTACCTTGAATTCAGCTTTTAAATTCCAGAATCAAATCAAGTACCTGCTGCTATATGAAGAAGCAGACTCTGTGTCCTTCCACTTTTTAAGGACAAGAAGAGCTGTTCTTGTAAGACAGCAGGGAGTACAGTAAATCTCCAGAGAAAATCTTCATCCTGCATATCTCAGAATAGCAGCTCTTCCAATCTGGTAGCATCTTCTTCCTTAATTGACTGTGACAACTGGGTCAGCCGGGGGGTAAGGTGCCTACACCCACAGAGCACCTTGGTAATGTCTTACCCATCTGTCATCTAGGCTCTTAGCCTTCGGCAAGAAACACCCAGCTCCCTGCTGTGGCGTTTCCCAACTGTCCTCTGTGCAATTCCTTAGATAAGTACCCTGATTAGAGTATTCACCTGGCTTATCTACATTCCTGGCTAGTCCTCCCTGACTTTAGCTCCATGCCTGACTCCAGCACCTGGACTCCTCTTGCAGGGCCTGGAAAAACTGGTTTCTAGAATATCAACTCAGAAACTAACCAGGATAAGCAATTACTTCTCTTGATATCATTTTTGTTTTTGGTTTCCTCTCCAGGGAAAATGTTATTATTTTTGCCCATAAATATATGTGTTTGGGAATTCTACCGTCATTTTGATTTCTCAATAGGGTTGTGACATCAGCTGCTGCCTAAGTGGTATTAGATGCTTGAAGATGTTATGCCTGAAACCACAGGTATGGAAAGAGAATGACCAAGCATGACCAGTGAGCTCCCTGACCATGCTTTCTAAAACTGCTACTGTACCTTGTGCACTAAAGACAATTTTCTCCTGAGGAAGAGAAAATTTTCCAGTTCCTGTGGAGCACACATAGACAGCACTTTCAGTGTACAGACAGGCAGTCTGGTTTGAGAAGTCAGGGACCATCAACCGACACATAATCAGGTCTTCAGACTGAAAGTTAAAATTAAAATTACATTTACTGAGAATTGAAACAAAACTGCTTGTATGATTTTATAATCGTATTTTTATATACTATCCCATAAAAAGGATAAAATGTTAATTCACTGATTCTCCTCATGAAAATCTAAACACTGCCCATAACATGATTTACAAAACATGACACAATCAGTTTAGAAACTGCTATGGTCCTCACAAACGCAAGGTCCCAAGTTCAATCCCGGTACCGAAAAAAAAAAAAAAAAAAGAAACTGCTATGGTCTGAAAATCCATGTTCCCCTGAGAGTCTCATGTTGAAACCTACCTCACGGTGATGGTATTGCGGGGGCAGGGGGTGTGTTTGGGTCATCAGGGCTCTGCCCTCATGGACAGGATTAGACCCCATGTAAAAGAGGCTGGCAAACCTTTTTGCCCCTCCCCAGATGAGGTTACAGCAAGAAAGTGCTCTCTATGAGAACCAGTACTGAACCTGCTGGTGCCTTGATCACATACTTCTAGCCTCTAAAACTGCATGCATTGGCTCTGTTAATTAATTACCAATCTCAGATATTTGATAGATAGCCTAAGGACTAAGATGAACATCAATTAGAGAAATCATTTGTTAAAATAAATTAATTTTAAAAAAAAAGAAATTATTTGTTAGATATACCATATTCCTGGATAGGCAGAACCAATATAGTCAAAATAGCTAGAGACCTGCCAAAACTGATATATAGATTTAATGCAATCTCAATCAAAATACCAACAGTACTCTTCGTGAATCTAGAGAAAACAATACAAAAATTCATATGGAAAGAGAAAATAACCAGAATAGCAAAAGCAATTCTGGATAACAATAGCAAAGCAAGAGGCATCAAAATCATAGATTATAAGTCATATTACAAAGCTATAGTGGTAAAAACAGCATGGTACTGGCACAAAAACAGAAATGTGGGTCAATGGAACAGAACATAGGAAGCAGAAACAACCCCAGACATACTCAACTATATGTTCTTCATCAAAGGGACCAAAAACATGCACTGGAAGAAAGACAGCCTCTTTAACAAATGGTGCTGAAAACTGGATATCCACAAGTAGAAGATTACGCCTAGACCTATATATCTTATCACGTATTAAACTAAAATAAAAAGATCAAAGATCTAAATATCAAAACAGAAATACTTAATCTGCTAGAAGATAAAATAGGTACAACTCTTGAAGACACAGCTGTAGGCAAGGACTTTCTGAACAGAACTCCAATGGCAAAAGAAATAACACCAGGAATCAACAAAATGGGATTATACCAAATTTAAAAACTTTTGCACAACAAAGGAAATAACCAAAAGAGTGAAGAGACAGCCTACAGAGTGGGGAAAAAAAATTCTGCCAGCTATTCCTCAGACAGAGAACTAACATCTAGACTATTCAAAGACTCAAAAAAAATTAGACCCCCCCCAAATAAAACTCAATCAAAAGATGGGCATCTGAAATAAATAAATACTTCACAGAAGAAGTACACATGGCCAAGAAATACATGAAAAAATGTTCAACATCATTGGGCATTAGAGAAATGCAAATTAAAACAATGTTGAGACATCATCTTCCTCCAGAAAGAATGGCTATCATAAGAAAATCAAATAATAACAAATGCTGGAGAGGCCGCAAGGAAAAAGGAACACTTCCACATTTTGGTGGGAATCTAAACTAGTACTACCACTATGGCAATCTCTCAAAAAACTAAAAATAGAAATTCCATTTGACTCAGCTATTTCCCTTCTAGCAATCTTCCTGAAAGGGTTAAAGTCATCACATTACAGTGATACATGCATATCCATGTTTATAGCAGCATAATTTATAATAGCCACTCCTTGGAAACAGCCTATATGCCCATTAGTAAGTGAATGGATAAAGAAAATATGATATTTATAGAGTACTGCTCTGTCATAAAGAAGGATAAACCTGAATCATCTGCAGGAAAATGGATGCATCTCAGGACCATAATGTGAAGTGAAATAAATCAGACACAAGTTTAAATATCACACGGTTTCTCTTATATGAGAAACCCAAAAAACAAACAAAGAGCAAAATAAAGGACAGATAACAGGAAGTAGATCTTTTTCAAATGGGAAGGGGGACAAGAGATGGAGGGAGTATGGAAGGAAAGGAAAAGGAATTTTAAAAAGACCTGAAGAAAAAAATGGAAATAGAGCTTTTTCAAATGGAAAGGGGATCAAGAGTTAAAGGGAACAGGGAGCGATGAGAGGGGAAAAAGAACAAAAAAAAAATTAAAATGTGTTATGTACATGTACAAACTTCCCACAATAAATGTAATCCCTGTACTGTAAACACGTACTCATAAAAAACACATTAAAAAAGAGAAATCATTTGTTGAGGTGCAAATAACAGCAAATCTTAAAAATACATGCATAGTGTTAGATTAACTAGAAGCCCAGATCAAATGTAAGAAATGAAAAGAAAACTTTAATTCATTATTTATTTTAAAACTGGCAAACATTTATAATAACCGATAAGCTTTTTGATTCTGTATTCTACTATACTGTCAAGATATCAAGCACAAGCTTATGCTTAGCAGATGTGAGGCCCTGGATTCAATCCCTAGGGCCAAAAGATAACAAGCACAAAAATAAAACAAAACCAGTAAATTTTTTCCATATGTAAAATCAGAGGGAGAAATAGAAATGAGGCCTTATTAAATGATGAAATTAGCAAATGCTAAAAATTATAAACAGTACATTAAATGAGATCCTCAGATTTTTTTTCACATTGTTTTCTTTATACCCCTCTGCACTTTCTGAAAAATTTTTCCTATACTGAATATGTTTTTCTTTTATAATTAAAACACTCGGTAAGGTTTTTTCCATTTGAAATAAAAGAATAAATTAAGATTTGCTTATGGGATTCTGTGAAACAAGTCACATTAAGAACAAGGACTTAACAGAATTAGACACTACATAAAGTTAAATGAAATGACAAATAGCTGTCAAGACTTTCCCTCGTGCATGTCGCAGCTCAGGAACAGCTCCATCAGTAAGCTGCACACAGAACACTGATGAGACATTGTTATTACCTACATACAATCCTTGAGGCACAGAGGAATTTTTCTAATGTCAGGCTCAAAACTGAAGCCCAAGTCCCAGCAGGCATCTTCCTTACTTTTACCTTTCAGTTTTTCACCAAAATTTCCTATATTCACATTCAATACAGAAATGGCAACTCCTTCCCAGAGTAACAGCAGAAGAAACAGACTGCTTGCTGCTTAGCTCTTAAGATCTAAGTCTGGGGAAGGGAATGAATGAAATTGCAAAAAAGAAAAAGCAAAAAGAGTGCCAGAAAGTACACTACCTTAAAGTATTTCCAAGCCCTGCAGATGTACCTCAAGGAATGTGCAATAACTAAAAAAAAACCCCATGTGTGTTAGCCATCTTGCATTTTTTTTTTTTTGGTACCAGGAATTGAACTCAGGACCTTGCGCTTGCAAGGAGGCAGCAGAACCACTGAGCTAAATCTCAGGCCCAGCCACCTTGCAATTTAACTTACCTGAAAAGGTGGGTTATACTGAGTGACTTCCACAGTAACTGTGTCTGACACCTGGAAGCCGTTATCTTCCACTGTTATCAGAGAGTAATAGACAAGGCAAGGACTATCTGCTGGATGCCATGCTGCTGCCAAAATCAGGAGCCCATCACTAGTCAAGAAAAAAGAAAAGTCTAAGCCTCTCCCTGTTCAGAGCACAAAGGCATTCTCTGGAATGCCTGCATCACTCTCTGTAGCATAAACAACTGCTGCCTGCTGCACAAGTGACGCTGGAGAGAGGAGACCCAGGACAGCATTCCTGAGTGCCTCTTGCCCATCCTCAATCTGCCTCCAAATCTGAAAACCAAGGCCCACAGTGGGCGACATCTGAGCAGCAGTCTTGTTTCCAAAAGTCTGATAAAGATAAATGAAATCAGGCAAATTGCATCTAAACAAAATGATTGCAGAAATAAACAAACACTATTTAATTTTTACCTCTTTGGTAGCTTTTGTAAGGTTTTCAGACTGTAGGAAGAGGCATACTAATAGTCCCAATTGTCCAAGAGACCCACACAGCAGGATGATGGCCCCATAACCCACAGAGCATGCAACATCTGTCCCACTATGGCAGAAGCAAAGTGAGAGCCACTCTAAACTGTCACACTGGACTCATGATGAGCATCCTCATGGTAGCCAGGTTATAAATAGTTTTTAAGTTCCACGTGACCCTTATCAGGATAACCAGCTTTATTAAACTAACCTGGACTCTTATATACCACTTATAGCACTGTTTCTAAAAAGAAATTTGCTCTGAGCATAAACCATGATTAGTTCTAACTTGCCTACAAAGACAAAACCTCACCCATCCTTCCTCTGGTCAACTTAGCCACAAACTACAGGCATTCTAGAGTTCGTTCAGCAACAGAAAGGGCACCTGAGATAAGTAGCTGTTATCTCCATGGAAAGGAGACAGACCTTAGCTCAGACGCCCATAAGGCTAGAAGGATGGACTCTCAGTGTTGCCCGAAGACAATGTGAAGAAAAGCTGCTTGGCTGGGGCTCTAACAGGAAGAAAATCAAGAAAAGAACACAACATTCAAGGCTAAGACATGCCCCCATTTGCCAAGTGAACTAGCTTGGCTAGATAAGAGCCAGGCCACAGGCTTAACCGTATGAAAAGACTAGCATAAGAAGAACAGCCAGCAAGACTGCTCATCATTTTATCGTAGATATCAACTTATTTTCTAAACTGATATCTAATCTCACCTCTTTAGGACAAATTAATTCCTTACCAGTTTTCCTTCAAGTCCAAATACTGAATGTTGACCCCTTCTTTAATAACTTCATAGTTACTTTCAGATCCCTAAATGGAAATATCAAAAAAGTGAGCTCCCAAGCATAGGAAGTCTTTCTTCCCACCTGTGTATCCCCAGCACTTGATGAAGTACCACATCTATCTATGGTGGCTCCAGCATGTCTGAAGGAGAAAAGTACACACTTGACAGAAAATTGTTAAGCAAGCAAATCAGTGAGCTCCAATACAGGTAGGACTAAACACCCCACTTCTGCTCTGTGATGTCTGTGCACTGTCTATCCATTTAAATGTGTTAAAATAAATGAGGAACAAGCATTATACAACCAAGAACATGAATCACAAATGAATGTTACTGGTCCTCACCCAAATAGCATCAGTGATATTCTCCTTCAGAACTCTGTGTAAATCCCAACTGTATGTTAGCTTTTCTGAGGAATCATCCAATTCCCATTTATTGACATTTGAGCTCGTCAGGCTGTAGAAGCTCGACCTTCTTTTGTCCCAGAGAACACTTGCAAGCTGTTGGAGAGACAGGAATGCACAAGGAGTATCAGGGCTCTATTACTGGGTCACTGAAGAAAGCAATGACAGAAAGCAGTCAGAAGCGAGACAAACTTTGTAGAGTTAAGTGTCTAGACCATAGGAGAGAAGGAAGAATATGATACATTTGTTTTTAGACATGTTAAGATTTTTAGGTTCAAAGAAAATTGAAGAAGCAGATGCTAAGAGCCTCCTGAAATTAAAAAAAGAAATAGCCTAGTGACAAGCCCAAATGCCCATCAACCAACGAACAGATAAAGATGTGGGGTGGTTGTTTTTTACAATGGAGTACTACTCTGCCATAAAGAAGGATGAGCTTGAGGCATTTCTAGCTAAAGCTCAAGGAAACACCTTGAGACCATACTCTTAAGTGAAATAAATTGGACACACATGTTTAAATACCACATCATTTCTCTGGTATAAGAACCTGAAAGTGGAAATAAGAACTAAAATGTATAATAGATATTGGGAAACGGGAAGAAAATGTTCAGATGAGAAGGGGAACAAGGGAGGGGGAGGGGAAAGGAAAGAAGGGACAAGAAAAAAAGAAAAAATAGAAGGAAAAAATGAAAACAAAGCTTTTGTATATAAGGAGGTGAAGGGGTCAATAGGAGAGGGAATGGGAAAAAAAGAAGCAAGATATATCATGTGCAGTACAAATTCCCTATGATGAGTGTTGTCATTATGTATATGTAAAATGTACCAATAAATGTTTTACTTCAAAAAAACAAAAAAAGCTGTGCTTCAGAGGCAGACAGGCTAGGCATGACCTCTACTCTCCCTCTGAGCAGCCATGCAACCTCAGCCTCCGCAAGGCTGCTTCCCCAGGGGTAAACTGCAGGGAAAGTGTCTGCTTTACAGTTGCCACCGTGGTTACACAAGACAACAGACAAAGAGTGCAGAGCAGAGCAGACACTCCCTAAAGATCGGTTACCATCATCCTTCCTGCTCTTAGCTGACCACAAGCAGTACCAGCCCCCAGATATGTCATCCACACAGAGAGTTGGAGACAAAGGAGAGAGGAGAAGATGCACTTCAAGTCAAGTCTAAAAAGCCAAATTAATTCTTAATAAACACACTTTAGATTTGGCACTATAGTTTTAATTCAGGTGGATGCAATAATAACTTCATAGGAAACTATCAACTTACTGATTTCACTAAGAAATAAGCTTGTAAAACAGGTATTTTACAAACTTACCATGAGATCACTACTAGGAGACAAAATTCCAAAAAGGGAAGAAACCTTTCGACCAATTCCTGAAAGCATGCCTTGTCCCTGTGGCAGGACATGCTGATAAATCCTTCCAGAGCTTTCAGGTATCAACCGAATTAGTTGACTTCCCGCAGAGGCCAAGATAAAACTTCCTCCCTGTGGACAAACACTGTTGAGATTAGTTCAGGTAAGCACTTAACACTGAGACAAAGAGAAGTAACAAGAAATGCTTTCTTTGTTACAGAGAAAAACCATCCCCACCTTAAATCTAAAAGAATGAAAAGGTATGATGTTGTTTTATTAAAATAATTTACCTCACAATCTATTTAACTCATTATAATTAATTCTACATAGAAAAACTCTTATAGCTTAAAAAGTTAATTTTTTTTTTTTTTTTAGTACCTGGGATCGAACTCAGGACCTTGCATTTTCAAGGCAGGCGGCAGCACCACTGAGCCAAAAATCCCTGGCCCAAAAGTTAATTTTTTAAAATTCTGATTTTTAAATTGAAGTTCATCATATTGCAGGTTCAACAAATCAAGTATCATATTTTATTTCTCTGATAAACCTGCGGAGTAGACACAAGCGCTCATCCTGCATACTGCCTGAGTTTAACTACGCTCATAAAACGTTTCTAAAATAAATGAGCAGCACTTGCTACCACCTGATAATGACATTCTGGAGTCCCATGCTGTAGCAGACATCCCTGCCCAGTACTGGCAGGCTGTAAGTGGCACAAGCTTCTTGCTTCCCCATAATTTGGCTATATTATATTAGGAGTCTGACCAAAGCCTATGTGACTCACATGGGCATGTCAGATGGCAGAGCAGGGCGAGCATAGCTCCTCTGCAAGTGGCTGCCATGGAGACCTAAGTCCTGGTCTGTGAAGCGGCAGGGCCCTGTTGCGTTAACTTCCAGCTGAGTTCAGTTTGACCCCAATTAAATTCTTTTCCCTGAATTATGGCTTCCCTTACTGACCTGATGGGTTGATGGTTAATTATGACCCCGTCCTGGTCCCCGTTTGTTCTCTCCTGCAAGAAAGCAGTGCCTTTCTTTTTACGGCTCTGCCTGTGATAACTGCCATGGCCAGATGCCTCACATATTATTGCCAGAAGTCTCACATATTATTGCCAGAAGTCTCACATATATCCTGCTCTCCTTCTTCCCACACTTGTAATCAATATACTGGAAGTCTTTGGTGCATTTTTGTTGCCCAGAGCAGCTTAGACGAGCCCAGACCCAGCCTCTTTGTCTTTCAGCCGTTTCTGTGTCTTTCTTCTGTTCTCTCTTACTCTCTCACTAGTGTTGTGTTGCCTTGCAGGAGCTTGAGACCCATGGCTGAGGTCCCCAATACTAAGCAAGGGCCCCCCCTTTGTCTAGCCCAGTGGTGGCAAACCAATGGCATGTGTGCTGCAGTGGGCAGGCAGAGCCCTTTCTGTCGGCACAAGATCAAAGTTGCCTCAGCGTCGCCCCAGCAGCCAAGCACTCAGGTTTAATTGCTGTGTTGGCATTTTGAGATATGTAAATGGGTTAGGGGGTGCAGTTTGCCATCTAACTGGTACAGTTGCTTTCTAAAAGATTTGCCATCACTAGTATAGTCATTCAAATCACAGGCCCACACATATTCTTCTCCTTGTCTCCTGCTGGTCCTTCCCAGACTGAACAGCCATTCAGAACCCACATGTTTGGTCATTCAAATCTCACTGTCAACCCAAGTCACAGCTTTCCCATAAACATGTAGGAATATCCATCACACCTGCACCGCTGTTAGGAATCTGCACATCCTGTCACCCCCCAAGTCCACAAATGTCTCTGTGTAGATGTCTTCCCCAGCAAGGCTTGGCCAGTAGCGGACGGACCCTTCACTGGTGGCAACCATGACAGCAACAGCCTTGAAACAAAACCACAGGATAGTCAGCAATCAACAAAAGGTCTCAACCCTGGGAGTCTATGACACCAACAAAATCAGAAATGGAACTCTTTAAAAATATTTTTTTTAACTATCAAACATGCCCAGGTGTGGTGGTACACGCCTGTAATCCCAGCACTTGGGAGGCTAAGGCAGGAGGATCACTGTGACTTCAAGGCCAGCCTGAACTACATAGCAAAACCCTGTCGCAAAAAACCAAAATAAATAAAATATAATACAACACAATACAATATAACACTCAAACAGTGAAACTGATGTTTCCTTTGTTGTACAGTTCTGTGAATTCTGATGCATGGATTCATGTAACTAACCACAAGAAGGATCAATAACCCCCAAAACTTCCCAGTAATTATATCCCTTGACAGTCACATACCTTCCTCCATCCTAACTCAACCACTGTTTCTACCAGTGTAGTTCTGTCTCTTTGAGAACATCAAACAATGAGATCATACAAAATATAAGCCACTGATACTGGCTCTTCTTAACTTGGCTTACTGTCTTTGAGATCCTTCAGATCATGCAGACATCAGCAGTTCCTTGAATTTTGCCGTCTTGTGCTATAAAACAGTGGTTTCTAACCTTTCTGCCACCAGGGACAAGTTTCACGAAAGATAATTCTTTCAGGGATTGGGGGAGGGTGATTTTGGGTTGAAGTCTCATAAGGAACATGCAACACTAATCCACTGCATGCACAGGTCACAGTAGGGTTCTTGCTCCTGTGAAAATCTAACGCTGCCGCTGATCTGACAGGAGGTGGGGCTCAGGGGATAAGGTAAGGGATAGGGAGCTGACTGTAAATTCAGATGACGCTTCATTTGCCCTCCAACCACCTCCTGCTGTGTGGCCTGGTTTGTGTCCTAAAGTTTTTAATTTTGATCTTATTTTAACTTTAATATTAATTTTACCATTTTTTTCCTATGGATCATGATTTAGTGATTTCTAAGAACTCTGCCTAACATCACCTTATGACAATTTTTCTCGTTTTCTTCTAAAATTTTTACAATTTTTACATTCAGAGGTATGATCCATTTCGAGTTAATCTTTGTACATGGTATGAAGTTTAGAGGGATATTCAATTTTTTAAAATTATAGACGACCAATTGTTCTAACAACATTTACTGAAAAACCGTCCTTTCTCCCTTAAAGTGCTTCTGTACCTGTTGAAGACCACTGGCCAACTTCTATGGGCCTGTAAACAGGACTCTGTTCTGTTCCACTCTGTCAGTGCCATGGAGTTTTGATTTCTGTAGCTTTAGTTATGTCTCAAAATTAGCTTGGGTGTTTCCTCCAATTGTAGAATATCTTTATTTTGAAAAGTTTATTTCAATAAGCTTTAAAGTCACCTACCTGAACAGAATGTGCTTCACCTGAGGTGGCAGAGTAAGAGACAGCCACCAGGTCAGCACTCCAGGGGAAGTCACTAGGTGGCAGCTGAAGTTCTTTGCAAACAGATAACTGCAGAACAAACCCAAACAGAAAACCTCTGGCATCAAATCCAATTTTTTGGAATATGAAAATACATCTAACTTCTCTATTTCCTTTCTCTGTGCATTTTACATTCTGATTCATTTGCTGGAACTACCATTCTACAAATATTCTCTTCACAGCTCTTTTTGATCATGCTTTCAGTACTTTTACAATAAAGACTCTTAAGAGACACAGAGGCAGGAAACTTAAGAGTGAGGCTGGATTTTGAACAGCAATTAGTGTATTCTTCCAAGGCTAAAGAGCCTACAGATTGAGAAGTATTTAGGCTTCCTGCAGACTTTATCCATCTGGTTTTGGCTTGTTTGATATTAAAAACTAGCATGACCAAGAGTAATTACACCAACCTGCCTTGAAAATACTTCTTAGCTAACAGCAAAGTATCAAGATCCTTCTGCTAACCAGGCATGGTGGTTACACACCTGTAATCGCAGCACTCAGGAGGCTAACGCAGGAGGATCACTGCAAGTTCAAGGCAACCCTGGGCTACATAGTGAGTTCAAGTTCAGCCTGAACTGCATAGCAAGACCCTGTCTCAAAAAAACAAAAACAAAATCAAAAAAAGATCCCTTTGCTAAATTAGCATGCCCCTTGGTCTTCTCCCTCATTTACTGCACCCAACAAAAAAAGCACTATTTAGGCAGCAGCAGTACAGAGGCCAACAAATGTGAAGTTTAGGTAGGCAGGAGCCCTGAGTTCCAAGAGAACAGAGGCTCAGAATAATGAGAGGAGGTGCTAGAGACTCCGCATAGGGTAAAGAAGTTGCTGTGGGTAAGGTGCTAGACACAAATAATGACCTACTGCCAGAAGATCACAGCTGAAAGCTTTCCCATCTACTGGCATATTTCCTGTTCTGTAAGCACCATTTACTCAAGTCACCAAAATATGGTTTATCTTCTTAGAAATAAGCACGTTATGACAGCTTATGTGAACAGCATTATCTTAGATTTCATTAGGCACACTGATAGGCATCATGCCCCATGAAAATTTTTGTCTCTGATTTTATTAAATGTAAATAACATATATCTTGTAAAAAACATTAAAAGGGCTTCTTATGCTAATTGTACTTGTACAAGCATGGTGAATGGTCCTAAAGCCTCCTGGACTTGCCGTAAGGAGGATGGCAAGTACCAATCCCACAAGGTGACATGGTACAAAAGGTGAGAACTCTGCTCAGAAATGGCACGAGCTAGAAGGCAGAATGCTGGGGGTAGGAGAGGGCAAAAGCCCATGTTCCAGAAAAAGGCTAAAATCACACAGAAGACTGTGCTGAGGCTTGAGTGAATGGGGCCTGTGGAGAAACAAGGGGCCATGTGACCCAGGGCTGAGCTTCACCTTCATTATGAAGACAGTAACACCCTGAGGTTGTGTTCACCTGGCTGCAGTGGTTCTTTGGAGAGGGAATAAACTACATATATTAATTTTTTAAAAGTCATGAAAATAGGAGAAACTTTTCCCAATACAAAAACATGGATGTGTGCTCAGTATTTTCACAAATTCCCAATTGTCTGTGTAGATTCAGACCACTGCCCTCCACCAGCCCTAAAGAGGGAGGAGAAGATGCAGGGTCCAGTGGTCTCCTACCCCTGTGACCCATGAGCTCCCTGAAGAACATACCTTGGTGACGGGGGACAGGGTGATCTTCCAAACAAGGAGCTTCTCCTTGCAGACCAGGCAAGCCCATCCACCTTCATCGATATGGACAGACAGTTGATCATCAACTAGGGCAGAAAAATGAGATACACACTCAACCTTAAATTGTGAATATGAATAACTATTAAATCTCTTTATGCCAAAATCCTCTTTATTACCACTTGCTTCAACATAGGTAACAGAAACACGCTCACAAAAGATTAATTCACAATAAAAAATATTTCAAGGGCTGGGGATGTAAGCTCAATAGCCTGTGCCTGCCTGGCAAGCTCAAGGTCCTGAGTTCGATCCCTGGTACCAAAAAAACATAAACAAAGAAAAATATTTCTAAATGCTCCACAACTATCAACACCCAAAACAAGAGATCCATTTAACTTTGATAATTACCTTTAGAAATATATTAAAAAACTGTATTTTAACCTAGGTTTGATACACCTTAATTTTTTATTACATAAAAATCCAACTTTATTGAACATAGGAATAGATGGATTTTCAAATTATTTTTGCTTTAAAGGTTATTAGTATCTGATCTACGGTAGAACTTACTAACTGCTACTATACGAAGATACTTGTCTATTCTTAATTCTATATTCATATACAAATATGCTTAAATGTAGAGAGAAACATTTGTGACTGGCTTATTAGTGCATGGTAATCCCTGGTATAGGCACTGCTCAAGCTGGTAAAAGGGGAATCATCCTTTCTTTAGCAAATTTGAAGCACAGGCACAAATTTGAATTTTATACAAAAATTCAGTTTTACTCTTATTCTTACATCAGTGGGAGCTAATGCCTGTAACTTTCAGGCAAGCAATACTTTTGTTTTCCACCGCCTAGCTGAACAAAAATACACATAATGTACTGTTTTCTTTAGAAAAGACTTGTTTTTTATATTTCAATGAGAATACCATATAACCCTTTCTTGGACAAAATGACCAGGGTATAATGAAACCATCTTTGGAGGAAATGTTTAATCTGCCTATCTTATTTAAATAAATCCTCCAATAAGAAATGGAGAATTCATTGCCTTTATTTGGAAAGCTTTGTAGTTATCCGTCAAATTTGTATATGGAGCTCACCAACATTCCCTTATTGGAAACAGCAGTATTTCCACATAATAGTTCTCAAAAGGACTTAAGTCTCAAAATTCTGTGTCTCCTTTGGCTTCTCTCTTGATTAATGGTTCACTTCATATCATCATCTTCATCTTCATAAATTTTCTTTAGAACATTCATTAATCCCTCACCAGGATCTGTTTCAGCATCGTAGGATGGCGTTTCTTTTTCTTTGCATTCTTTTTCAACCTGAGTCAAGTACTCCCATCGCATGTTTTCTGCTTTCTTTCTACATAAGATAAGAACTGTATCAGTCTTGATTTATTTTGAACTGCCTTCCACTGAGATGGCTTTCAAGAGATTGATTGTTCACTATCATAGAGTAACTCTTCCCATTTAGATTCTTTGCCAAAAGATCAAATGACCTCTCTGTAAAATGCACCTGCACATTCTCAGCAGGAACTTGATGAACTCCAGTTAAGGTAATGTAGATTTTCACAAACTTATCTGACTGATCCCATCCATAACTACTGATTTTCAGAGTATATCCTGTTGTGATAGGAACAACCACAGCAGCTGGTTTTTCATTGTCTAGAAATTCTGGTTTCTTTTGTGATTTTTGTTGCACCTTATTCTTTATTTCTATTTCGATCTTGGTATATGTGGTGCCGAAGCAAGCACTCTATTTCGATCTTGGATTTTTCAGCTGTCAGGGCATCTCGTACTCTCTTCCTAGTGGCCTTTTCCAACAACACCTTTACCTCTTCTAGATCATTCTGCAACTCCTCCAAAGCGGAAGCCATGGCCAGGCTGGGTCAGATCGAAGGCCCAAGCAGCAAGTGTGCACTTAAAAACAGTCCTTGGTAATGATTTTCCGTGTCAAGGAGAGGTCACATTTAAATTCTTCTTCGATTCACACTTCCTGTCTCTAGGAACTTATGCTCCTTGAATTCTGAGCTATGAGGCTATGTACTGTTAGACAATGCATTCTTTTTTTTTTTTTTTTTTTGGTACCGGGGATCGAACTCGGGACCTTGAGCTTGAGGCTAGGTATTATAACTGACCAGTCTAGTGGCATGAACCAGGAGTATAGAGAAAGGTTTAAATGCAATTTAAACTGAAATTTTGGGGGGCAATTTTATTTATTTATTTCACAACAATGCATAACAGAGGTTAGCAGTTTAGTTGTCTGAAAACAACTACCCTAAAAGTTTCTACGGATCAGCAGCCAAGAGGTGCAGGTTTAAGTTGATGAGAAATATTCCTTCTTTTGTGGTTGTTTTGTTTTTTGTTTGTCTAGTACTGGGAATTGAACCCTAGGCCTTCACACTAAAGAACATCCCCAGGTCTTTTTGATTTTAAGTGAGTCTCTAAGTTACTAAACTGCCTCATCTTCCCAAAGTGCTGGGATTATAGAGGCATGTGCCACCACTTCTGGCTACATTCCATCTTTTACAATGGATTACTTTAAACTTTTTTTTTTACTGTTATTCACAATAAAAATTTTTAAGTTCAATTTTTAATTAAATTAAATTCTCTCTGTTTCTCTTTCTTTATGCTGGTCATGAACAACAAAATTGATTTCAGTTACTCCTGCAGTTTTTTTTTTCTCCCGGTACCGGGGATCAAACTCATGTCCTTGCGCTTGCACAGCAGGTAGCGAAACCACTGAGCTAAATCCCCGGTCCCTCCTGCAGTTTGAAAAATACTATTCCAGGGCTGGGGATTTAGGTCAGTGGTTCCGCCACCTGCCTTGCAGACACAAGGTCCTGAGTTCGATCCCCAGTACCAAAAAAAAAATACTATTCCAGAAAAGCACAAAGGAGGCTGAGGCAGGAGGACTGTCCCAAGTTCAAGCCCAACCTGGGCTACATAGTGAGTTCAAGGCCAGCCTGAACTGTATAGTGAGACCTTGTCTCAAAAACAACAAAAAAAGCACAAAAGGTCAGAGTTGTGTCCTTAATGAAATGACTAAGGCACTGTGAACTGTATGCTTGCATCACCCAACTTCACACTCTTCATGTTGCCTGTCCAGGTGTGTTATCTGTACCTTCCAACCTCTGTACTTATCCACTGTCCACAGGATCTTCCAGTAGGATCCCACACTGGCAACGTCATGAATTTGTCCCCATGGCCTCTCCATACTACACATCCAGAAACAGAGTGGGACTTGTATTATTAACCCAATAACGTAAGGTACTAGTTGTAGGGGTGTTTTTAGAGCTAAACTTCATATACCTGATCAACTTTTGAAATGGAACTAAATTTTGCACATACAATATTTTATTGCATTTTTTTTTTTTTGGTACCAGAGATCAAACCCGGGCCCTTGTGCTTTCGAGGCAGGCAGCGGAACCACTGAGCTAAAACCCCGGCCCTAGGCTTGGTTTTGATTTGCTAACAGGGGCAAAGGGAATGACAACACCTACCCTCAGCCAATGTTAGGGCTTCCATGACTTTAACTGGAAGAGATGATCCAAATGTTTTCACGTCATAGTTCACAGACTCAGTTATGGAGTGGTGTGGTAGTATCCGTGTAGGTGTTCCTCTAAAGAACAGAAATCATATTACTTCACTTATAACTTAAACTTTTACACCATCCTAGTTTTTATGTATTTATTTATATAATAAAGAGATCTCTGATAAGAAAATGAGGTGTAACAGTGGAAAAAAAAAACACTAGCTCACATATACTACATTTTAAAATGTATTTTTCACTTTAAAAAAAAGTGACAGAATTTAGGGAAACATGGCTTCAGGTCCTATCTATGCTCAGAAATCAGGTACACACCTCTAGTCACTCCTCATCACTATGCTCCTTACCTGTAAAATAAAAAGGTTGGACTAAAATCAGTGTTTTTTCAAACTCAGAACCATTTGGTGGGTCTCAATCAACATTTTTGAAAAGTAAAACATTAACCTCTGCCACATACTACTGTCACAAATGTTCCACAGACATTGAGTGGGGTGATCCTCAAGCTCTCATCCAGCTCTGTGACTGTAAGACCCGCCAGATCTGTGCAGCAAGCAAAAGCAAGAAAATAAACAGGACTCTGGCACCTGATGCTGATCTCTGCCACAGAGAAGCAGGACCTGCCTTGTTTCCTGGCCCTTTCCTCAGTACTCCAAACAATAATGCAGGGTCATCAGCAAAAGCTCCCCTCCAATGGGCACTGAATGAGGAGGTGCACACCAAACTGTCAGAGATTTTGTCTCCTGTCAGAGTACCCTAACAAAGATGTTTCTTTAAATGATCAGAAGGGAGGAAAAGATTTTAAAGAGTAACACACACATATTATGCAAAGTATGGCTTTCATTCTGACTTTTCTCAGAAGAAACAGAAAACACAGGATCAGCTTTTTGAAGGGCACTTTTCAAAATGTAAGGGTCAAGAATACAGTATATTCTCTATAAATCATGTCTCCTTGGAAGTACTGCAAACTTTTATAGATACATTTTAGTCATAAGTTCAAGACTCAACATTTGCTACTTTCCTGCCAGGAAAAATTATCTCCTCAAAGATGAAGCCAAAAGAAAGTAATCAGAAGCAGATGCTTCCTGCCTTTGAAATTTCATGGTGCCCATGAACTCCGGGGACAAGAAGCATGACTTTGCTGGAATGTGGATTGGTGCTGCACATCAACAGTTTTAGTAACAAAACTACTACTCTTACCTGACTGAGGGGAGAGCCATTCATTCCCCATAACCTGGATACAAAGTGAAATTTTGTAGCCAACAGCCCTCTAGTTGCCATTTAGCAGATATTAATGACAGCTGGTATATTAGGCATGAAGTGACAATTCTGCCAGGACTGGAGGTGGTCATAACTGTCATTACTTTAGGTCTGCATCAGGGCACCTCAGGTGGACTTCTGGGCCATGCATCACCTTCTGCCAGACCACAGGGGCAGTAAGAGGAAGGCAGGAGGCCACTGATACAAACCCAGACTGTTTTTCACCCCTGCAAAAAAAAGTAATGCCAGAGGGCCCGGGATTTAGCTCAGTGGTTCCGCCACCTGCCTCACAAGCGCAAGGTCCTGAGTTTGATCCTCAGTACCAAAAAAAAAAAAAGTAATCACAGAGAGTGTGCGTTCTACCTTCTTTCTTTTTCTAATATGCTGAAGTAGAGAAAACTGTTGGCTAGGTTAGTCCAGGGGATTTCAGGGCCAAAGCCACAACTTCACTGGTGGACAGAGATTAAGTACTTTAAGAGCTACAAAAGCATTTGCCACCAAAACCTAAGACACTTGTGTTAGGACAAGGTGGACACAGACAGATTAGTGGCATAAGGTCACCTGCCAGCCTCAAGAACACATCCTTACAAAGGAGCACACAGTGTATATTGGTATACGACAAGTTAAACATGGTGGTATAAGCCTATAATCCCAGCACTGAAGAGGCTAAGCCAGGAGATCATGAGTTTAAGGCCAGCCTGGGCCCTGTCTCAAAACCAACAAAAAGCCAGGCACAGTGGCACATGGCTATAACCCCAGCGCTTGGGAAACTGAGGCAGGAGGATCACCTCAAGTTCGAGGCCAGCCTAGGCTATATAGCAAGACTCTGTCTCAAGAAAACAATAGCAGTAGCAGCAGCAGCAACAACAACTACAATAAAATGTTAGTATATGACAAACTTATTTCCTATACTTTCACTAGAAATTAAGGTTACTACACACTAAAACCTCTACTTAGTATCACAGGACTTGAAATAATGAAGGAAACAACTCCACCTGCAAGGAAAGCCATGTTTTTGCTAAGTAAAGCCATGAGGTACAGAAGATGTACTTTGGTTAAGGCAAAAAAAAAGAATAATTTTGGTCCTAACATACAGTGACTGGTTTGTCCAAATGAGAAAGGGGAAAAGTATAAGCAAAACCAAATGTATAAGAAAGTTATAAAAAGTATGTGGAAATCTTGTGGAGTTACTGCCACCTGGGATTACATGGATTTATTTATTAGTTTTATTAAGGTCAGCTTTAGTATTAATATACTGGGGTAAAGCAGAATTTGATCTTCTCTGTTAAAATGACAGTCTTGTAGTACTGATCTGAGAATGTGATGCTTTTTCCTTTTAAATAATTGGCCTAAGAAACAAAAATTTTGTGTTTCCTCAAGGTAATTTCTTGTGTTTCACCTTGTCTCTGACTTTGAGTATTTGAGTCATCTTAAACTTTTTAATGAACCAAGCTTTTGCTTACAATTATGTAACTTTCTCTCTCTGCCTTTAAAATCTTTTATTGTCACCATGACTAAACTGACAACCAAAATCATATTTGTTTTAAACCTTGATATTGTTTTACAAACTTTACAAACTTTTTTACAAATTTTACAAAATCAGATTCTAAATCAAATCTTTCTGACCCTGAACTAACTTTGGGATTTCTCAGTTGGGCCTCAGGAAAACCACATAGGATGTGTTTCTCATCTGGTAAAAGAGACACTAAGTTATATGGGAAGTACTGTCAAATAAAAGTACAATTCAATCTTCTTTAAGATACATTTATGAGTATGTTATTAATATGAATGTTCCAAACATTGTAGGAGATACCTAGAAATCTTTGAGGGAGGGATATTGGAGATTGAACCCACAACCTTTGCACTGAGCTACATCCCCAACCCTTTTTAATTTTTAATTTTAAAACTAAGTTTCCCTGTATTGCTTAAGCTGGGCTTAACTTGAGATCTTCCTGCCGAAGCTTCCCAGCATGCGGGGCTAACAGGTGTGTACCATCAAGACTGGCTGGATCCTACATTTTCTACAAAAGGATCTTCCAGGGCCAGAGGTTTAACTCAGTGGTGCCAGCACCTGCCTGTCAAGGGCAAGGTCCTGAGTTTGATCCCCGGTACTAAAAAAATAAAAAAGAATAATAAAAAGAAAACATACACACACACACACACAAAACAGAAAAATAAAACTATAAACCAGGATAAGAATTCAACAATTTCATGCCGTGAACAGCTTTTCTCAAGATGTTGGAATAAGACTCTATGTTGTGATGAAAGGCTTAACCTCTCTTAATTCTTCCTTGCTTATACCTACTGTTTTCACTTGACAGGATAATGCTGTAATTAGGCCTTCACAATCAGTAATACTTGTGAGTAACATGACAGAGTGTCACATCAAACCCAAATCTTTACATCACTTAAGCGATTCTTTAGGCTACCTACTGGGTAATTTCAGGAACATCCCTAAGGCAATTTTTCAAATTGTTCTGCTGTCTCTTTTATAGTTAGCCTTGTAGACCCACTTGTTCTCACTCTCTGCTTTAATTTAACCCAGTCTTGGGGTGCTACATAATAGAATTGCTATCTACTATCTGGACAGGGAGGAATGTGTACAACTGCTAACACTTTCTGTTGAACATGGATAAATACATTGGGCATTATAGAGACTCAGTTGCAAAAAAATATATATTGAACAGACTACTTGATTAAAAAAGACTCCTCATCTGGTTCATTCCATCCTTGGCATTATCATCTATCATAACAGTAGTTTTCCTGGTAGACTGTATTCTCCCAAAAGTTTTAAATATTTTCATTAGTCATCCATCAAACATCAAGTATCTGTGTTCTGATGGGATGACAAAAACCAAAAAAAAAAAAAAAATGTAATGAGTGTATTATAATCTACAAATGACATGTTGAAACTGAATCACCAGGATGATAAAGAGTAGCACTGATGCCTTTAGTGCTGATCACACTCATCCAGGTAAGAGCCTAACCAAAAGGTGGAAATTATTAAATAAAAATTATTGGAGGGCACTATTGTGGACTGAGCTCCTAAAGTAGGTCCCAATTAACCGAACCAAAATGTTGTCTCTCGGGGCAAATGTTACATCATCGAATTAAAACTTTAAGGAGTCAAACAGATCAAGTTTCTCTGAAAACAGGAGATTCCAGTCAAAAAGAAATCTCCTTCGCATTACCTTACAAGGCAACGAGGTAACTTGATGTTAATCAATCATGGGTTTTTTGTGGGTTTTTTCCATTGTTCTGTTTCTTTATTTCCACTTGCAAAACTCACTGTTCTGCTGTTGCCCTTATATATACCGTACAGTGGAGGCTGTACAGATTCGTAAATCGCAAATTAAAAAGCCAACTAAAACTGCTGTACAACTAACTGCTAGAATCTCTTTTTCTGACACACTTAAAGTGCAAAGCGAGGGCCAGGGATGTAGCTCGGCGGCGCCGCGCCTGCCTGGCAAGGGCAAGATACTGAGTTCGATTGCCAGTACTGGGGGAAAAAAAATTTTTTTAAGTGCAAAGCGAGGGTTCACCTGGTAATCAATGTGAAGGTGAAATAACTTGCAAGAGTGAGCAGCCCTCTCCGCGCTGCCCCGGTTCCAGTGACTAACCATTCTCGCGTTACAGCCTGCCGGTCGTCTGACCCAGCCACTGGCGATCACTTACCGCGAGCTGAGAGAGCTGCGCCGGGATACCGGCGAGAAGAGCACTGGGGAGAAGACCGCAGAACCCAGGGACTGTCCCCTCCTGCTTCCCGCACGGGGCGTTGAATTCGGCCCAATTCCAACCAGCGGGACCCTTCGGGATCCAGGACCTGGGGTCCGCGGAGAAGGGATGGCCGGAAACATGATCGTTGGAAGCAGTGGCGGACGAGCTACGGCTGGGTCGAGGACAGAAGTTCAGTCCTCGGGCGCCGTGAGCTTGAATACCCAGGGGCGGGAAGGCGCGTGGCGATGACGTCCAACCAACGTCAAGCCGCGGATCGTGGTTGGAGCATGAGCAGGGAGGCGCACGGCGATGACGATAAAGTGCAGGGCCGACTTGCTGGGCGTGGTCGGAGCGGAACTGGCCTGAGGCTGCGACCTCAAAGAGTGGTGCTGATCTTCTGGGCGTGGTCAGCGTGGAGTGGCGCAAAGCGGGGACGTCAAAACCCTTAGCTAAGCTGGGTTGGCTTGGGCCCGAGACCTGGTGGAGGCTCGAGTTTTGGAGGAAGTTTGAAACTGAAAAGCGACTTTCTTGCGTGCGCAGGCGAGGCCTGGCGGCCTATGGCATGGACGCAAACATGGCACTGGAGAAGCATCTGCAATCTAAGCTGAGGAAAAAGATACATGCAGGAGACGTGGCCCTCACGCTGTCGAATCAGTTCCCGGGTTCTCCCCAGGGCAGCTCTGCAGTCTACTGTCCTAACGCCGCAGACCCGCATTCCTAGCCCACGCCTCCTCACAGTGGCTGTTCACAGCCGAATTCACGCTTTCCTACTGGGGCTCCGATCCTATATGAGCAGTCTATAGTAAAGGAATTGGGCTAGCCCGAGGCGCGGAGAGGCGCAGTCCGGGAGTCAGCCCAGGGCCCACAGCTGCATAGCTCCCGAGGAACCCAGAAGCTCGTCTGCAAGGTCCTGCCCGGTTTGAGCGCTTATCTTTTCCTTTTTCATTTTAGAGCTTCTTTGGAAAAAGGAGAGGTCTTTTGTCCAGTCTTCGTTCACTCTGGCCTCCCCACTGCCACCGAGGGAACCAGGATGAGCCTGGTGCTAGGGCTTTCAACTATTCTACTGGCTGACCACTGACCATAGGTTATTTGCTGAGGCCTTCCGTGATGGCTCTTCCATCCCAATTCTACCACTTCCCGCTTGGACTCCATAGTCCAAAAAATTCCAACTCTCAATTCCTTGCATATTACCTTTTTCCTGGGTTGTTTGCAGTTGGTTAGCCCAGCAGGCGGCCACCTTGTGCATCAGATCTTAATTCAGTGCTGCCTTCTCAGTGGAGCCTCCCTCAGGCTAGATGTTCCTTTATCCTTTGTCCTCTCCACTCCTGCGTGTAGACTATAGAGTTTTTATTCTGCCTGATCATTTTGTGTTCATAAATGTTTCTCGGGGAGCTTTTTTTTGTATTTTGAGTCAGAATCTCCCTATGTAGTTTAGGCTGGTCTTGAACTCACTAGCCCAGGCTGGCCTCAAACTCTCAGCAATCCTCAGCCTCCCAAATGCTGGGGTTACAGGCATGTGCCACCACACCCTGCTGGAGGAGCTACTTTTTGTTTTGTTTTGTTTTGTTTTGTTTTGTTTTGTTTTGTTTGAGACAGAGTCTCAATAAGTAATTCAGGCTAGCTTTGAACTCACTATGTAGCCCAGGCTGGTCTCGAACTCATGGTGATCCTTGGTAACAGGCATGTGCCATCTCCCTAGCTGAGCTACTTTTAAATATCTTGACAGAAGAGACCATGGTGGGCCCAGGGACTTAGCTCAGTGGCACCGCGCCTGCCTTACAAGCACAAGGTCCTGAGTTTGATCCCTGGTACCGAGGGAAAAAAAAGAGAGAGAGAGAGACCATGGCCCTGTTACCTTTGTGCACACTGTAACAGATACATAGCCAACTTTCACTACATCTTTGTAGAAGTAAGGAAAGGTTAAGTGAACACTGGTTGAGTAAATCCTTTTGTGTCTCTGGAAGCTGGTCTGTGCACATTCATAGCCCCAGATAATCATCTTTATTACTTTCTCTCACCTGGGTTTATCTTGTTCTTTACAGCTTGGCTTTGAGTCTTAAATCTCCTGGAGCTCTGTGCATTTCCTCCTGTCAGTCTGATTAGGAGGGGTGTGAGATAAGAGATAGAAAGTAGTTATGTTGAGGAAGGACTGGTGGGTTTGGTTTAGTTTCTGTGCCCTTTTTGGGCTGGTTAGTGGTGTGCCCACCATCCAGTTTTAAAAGTCTGTTAAAGGAGCTGGATAGACTTGCCAGCATCTTTGAGCAGGAACTTCCCCAAAGTCCAGATGTATTACTAGTTTTGGGAAATAAAATTTGACATTTGTGGACTCATACAAACAAACCGGGTGTGGTGGTACATGCCTGTAATCCCAGAACTCAGAAGGCTAAGGCAGGAGGATCACTGGGAGTTCAAGGCTGGCCTGGGCTACATAGTAAATTCAAGGCCAGCCTGAACTACATAGTGAGCTCCTGTCTCAAAAAAAATTTTTTTAAATAATAAAATTCTCTTTAAAGAAAGAGCAAGATAATCCAGTAGAAAAACCATGGCAGCATATAAAAGGCATGAAATGGCAGACCAGAGAATAGAAATGACCAAAAGAACAAAAAATAATCTTCAGTTTCACTAGTAATTAAAGAAATGCAAATCAAACCACCATTAGCATTGTTTACCTATTGCATGATCAGAGATATTTAGACCCAATGATCAATGGAACAGACTAGAAGATGCAGAAACAACTCCAAAGACACTTGCCACTTTATCTTTGACAAAGGGGCCAAACACATTCACTGGTAAAAAGCCTCTTTAAAAATTAATGGTGCTGGAAAAACTGGCTTTCCACATGCTAAAGACTAAAACTAAACCCATATCTCACCATGCATTAAACTAAAAGTGAAATAGATCAAAGATCTAAATATTAAAACACACAGGGCTGGGGATTTAGCTCAGTGGTTTCGCCGCCTGCTGTGCAAGCTCAAGGATCTTAGTTCGATCCCCGGTACCAAAAAAAAATACACAATCTTCAGGAAGATAGAATATGTAGAACTCTTGAAGACATAGGTATAGGCAAAGACTTTATGAACAAACCCCTGATTGCACAGGAAATATCCCAAAGAATCAACAATTGAGATCTCATTGTATTAAAAACCTTTTGCACAGCAAAAAAACCCACCAACAACATCAAAAGACAACCCACAGAGTGAAAAAAATTTTTTTCCAGCTGTTCCTCAGACAAAGGATTAATATCTATAATATATAAATCTCAAAAAAAGCAGACCCCCAAGTTAAAAGACCCAATCCAAAACTGGGCATCTGAAATGAACAGACACTTCTCAGATGAAGTAGTAGAAATGGCAAATAAATATATGAAAAAAAATGTCCAACATCACTGGTCATTCGTAAGATGCAAATTAAAACACTGAGATTCAATCTCACTCCAGAAAGAATAGCTATTATCAAGAAATCAATAACAAGTGCTGGAGGGGATGTGGGGGAAAATGAACCCATCTCCACTGTTGGGAATGTAGACTGGTGCAACCACTGAGGAAAACAGTGTGGAGATTCCTTAAAAAACTAAAACTATGGGCTGGCAATTTAGCTCAGTGGTGCCAGGCCTGCCTGGGAAGCACAAAGTCCTGAATTCAATTCCTAGTACTGAAAAAAAAAAAAAAAAACAGCTAAAACTAGAGGTTCCATTTGACCCAGCTATTCCCTTTCTTGGTATCATCCTTAAAGAATTAAAAGCATCATGCCACAGTGATATATGCACACCCGTGTTTATAGCAGCACAGCTCATAATAGCTAAGGTTTTTTTTGGTACTGGGGATCAAACTCAGAACCTTGCACTTTTGAGGCAGATGCAGTGCCACTTAGCTAAATCCCCACCCCCATAATAGCTAAATCTTGAAAGCAGTCTATATGATCATCAACTGATGAATGGATAAAGAAAATGTGGTATTTATATACAATGGAGTACTACTCTGCCATAAAGAAGGATAAACTCGAGACATTTCTAGGTAAATGGATGTACCTTGAGACCATACTTTTATGTGAAATAAGTCAGACACACATGTTCAGATATTGCAATTTTGGGTGAGAAACCTAAAGTATAAATAAGGACCAAAATGTATAATAGATATTGTGAAATAGGAAGAATATTTTCAATGGGAAGAGGAACTCGGGAAGAGGGAGGGGAAAGGGAGGAAGGGAAAAGGCAAAAAAGAATAGAAGGAAAAAATGGAAATAAAGCTTTTGTACATAAGAAGGGGAAGAGAGGTTGAAGGGGGGAAGGAAATGAGAAAAGAATCCAAATATGTCATGTACAGATACAAATTCCATATGATGAATGTTATTATGTTATTTTGTATTTTGGCACAGGGAATTAGCACATGCTAAGTCAATTTTTTCAAAAGCAGTTTGGTTAATAAACAGTATGTGCAGCCCAGAGATTTAGCTCAGTGGTTTCACTGCCTGCTGTGCAAGCGCAAGGACCTGAGTTCAATCCCTGGTACCAAAAAATAAATAAACAGTATGTGCAAATCGGACACACATGTTTAAATACTGCATTATTTCTCTGGTGTAAGAAACCAAAACTGGAAATAAGGACTAAATGGTATAACAGATACTGGGAAATGGGAAGAAAATGTTCAAATGGGAGGGGGAACAAGGGAGGGAGAGAGTGACAAGAAAAAAGTGAAAACAGAAGGACAAAATAGAAACAAAGCTTTTGTACATAGAGAGGGGAAGGGGGTGTAAGGAGAGGGGGCGTAAGGAGAGGGGGAATTGGATAAAATAAAATTTATTTTAAAAAATAAAATAACCACTATGTTCCCAGCACTCAAGAGGCTGAGGCAGGAGGACTGCTGCAAGTTGAAGGCAAGCCTGGGCTACATAATGAGTTCAAGGCCAGTCTGAACTACATAGCGAGATCCTGTCTCAAAAAACAAAACAAGGCTCAGTGGTTTCGCCGCCTGCTACGCAAGTGCAAGGACCCGAGTTGGATCCCTGGTACCAAAAAAAAGACAATGAAAAAAGAAAACAAAACAGTATGTGCAGAGAAATAAGTCAAAAGACACAGTTGCAACTGCATACAATGCTCAAGTCTAGAGATCTAAAGTACAGCAGGAAGACTGTATTTGCTGTATACTGAGAATGTACTGAGAGATTAGGTGCTCTTAACATACATGGTAACTATGAAAGGTGATGGACAGAGTAATTTGCTTCACTGTAGCAATCATTTCCATATATGTGTCAGTAGGTAAAGCTGTACATATTAAACATAAAAAATATTATATATATATTGATTAGGTTCAAGGCACACTGCCCCAAAATATGGCACCTTGGCATTTGAGAAGACAGAAGAGAAAATTCATTCTTCAACCTCCTGCCATTCTTTCTCCCCTAAGCAGGTCATATAAGACCTTCACATGAGAAGTGTTCCCCCTGTACCTCAAGGAAGAAACATCCTTATCTCTGAAGCACAGGGACACGAAGAACCTGGACAGACCTTGCTGAGTGTCCCCAGTGTCAACACTGAGTACACCTCTCTATCCCAGCACACTTCATCAAGCCCAGGTTACAAGATGCACAAGTTTCCCTACTGCTCTGGGTCATCTTCCCGTGGCTCCCATGTCACAGGAGATTTACTTAACATTAAATTTGTTTTTTTCTTGTTAGTCTCTTGTTATAGGGACTTGGCTATGAACCTATGATGGGAGAAGATACTTCTTTTCTCCCTACATGTAATATAGGCCCATTTTAATTCTGTTAGAGAAAAATACCTCATCATTTAGCCTTGTACCAGTGTGAGATGCACAGATTGGGCTCCCTCTGTACATCCTTCCCAAGGCATCATCCTTGCAGTTAAAACCAAACATTGATTTATGACACTAGCCGGGGATTTAGCTCAGTGGTTTCGCCACCTGCTGCGCAAGTGCAAGGACTCAAGTTCAATCCCTGGCACCAAAAAAACCCCCAAAACAACGATTTATGACACTAAACACTACAATGGCAACAGGAAGCAGCCGGAATTGTGTCCTGCAGATGTGGTAAGACTGTTACGGCTTATGTCTAGACGTTTCCCTTAAAGACTCATGCACTCATAGGTGGGGCTTTTGGGAGTGACTGGATCATGGGAGTATGATACTGGATTAGTCCACTGACTGGTTTAGCATAGTTCTGGGTATGGGTGATGGATTTACTGATGAGAGAAGAACCACCCTGGGTGTGGGTGGCACCAACCAATAGGCTTGTAGCCCAGATGGAATAAAAAGGAAAAGGAAGGCTGCTGCTTCCTGCCTGCCACACCGTGAACTGTTTTTCCCCTGCCATGCCTCTCTGCCTCAAAGCCAGACAACTATGGACTGAAACTTCTACAAACTGAGCTAAAACAAACGTTTCCTCCTCTAACTTGTGGGTGTCAGGTATTTCATCCCAGCAATGAAAAAGTAACTAAGACAGATTGTTAGGATCCCAGGCTTAGCAGCATGGTGATCAAGACATTAGAATGGAAGGTCAGGGGAGGATGGAGAACATTCCATGAAACTATCCATACTAGATGTTTCCAGGGTATCCATCTAATCCTTTTCTGATTGCGAAGGCTTGAGATGACTGTAAAAGTCCTTCAAGTATACATATCCACATTCCTTTGGTTAAATTTAGGCTCCTTCCCTACCAGATCCATCACATCCAAAGTTCCTCAGGAATACTTAAAGCCCATAAATTGGCTTACTTGAGAAAGTAAAGAGCAGGAGACCGACCCTAAGATAAATGAATAGGTTGAGAGAATCCAAACAATGTTTAAATTACAAAAAAACAAAAACCAGAACAAAACAAAAAAGCTGTGCCTATACCTGTAAGATGAGCTAATACCCGTCTTTGGGGTGGGCTGCTTTCTGGAGTTTTCACTCCTTCAAGAGAAGCACAAATGACCTGACAGGTACCAATAAAGAGGCTCTATAAAAAAAGAGAGAGAGAAGCACAAATGTTCATCATTCCAGGAAATAATGCTTCTCATTTCTCGAGTTCCCACACATTCTTCCTGACTGCATCCTAAAATCTCCGCCTCATAAACCTCCCTGTGCCCCCCACCAAAAAATTGCAAGAAATTCAAAACGTGCCCCCCGCCAGCTCTGAGGTCAGCAAACTAGTGTTAGCTTGCCACCCCGTCTGTCAAAGCACTCCCCTTTGGAGTTGAAGAGCAAAAGCCGCCTGATAATTCCTGTCAATAAGTGTGGCTGTGTTCCAATAAGTCTACTTTCAGGCACTAAAATTTGAATTTCATGTATTTTAAAAGTATTGAAATTTTTTTGGTACCAGGGATCAAATTCAGGACCTTGTACTTGCCAGGCAGGCACAGCGCCACTGAGCTACATCCTCAGCCCTATTTTTGGTTTTTCAACCACTGAAAACTATAAAAACCATTCATCATCACACAAAAAAAGGCTTCAGGTCAGCTTACTGACCCTTGCAATAGTTTTATGTAGTTTTTGTACTTTATTTATATGCTTGTTTTGTAACATTTATATTTGTCTTATTTTTTAATCAGCTTTACTCTTTTAAGGAATAAAATGTACTTGTCAAAATGGGCCTGTACTTTATAAAAGTGTATTTGCAAGGGTTTCACCTCAGTGGTCTAACTTATGATTATTTCCCGGGGCCCTATTAGGGCCAAAGTCAGGAGAGGTCCAGCACACAGATAAGCCTGGGAGAGCGTACAGCATAACCCCAAGCCCAGTAATATGAAACCTCATCTCCATGAGTGAGATTTCAGGTGACTTAGAATTCCTTTTTTCTTACTTTCTAAAGTGTCTACATGAATACACGTATCCTTCAATGTCTCCCAAGCATGTAGGATACAAGGTAAGAGAGCCAGCACAGCATTGAAGCATGACACAATCTGGCTCTACTCATTTCTCCAATAACTTACCACTCTTTGGCCTAAACTATACATATCATCAATGCTGAATTAATCTACTGTACTGAATAATTTGCTTATGTATCTTTCCTGGCCTGAATGGGATGATACATATCTAACTTACAGGACTATCAAAGCATCAAATGTAGCAATATTTAAATGCTCTGGACACTTAAACATGGGGCTAAAACATAGTGCATTTGCCTATTATCTTGTTACTAATTTTGCTTGCCTTGCCCCTTTTAAATTAGAAGCCCAGAGGACAGACACTGCCTTCCTTCTCTGCGGTCAACTCTAGGGCACAATTCCTGGTCCATGGTGGAGACAGGTGATGCTTATTTACTGAACTGAAGCAACTAGACAGAATATAAATAGTATCAAACAAATAGGACATTAATAACCTAATCTTTGATAAGGAGAATGGGAATGGGACTTGTAATTTCTACTCACTTTTCTGTATTTTTACTGTTAGATTTTTCTTTATTCCTAAATCTCCATAGCAAATTCTAGTTAGATACTGAATGTAGCACAAAGTTTTACAAGCAGTAGACACAAAGTTCGTTAAAAATTTTAATCTATGATATAAAATGCTAAAGACATATATCAGAAAGCAAAATATAGTGATCAAATTCCATTTTGTAAATACTTTTGTGGAACAAAGAGATTTCCCTCATATAAGACTCTTTTTTTTTTTTGGTACCGGGGATCGAACTAGGGTCCTTGCGCTTGTGCAGCAGGTGGCGAAACCACTGAGCTAAATCCCCGGCCCCATATCTGACTTTCTATTGTGTTTGTTTGCCTTCTGAGAACAACACTAACAACAAATTATATAAAGAACACATGTAAACTTGTTAAGATGGTTGGCACAGGTGCACTGTTTACTAATTCAAAGAATACTACATTCACTCATTCACTGAATGTACTTCATTTACCAGTAAGATCCCTTATGCAGAATGAAGTGTAACACTCTGCATTCCTCATGACACAGTGGTTTCTTTTTCCAGTACAATCAGGGACCAATGGACAGTTAGGGTGTGGGAAGGCTCCCCTTTAAATGTACCAAGGTAAGTGCTCCTCAGGCTCTGGCATCATCAATGTTAAGGAAGCACTTTTTCTTGAACCAATAGCAAATTAACATCACTGATATAAAATATGGCAAATTCAATGGTTATCAGATTCATTTTAGGTATGAGATATTTAGGTAAATAAAATAATCAACATCATGACACTCTGTCTCAAAAAAAACCCCTATAGTCATAAATAGAAGAATAAAGGCTACCAATGTCTTCTTTCAGGAGACTGGCACATTTTTAAGATTCTTGGTTATTCTGTGGAGTAATGAGGACTTCTAAATGTTTTTCAAATGTCTTAAAACTGAAAATTAGCCAGATGTGGTAGCACTTGCCTGTAATCCCAGCACTTGGCAGGCAGAGAGACAGGAGGATCACTGTGAGTTTGAGGCCAGCCTGGGCTACATAGTGAGTTCAAAAGCCAGCCTGGGACTGGGGATTTAGCTCAGTGAAGCCACACCTGCCTCGAAAGCACAAGGTCCTAAATTCAATCCCTGGTACCAAAAATAAAAAAGCCAACCTGGCCCACAGAGTGAGACCCTGTCTCAATAAATAAATAAATAAAAAGAGCTGAAAATTAGTTGTTATTCAGACTTTACCCTTGTTAAGAAAATTTTACTTTTTTTTTTTTTTTTTGGCACCAGGGATCAAACTCAGGACCTTGTGCTTGCAAGGCAGGCACAGCACCACTGAGCTAAATCCCCGGCCCATAAAATTTTAAAAGTATCATAAAAGCTAAAAATTATGTGTCTAGGAATTACAAGTTTTTAACAGAAAATTCTCAAAATATATGCTTCAGACAATTTATTTTATTTTTTTTGTGTGTGGTGGTGGTGATTGAACCCAGGGCTTTGTGAATGTTAGGCAAGTGTTCTCCCACTGAGCTACACCCCTAGCCCTTTTTATTTGTTACTTTTTGGTACCAGGGATCGAACTCGGGACCTTGTGCAAGCAAGGCAGATGGTGGCGCCACTGAGCTAAAGCCCCAGCTGCCCTTTTTATTTTTTAGGATAGGGTCTCACTAAGTTGCCCAGGCTGGCCTCAAATTTGTGATCCTTCTGCCTCAGCCTCCTGAGTAGCTGGGATTACAGGCATGTACCACCCCACTCAGCTTTATCTATCTTTCTTGATAACACCTGGTTATTTATGACTTGCTTTCCAAAAGCACAGAAACAAGTATGTGAATAAAGGCTGGGCATGTTAGTACGTGCCTGTAATTCTAGCACTAGGAGGCTGAGGCAGGAGGATTGCTAGAAGTTGAAGGCCAGCCTTGGCTACAAAGTGAGTTCGAGGCCAGCCTGGACTACATAGCGAGACCCTGTCTCAAAAGAAAGAGAAAACAGAAGCTTTCATGTGCAAAGAATGGGGCTTCTTCTCTTTTAAAAACTCTTCAGGCTTCCATGTGCCAAAATGTTGAAAACTAGACACATTCAAACATAGTCACCTCCCATGCAAATAAAAATGCCTGAACTCATACCTCTGAAGACACAGGAAATGGGCAATACAAAAGTTCCCTTCTCTTCATCTGACAGTAATTATTTGTTTTTACACATGTTCATTTCATGAGATTACGAGGATACAATAAAGGGTTAGATTTTCCGTTTTTTGCTATTCTACCTAGTAAAATTAGACCCAAAGTAGATGGGTCACACTGATTGGTAAACTGGCCTGAAGCAGGCTTTTGATTTATAATCCCCTTTAAAAAGCTGTCATTTTTTTTTAAAAGCTGTCATTTGACAATAGTTTGAATCTGTAACAGCAGGCAAAAAAAAATGAGGTGCCATGCTATATTAATTAAAATATTCCAAGAGGAAAGAAAGTACAAAACCTGAAAATAAATTCAGTACTATAGACATTTAAAAATGTACAATTATTAAAACTATGAGTAAAAAGATCTTGAGAACAAATACATTTTTTTTTTGGTACTGGGAATCAAACTTGGGTCCTTGTGCTTGCGAGGCAGGTGGAGAAACCACTGAGCTAAATCCCCGGCCTGAACAAATACATTTTGAGGCAATATTTTACATACTTTGAAAAAATAGGTGTATTTCAAATAACTTGAAGTATCATTTACAGATTTCATAGTCTCAAAATTTTTTTCTGCAATGCTGCTTTGCTTTCAAGTTTCTTGTGTTCAGTCTCTCAGTAACTGTTCTTTATGCTGAAATAAAACTCTGCTTGTTCATTAGTTTTCTGTACATCCCATCTGGCTTTGAAAGCAGCTCTTCATGTTTTCCGTGTTCAATGATTCTTCCCTGATCAAGCACAGCCACAAGGTGAGCATTCTTGATGGTGGACAGGCGGTGGGCAATGATCAGCACCGTTCTGCCCTCCATCAGTCGATCGAGGGCCTCCTGCACCAGATGCTCATTCTCAGCATCCAATGCACTACATGGGCCACAGGGAGGAAACAAAGACATTAGTGCCACACGCATAGTCCCTCATGCACCTCCTGGTCTACTCTCCTGGGCCCTGCACTATTTTGCTTCTGCTCAATCAGAATTGCCCTTCTGGGGCTGAAGGTGCTGCAAGAAGGCAGTGTGCAGAACCACACTTGGCCTCAGCACACAGGCTGGCCAGAGGGGTTAAGGTCTATCTCAAGTGTGCTGGAACCAGAGCTAGATACCTGCTCACACTCTCTCTCATCTGCCATTACTGATCCAGGTGCCATTATTCTACAGAGTTGAGGAAAAGCATTTTGTGTTCTATCACTTTGAAAGAATAAAAAAGTTTTCCTGAAGGGAGAATTTGGATTAAGACAATTATAAACATTATTAAGAATTAAGATATCTTAACCTGGTCACTTTATCTAGGACAAGATGAAAGGGTTTTGATGGAAGGACAATTTGATTTAGTACAATTACACACATTTACTAAGACATCCTGTATACAGCCATATGCATGTTATTAAGACATCCCCTAACACAGACACACATGTCAGTAAGACATCAGGATATTGAGACATCTTTACCTGGTTGCTTCATCTAGGAGAAGAATTTTGGGGTTCTGAAGAAGGAAAACAATTAAAAAGAAAAAAATCATTTTGTTAGAAAAATCCAAATTTTTAGCAATAAAGAGCAATCACATTCTGACAAATATCACATTGTGGATAAAGCCTGGAAGTATTATTCAGTGAAAGAAGCTAGACACAGGAACCATACATTGTGTGATTCCACCTGTGTGAAATGTGTAGAACAGCCACTTCATAGACAGGAGGCAGGTCAGTGTCACCCAGGCTAAGTCAGCGTGGGGGGGACACAAGAGGAGGGCCCACGTGAGGTTCTGCCTCAGGCCATGAGGATGTCCACTCTAAATAGATGAGGGTGCCAGATGCACAACTCTGAGCACCCCCAAAACCACTGAGTTATACTTAAATGGGTAAACTATGTAGCATAAAAATTATATCTCAACAGAATCTTTTTTTTTTTTCTTTTTGGACACAGGGTCTCACTATATGGCCCCGGCTTGAGGTGATTCTCCTGCCTCAAGCTCCAAAGGGTTGGAATTACAGGCGTGCACCACCACTCTCACAACAGAGCTATTTAACAAAACAAAAATAGAGACTCAAATGCCTGAGATGAGGACATGATAGAAGAGTTGAAGATAATTTTAAGCCATTATCACAGTGACACCAGACTGGATATTGTTCACAACAGTTTTGTTTTATTGGTCAGTTGAGAAATAGGATGATGGCTGGGCATGGTGGTGCAATCTGTAATCCCAGAACCTGGGAGGCTGAGGAAGGAAGATGAGTTTGAGGCTAGCCTGGGCAACATAGTGAGTTCAAAGCCAGCCTGGACAAAAAAAAAAAAAGAAAAGAAAAGAAAAAGAAGAAGAAACAGTATGAGGTGGGAATCTGAAATGAGTAAGGTAGTTTTAAACTCTCAAAGTCCTATTAACGGTTTATTTAGAAACAGCAAACTAATATATAAAATTGAATAAATAAGAGTACGCTGATATACATTAAATTACACCTTTGCCTCAGAATCTATCCATGAGAATGAGATCATGTTCCCACAAAAAGGTAGATACCATTTGTTCACTTATTACAACAGCCCAAATTGGAAAGACCCCAGATCAACCAGTGAAGAGATGGACAAACAGAGATACATCCACTCAGCAATATAAGGGAATGAATTTCTGAGCAGGCTACAGATTGGAGAAACTTCAGAAACATTACACTAAGTAGCAGAAGTCACATGCCATAGACTACACATTGTTTGACACATTTTTATGAAATGTCTAGAAAAGTAAATCCAGACAAACAGAAGTAGATTTGTGGCCTCTGGAGGCTGATTGTCGGAACAAGGGAAGACTACAAATGTGCAGGAGGGGACTTTCTGAGAAACAGAAATGTCCTAAAATTGGACTGTATTTATAACCAACTCTAAATTTACTAAGAGCCACTGTAAGGTACATGTAAAATGGATGCATTTTATAGTATGGAAACTGTGCTTCAATAAACTTTAAAAGATAGATCACCTGTAAAACCTGAGGAGAATCACTCACTATAGAACAAACGAGAAGGCTGTCATTTCCTTCAACATGGGACATTGGACCTTCAGTTACTAAGGTGCTTCCTATTTCTCCAGGAGTCTAAATACTTCAAACTTGTACTGCTGAACTCAGCCTTGACTACAGGTTATACAAATACACATTCTTGTGCTGTTCGGATGCTGTGTTACTGATCAGACTGTAAGCTTCCTGTCCATGTGTGAAACTTCTCCCTCTGACCACCCTACAACAGCACTGGGCCCTCACACTCAGGAAATACTCAGTACCTGTTAAATCTGTACACACCTGCAGTGGAACCCCCAACTTATCGTTACCAGAATCTCAACCATATACCCACTCACCTTCTCAAAAAACAAAAAAGGTAAGAAAATGATAAATTACAAAATCCCAATCAAAAACCATACTAAAAATCCAGGCAAGTGGCTTCAGGCTTACCTTAAGCAGTGCACGGGCAATTGCAATACGTTGTTTCTGTCCACCTGACAAAAATAACATTTAAAAAAAGAAAGCCTTAATAAAAATTGTTAGGAATAGGTCTTTCTGACAAGAAGATGCCTTCTTCCAGTTAGCCATAGCTGGGATAGATCGTTGAACAAAAACCTACTTTTTAAAAATCATTCCATCAATGTCAAAATTAGTAATTATTGTCATAGCTAAAATTTATACACCAACATTTCTTTTCTTTTCTTTTGTGGCACTGGGGATTGAACCCAGGGGCTCTGCACTGAGCTACATCTCCAGCCCTTTTTAAATTTCGAGACAGAGTCTTACTAAATGCTAAGTTGCCCAGGCTGGGCTCAAACTTGGGCGATCCTCCTGCCTCATCCTCCCAGAGTACTAGTGGGGTATTTTGGTTTTTTTCTTGAGAAGGGTCTTACTATGTAGTTCAGACTAGCCTTGAACTTACAATGTAGCCCAAGCCCAAGCCTCCCGAGCGCTTGGATTACAGGTTTGTGTCACCATGCCTGGCAGGCATTTTCTTTTTTTTTTTCTTTTTTTTTTAAGAGAGAGCTGGTTTTTTATTTCTTTTTTTGTTTGTTTGTTTTTGGTACCGGGGATTGAACTCAGGACCTTGGCCTTGCATGGTAGGCTCTGGAACCACTGAGCTAAATCCCCGGCCCTTAGGCATTTTCTAAATATTTTATATGTGCTCTTTTTTGTGTGTGTGAGACAGTGTCTCGCTATTATTTCAGCCTGGCCTTGAACTCACTATGCAGCCCAGGCTGGCCTCGAAATCACAGCAATCCTCCTACCTCAGCCTCTGGAGGGCTGGGATTACAGGTATGCGCCACCATGCCTGGCTACATGTGCACTTAGATCTTTTAAAAATATCCCATGGAGGGCTGGGATTACAGGTATGCGCCACCATGCCTGGCTGCATGTGCTCTTAAATCTTTTAAAAATATCCCATGAAGGGCTGGGGATTTAGCTCAGTGGTTTCGCTGCCTGCTACGCAAGCACAAGGACCCGAGTTCGATCCCTGGTACCAAAAAAAAAAAAAATCCCATGAGGTAGACTCTATAATTATGTCCATTTTATAGACAGCAAACTAAGGCACAGAGTAACATGTCCCAGGTCTCACAGCTGGTAAACAGCAGAGCCAGGATCTGAGTCAATGGGAAAAGCTCTGCTTCTGCCACCACACACTGCTCTTTCCTAGTGGGACGTTCAGTGTAGAGAGGGCTAGAGACTCAAGAGATTCTGTAATTTCTATCTCTTCATACTAGTTTTCATTCTTCCCTCCTCATCTCCCTGCCCTGAAATACATGGTCTCACACAGAGGAAGGTACCCTACGCCTCTCCTTTTTCAAGCACAAATTCCACTCAAAGGAAGGGAGCAAATGGATGGAAGGAAGGTGGCAGGCAGCAGTCCTCAATGACTGCCCTGCCCATGCTTGCCCCATGCCTTCCCCTCTTCCAGGGGCCCACCACACTGAGCTCCCCAGCCCTGAGGGCTCACACCTCGAGATGTGGGTTGCTGCATGAAACCCAATTCTGCTTTTGGTAGCAGCACCTTCCCTTCAGCTGACTGCTGTTGAAGCATCTGTAGTAACAGAAACTGCTGGGCAGCACATGACCTCACGCAGGGCAAGTCCTTCAGGTACAGCTGTGCTACAGTGAAGTGGACACTGCTCTCCCAAGAGTCAGTACAAGAGGGACCCCTGTACCATCAACACAGATATCTGAGTGCCTGGGGAGGTCCCTGGAGCAGCCAGCTGACACTTTCCTGCGCTTGGAAGTGTCCTCGAGTCCAGCTACTGAGCTGGGGATCGGCTCCTAGGTGCCTGTTCCCCCCAGGTCACAGAAGCAGATGGGAATTGTGGCTTATTTGGTTGTGAAATGAGACCCGAGAACCCTTCTAGAAGAAAAGGACACACAAGCCATTTTAAGAGAGCAGATCAGTTCTACCGGGAACCACTGAAGCTGGTGTCTTTTGCCCAAGGACATGCCTCAGAAATGCAGCAACTGGTCACTGTCACATAGCAAGGTGTGATTTTGCTCCTAGAATGTCCAAGATCCACCAGAACCATCACTACTATTTTTACCATTTTTTTGTGTGTGTGTGGTACCAGGGATTGAACTCAGGACCTTGTGCTTGCAAGGCAGGCACCGTGCAAATGAGCTAAATCTCTGGCTACTTTTTTAGCTCTAAAAAAACATGCACAGGGCTGAAATTTAGCTCAGTGGTTCCAGCGCCTGCCTTGCAAGTGCAAGGTCCCGGGTTCAATCCCCAGTACCAAAAAAACAAAAACAAAAACAAAAAACCATGCACAATGCCAGGCATGGTGGCACACGACTTTAATCCTAGCACTTGGGAGGCTGAGGCAAGAGGACTACCACTAGTTCAAGGCTGGTCGGCATGGACTACACAGTGAGTTCGAGATCAGTTTGGACTGTACAATGAGACCCTGTCTCAAAAAAACCTAAAACCTAAAAAACAAAACAAAACAAACCATGCACAATCAACTCAACCTTTTTGTTTTACTTCTCAGAGGTCCAATGCAAGCTGATGTGAGCCAGAAAGGGTCACTGCCCGTTCTAACCTGTGGCCTTCACACTGTCACAATCAGTCTGTCCAAGGAACACTTACCAGTATTCATAAAAGATAAAAGTCTGTTTCACCAAAACTTTATTTCCCTGTCAGCTCTATACACTGGTCCTACCCCTGTGTTCTAAAGTAATACAAATCAAGTTTTCTCCTTCCTCCCTGAGGACATCGAAGCCACAAAGCAGGCATCTGCTGGATGGTCAGGAGAATGGTCACTTTTGCCCCACAGCTCTGAGGCCATTCACAAACCATGGCCTGCAGGCTAGATCCAGACCCTGGCCTGTTTTCACAGTTCTCAAGCTAAGAATGCTTTTTACATTTTTTTTTTTTTTTTTTTTGGTACCAGGGATCGAACTTGGGACCTTCTGCTTGCAAGGCAGGTGGCGGAACCACTGAGCGAGTTGTTTGTTTGTTATGCTGGGGATTGAACACAGGGCCTCACACATACTAGACAAAGACCCTATCACTGAGCTACATTCCCAGGCCTTTATAAATTTTATTTTGATAGAAGGACAAAAATGGAAACAAAGGACCGGGGATTTAGCTCAGTGGTTCCAGCGCCTGCCTTGCAAGCACCAAGGTCCTGAGTTTGATCCCCGGTACCAAAAAACAAAACAAAACAAAAACAAAAATGGAAACAAAGCTTTTGTACATAGGGAGGGGAGGGGGCTTGAGGGGGGGAATGGGATAAAATTTATGGAAAAAATTTTATTTTAAGACAAGGTCTTTCTTTTCTTTCTTTCTTTTTTGAGACAAGGTCTGGGTGTGTAGTGCAGGCTGGCCTTGAACTCACTATGTAGCCCAGGCTGGCCTCAAACTCACAGGAATCCTCCTGCCTTAGCCTCTCCAGTGGTGGGATTATAGGACTGCACAACCATGCCTGGCTCCTGCCTCAGCCTCTTGAGTGCTGGGACCACAGGTGTGTGCCACTGTGCCCAGTGAGATAAGGTCTAAGTGGCCCAGGCTGGCCTCAAACTTTTAATTCTCCTGCCTCAGTCTCCAGAGTAGCTAGGATTATAGACCTGTGCTACCCTGGCCAAATTAAAGTCTTGCTACAAAATAAATAAATAAATAAGTACATACATACATACATACATACATAAAGCATAAAAACATGTAATAGAGATGATGTGTGGCCCATTAGACCTAAAATATTTACTTGCTGGCCCTTTTCATTAAGTGTCCTGGCCTCTTGTCTCGTACACTTTGTACAAACTTGAGAGTTGGAATACTTTTCATACCAGTTTTATTTGAAATATAGTCTCTCCCTCCCCAGGTAGATGGTCCAGCCACCTCATATCTGATTCATTTCTACAATTCCCTAGGTCCCAAGTTATAAAACACATCTTTTCTGAGATCAAAAAACAAAACAAAACAAAAAAGTATGCTGTGGCTGAGAACTACCTAGAGGGAATATAGGGAACCCTTTCTAGGGTAGAAAATGAAGGCAAATGGGAAGTTGCCCACCTGCATGAGATACCTTAAAGTAATGAGGCTACTCACCTAACTCTAGGTGTAGAAACCCAACCTGTAGTGAGGATGCAGTGTGGGGAGTTCTTGGAGCACAGGGCTTCTGCTGCAAAGCAGGAACCAACATATTCCCAACAAAAATAAGTAAGTATAAACCCCACACACCTGACAGGAGTACCCCCTTCTCCCCGACCATGGTGTCAAAGCCCTGGGGAAAGCTCCGGATGAACCCTGCTGCGTTGGCCACCTCCGCTGCTCTCTGCACCTGCTCTGCGGTCACTGAGGATGAGCTGTCAGCACCGTAAGCGATGTTCTCAGCGATGGAACAAGAGAACAAAATTGGCTCCTACAGGTTGGAAATAAAGCATATCTGACACAAAGCCTGAGGCACACTTCACACGGGCCTTATTAGTGCACAGCAATTCAGTACAGTACTCAGCCCCAAGAATGACTCTATGAGCTGGAAGGACAGGGCTCCTTACTCATTCTGCTTCCGTACTCTGCAATTTCCCCAGCAAGCTTTTGAAAAGCTGCCCAGGTGGGGCCTTGTAAACTCTGAGGCATGGAATACTGAGTTCAGCTGTGTTTGCAGCTGCCAGCCTTCCACTCAGGACAAGAAGGACCACTTGCTCGTCACTCTCTGACACACACACAAACCAGGCAGGACCACAGAGGTCCTAAAGAATGTACCAACTCCCAGCCTCTTGCCTCCTCTCTCAGGAGCACACAGACTACAATTTGCCTGGCACTCCATGGCTGTGACCCACATGGTCCCATACAGAGTGGGTGAAGTGAGGGGACACTTACCGGAAGACAGCGCAGAAATGGGAAGGCACAGGCATGTCTGTTGAGCCCATGTGAAATTGATAAAAACTGGCTGTGTCAAAATTTCCCTGCCCCAAAGGTCCTGTGATCCCAAACAGCCTCAGCCAAGGGACCCCACCACAGTCATACTCCACCTTGAAACTAGCCCCTGCTGTGCAGAGTGCCTGGGCCTCACCACAGCATTTGCTTGTGTATCCCTGAAATCTGTGTGCTGAGCAAGGACAGTGGCTGGTGGGGGACGTGGGAAGAGCCAGCAAGAGGATGCACAGTTTTTTCCACATCCTCCAGATTATCTGTGTTACAAAGAAACAGTAGTTCCAGCTCTGGGTAAAAAGTCAGAGCTTCAAGTTTCAACTGTTGAAGTGCTGCAAGCCCTCAAGAAATGGCAAACCATGTGTCAAGTGAGGGGAGTTTACCACAGCTGGAAAACTTCATTCCTCCTCTTGTGAGAAGTAAAACAGAAAAGAACGAAAGTCATTTCAAAGGAAGGGAGGTGAAAATAGAGGCCTCTTACCTGACTGACAGTCCCAATCTTGGATCTCAGCCAGACGGGGTTTAGCTGGCGAATGTCGTGGTCATCAAGGCTGATAGTTCCTTGTGGAGAGGAGAGCAGAGTCACTGAGTGTCAAGGGGCTGGTGACTCATATGAACACAGAAAGGACCCAGTGGGAAATTTTGACATACAGGTTTTCCAAGAATAAAACTATTCCCCAAATCACCAAATGGAATCTAAAACCAACATGCTTTATGCAATGTCAGAGCCTAGGTTCCCCTGTGGCAGTGGGTGACAAGCCACTCAGGGTTCTCGACAGTCCCCAGGCTCCCTACTGATGGGGTGTTCTGACAATCACACGCCCTAGCAGAACCTTGATTCCAAAGAGAGCAGTCACTAAGAAGGAACAACTGCCAGATTAACTGTTTTTACAGTAAGCACTGTGTGGTTCATAAGCAGAAGTGTCAGTCTCCCAGGGGTCTGGCACTTAGCATGGAGTCACTCTGTCGTGCTCCAAGGAGGGGTGCCCCACAGAACATGGGTACTTGCTCTTAGCTACCAAGTTCCATGGAGCATGGCCTCCTCCCAGATGAGGGCAGTGAGGAGGTAGCAGGAGTGCAGAGACCAGGAGATGGAGCTCTGGACTGAAGAGGCAGAGACTGGACACAAAAACCTACCAGATGTCCCACAGCTTCTGTGTAGGCCATTCTACCCCACAAATGACATCTTCTGCCTGAGAGAGCTCCTCTCCAAACCAGCTCTGCTGGCTGGTATCTGCTCATCCTGTCCACCTAGGACATGAGTGAGAGGAGCTCAAGAGAGCCCCTAACCCAAGATAATGACAAGCCACTTACCAGAAATGGGATCATACAGTCTCAAGAGGAGTGAAACCACAGTAGATTTGCCAGAACCACTGGAGCCAACCAGCGCTGTGACAGATCCTGATGGGATGGAAAGGCTGAAGTCCTGGAATATGGATACCTCTGGGCGAGCCGGATAGGCAAAGTGCACATTCCTGAACTCCAAGGCGCCCTGGAAACTCTGCTCATTTAGAGTAACACCCACTGGAACACAAGAGGGAACGTCAACTATTCCAGGCAAAAATCAAACTCACCACTCAGTGCAGCTCTCCTGCGTTTCTAAGGATGGACGGCAGACGAGGCCCACTGCAGCACTTTGAGGGCACATCAGGGACCAGCCCTGCGTCTAATGCCTGCCACGCACCTGCTGCACCTACCCATACAAGGCGCCCTATGGAGATGTCTTGTTTGATCTTACAACACAACCCCAAGGTCCACCTTTTTTGAGGACACAGGCCACAGGTGACAGTAGAGAGGCAAGATCTGCCTGGGGGCAGTGGCTTCCAACCCTACTCCTGGGGCAGAGTTCACCTTGTTAACCTTGAACAAACATTTCAAAGATCAGTGATAAACCGGGTGCTGTAACACAGCAACTGGAGGTCTGCTCTGCCTGGGTGCTACCTGGTTGACAGGGAAACTTGGCTCACCTCTACTTGGGCTCTGGTCCCAGGGCCTGTCACACTTTGAGAAAACAGGGCTCATGCACTGCCCTGCACCTACCCCACAGCACCTGGGGGCCTGGGAGTGGAAGAGAGTGACTGCTCCTCACACCATTCCTCCTGAGTCCCAGAGAGGTGGCCCAGGCCACAGCTCTAGCTCTAGCTATTCATTACAGTACCTGCACCCCACCCTAAAATGCCAAGAAAATTAGAGTGTATGTGTGTTGGTTCCCTCCAGTGCTCGGCCTTAGCCCCTCACAGGGAAGAGCTGTCCAGTCAATGGCTGGCTCCTCCTAATTGCACCCAGCCTGCTTTCATATCTGTCCTGCCCTGGGCAGAAACCCATGACTACAGCGTGTGAGCAGCCCCGTGCTTCCAGGGACATAAGCTGGACACCGGTGCTTCCAGGAGCGCTTGCTCACCCTGCTCTCACAGGAAACCTGTCCCTTCCTGCTTAGCTACAGGGACCACGTCCAGTGGCAGCTTGTTCTTCACTGGCAGGGCCGAGCAGGGCAGCGGTTTACCTGTCCAAAGTTTAATAACTTAAACTCCAAGTACAACGGTCCATGTCAAATATGAGAACATTTATTTGTAACTTTATTTTTTAGTAAGATGCTGAAAAATGCAATCCAAATATTCCATGGCATACAGACATTTATATAAAATACAGCAGACTAAAACTTCAATCCCATCTCAGACTCACCGTCAAAAGGCAGCTGGGGCTGCCGCTCCAGGAGCTCCCAGAGACGCCCGCCAGCACCCAGTCCTTTCATCAGCTCTGAGTAGAAAGAGCTCAGACCTGGGACAAGAAGCAGAAAACAAACAACCATTGGCAGGACCAGGAAAAGCCACAGGCTTCTTCCATCCTATGGGGCATCATGACAAAAGCATTTTTTGGTGGTGGTGGTGGTGGTGCTTTAGGTCCTGGGGATAGAACCTAGGACCTCTGCACTGAGCTACCTCCCCAGCCCTTTTTTATTTTTTAGTTTGAGAAAGAGTCTTGTTAAGTTGCCCAGGCTGGGCTTAAACTTGTGATCTTCCTGCCTCAGCTTCCCAGAGTGCTGGTATTATAGGCATGTGCCACCACACTCAGCAGACAATAGAATGCTTTTTACATGAATTTGCTACTTTCAACAAAGTTGAGGCTACTGACTGAAACCAATATTCACCATTCCCTCTATTTTATACCTTTATTTTCCTCTGGCTTCTTAACCCCCAGTTTCGTTGATTTTTCATAAGGCTTTATTGTTTAAGGAATTTACAAAAACATAGTTATAGTAATCCCCACTGAATTGTGACTAAAAGTCACAATGCTGCAGAGGAAATGAATGTAGTCAAAAAAAATTAACACTATAAATAAAGTACAATGTTTATCCAGTAACTAACATGAATAAAATACATCAATATTTATTTTAAAGACAATCTATAAAAACCAAACCTTCCCTTTAGGTACTTATAAGCACAACTTTCACATAGGCTAAAAACTGTAAAGGAGTTAATGTCAATCTTCTCTAGTTACTTTTGATTTATGATTTAACTAATAACTTAAACTCCAAGTACAACAGTCCATGTCAAATATGAGAACATCTATTTGTAATATTTTCCTTTAGTAAGGATGCCGAAAAATGCAATCCAAATATTCCATGGCATATAAAAAACCTTCAAGTCTAATTATAATAAAGCATCTGGACCCACACAGAGATGGGTTAACTTATCTCCGACAAAAGCAGCACAGTGTAGATGCAGGGATGGCACCTCTGCAGTCTCTGGGACAACTGGACATCTACAGACAAAACTGACCTAGTCACAGACATTGCACCTCCCACAAACATTCATTTTTTTTTTTGGTACTGGGGATTAAACTTAGGACCTTGTGCTTGTGAGGCAGGCATTAGAACCACTGAGCTAAATCCCCGGCCCCAGCCACAAATATTAAGTTAAAATGAATCCCAGGACTGGGGATTTAGCTCAGTGGTTATGCCACCTGTCTTGAAAGCGCAAGGACCCAAGTTCAATCCCCGGTACCAAAAAAACCCCCAAAAAACAAACCAAAAATGAATCATAAATCTTCATGTAAATGCAAAACTACGAACTCTTAGAAGATAATAAGAGGAAAAAAAAAAGAGTATAGGAGAAAATGTACATGACCTTGTATATTGCAATGACTTTTCTTTGCGGTACTGGGGATTGAACTCAGGACCTTCTGCTTGCAAGGCAGGATCGGTGCCACTGAGCTAAATCCCCTGCACTGCAACGACTTTTCATATACAACACCAAAGGTACAGGCCACCAATGAAAGAAAAGCTCATTTCATTAAAATAGAAATTTTCTGCTCCCCAAAATCACTATTGAGAGAATGAGAAGACAATCCACAGACTGGGAGAAAGTATCTGTGAAAGACACATTTGATAAAGGTGTTTTGTTCACAATACAGATGGTCCCCAGCTTATGATGATTTGACTTATGATTTTTTCTTAACTTCAGAAAGGTCCAAAGTGACAGGCCAAGTTTGATGCAGAAGTCTTGGAAATTAAAAAGAAATGGAAGTTGGGGATTTAGCTCAGTGGCACTGCGCCTGCCTGGCAATCGCAAGGTCCTGAGTTTGATCCCTGGTACGGCCAAAACAAAGCAAAAACAAAAAAAAAAAAAAAGAAAAGAAAAGAAACGGAGGGGCTGGAGATTTAGCTCAGTGGTGCCGCGCCTGCCTCGAAAGTGCAAGGTCCTGAGTTCAATCGCCGGTACCAGAAAACAAAAATGGATACAAGAAGCAGTAAAAAATAAATTAAGTAGGAAAGAGCTATATGAAACAGATCACAGCCTTGACCCATCTGACAGCCAGTTCTCAGAGGATGTTGGAAGTAATGTGGAAGTCAATGAGGCTCTGTTCCAGGACGTGGAGGACATGGAGCTGGGGGATGTTCAGGAGGATCCAGACTAGGCTCCTGCCGATCCACGGAGCCACTAACAGTCTAACGGACTGTCTCTGTCTCCAGGCAGGCTCGACTACCACACCATCTGTGGCTATGCTGACAGGGTTTTAATTTTTCTTTCCTTTTTTCTAAGGAAAAAACAATTTTTAGGATATTCTTCTGATAGTTTTCATCACTGAATTTATATAAACTGATCATAACACTTCAAACCAAAAAAAAAAAAAGAAGAAGAAGAAGAATGGAAAGGAGACATGGAAGAAGTGAAGGGACAGAGCTGGAGGTAGTTTAACATAATAAAGAGTTTAGGGCCGGGGATTTAGCTCAGTGGTTTCACCGCCTGCTACACAAGCACAAGGACCCGAGTTTGATCCCTGGTACCAAAAAAAAAAAAAAAAAATAGCCAGGGTGTGGTGGTGCATGGCAGTGATTTCTGCACTCCAAGAGCTGAGGCAGGAACTCACTATATAGTGAATTCAAGGCCAGCCTGAACTACATAGTGACTCTATCTCAAAACAAAAACAAAAACAAAACCATAATAAAGAGATTAGACTCTGGACAACAAAAACAGAAATAAAATGGCCCCTTGACAAATAAAATGTGTCCATCAATACATAGAGTATTACTCAGCCAGAAAAAAGATTGAAGCTCAGATATATGCTACAGTGTAGAAATATGAAAACATTGGGAGAAGCCAGACACAAAAGGACACATATTATGTGACTTCATGGATGGGAAACAGCTAAAACAGGTATAAATGTATAAAGAGAGAGGAGCTGTGGCAAAAGGAAGAGTAACGGAGACAGCACGATTGATGAGCAGGGGTTTTCTGGGTGATGAGCTTTTGGAACTAGACAGAAGTGGTGGCTGCACAGCACTGCGAGTGTTCTAAACGCTACTGAGCCATACATTTGGAGACAGGTAAGTGCTGCACTTCTGAGTCCCTCTCAGCAGAGGATGTACTTAGAATAGACTTTGTTTTTGGTTTTTTTTGGTACTGGGGATCAAACTCAGGACCTTGTGCTTGTGAGGCAGGAGTGATGCCACTGAGCTACATCCCTAGTCCAGAGTTGTTGTTGTTTTTCAAGTGTGCCATGCTAGACATAAACCAACACAAAAATTCTTGTTTACTGTACTAAAAAGGCAGAATTTTTTGCTTTGGACATTCATTGTAAAGTTACTTGAATCATAATATTACTTTAAAAACACAAAAGAACTGGGCATGGTGGCACACACCTGTAATCTCGGCACTTGGCAGACTGAGGCAGGAGGATCACCTTGAGTTCGAGGCCAGCCTGAACTACAAGTGAGTTCAAGGCCAGTATGAACTACAAAGCAAGACTATCTCAAAAAACAAAAAATAAACAAAAAGTTTAAAATCCAGTTCAGCATGTTTGTTAACTCCTATTCTGGTCAGTGCATATCAGGTCGTGAGAAAGGAAACAGGTAGTGACAGAAGCACACTGGTCTAGGTCCATTCACTCCTTCTTCCTGCTTCAGAGGCAGGTGCAGAACAGGGCTGTAGTTATTTCTATCCCAGCATGCATGGTCTCTGCACCTCTGGCCTCTGCATGTACAGCCTCTGAGGCGCCTCTGGCAGCCAGGGGAGGCAGCTGACCACCTGGACTAAACTGGTGCTTTCCAATCTGACCTGAAGCAAGGTACAGCTGTGCATTTGACCCCGTGGATAGAGGGGAGCAAAACAGAGATACATCTAAGGTGTCATAGTACAGGGGTTGAGAGGAGGGATTAGGAAGAATGGTGTCAAACGTGGCAGAAAACACAAGATTGGTGGCGGGGGTTTAGCTCAGTGGTTCTGCCGCCTGCCTCACAAGTGCAAGGTCCCGAGTTCAATCCCCAGTACCAAAAAAGAAAAAAGAAAACACAAGATTGGAGGAGCCAAAGAAGAAAGCTGTCAAGCATGGAATGTGAACAGACAGCAAAGTAGGGCAGTGGGGGTGGTCTGTCCACTCAAGGGCAGGGCAGAAGAACCTGAGGAGCAGCACCACAGGGGGCATGGGGCCCCAGCTCACTGGCTCAACCAGGGACAGAGAGAAAGGGCCAACATATGGTCACTTGGTGCCCGACACCGTCTTAACCAGGCTTTTCTTCAAGACTAGCAGAACCCAAATGCCATTAGGAAAAATCTCTCCTTTTAACAATCAGACCAAAACCTGAGAATAAGCCTCTCTAAGAGAGCGGACACTAGAGTACCCAATGTCTGAATCGGACTTCAGCTGTCCCTTTAACTGACCTTTCTATTTCAAAGACTATAATGAAAACAAAAGTCAAGAAATCATTCACCTGGGATTGCTGGGGACATCTGGAAGGCACAGAGACACTTCACAGACCTTGTACCAGTATAGTTCATAGCCTTCCTTCCCTTCACCCAGGAACAGATGACAAAAGTTACATTCTGAGGGGCTCTACCTCTATTTTTTGAACTAGGTTCTGATGGAGACCACTCTGAGCAAGCTGCAAATTTATAAACTGCCTTTTTATATTAAAAGTCTGAGTCTGCCTATTAGCCCACAATGGCTTGCCTAAAGAGTCAGCAGTTGGTGTGTGGGAAAGCAACAACTCCCCACACCACTGGTGACAGCAGAGGTCTCAACGATCTGTGATGCTGTGACATCTTGGATGGCAAAACAATATTGCAGCTAAGGGCAGCATGACTCCTACAGAAAACTTCTATAGAGGCAAAAATTAATCCATAGGAAGAAACAAATTTCCATTGATCTATGAGCTGATCTTGCTAGAATGTTTCATTCCCTTGTTGCTAGGAACCTGCTTGCGTCAGTGCTCTCCACTTCACTGTTCCCTGCATCGCCCCTTACCCCATCAAGAAGCTGCATGTTTGGCCAGGGAATTTAGCTCACTGGCACCGCGCCTGCCTTGCAAGCTCAAGGTCCTGAGTTTGATCCCCAGTGCAGGGACGGGGGTGGGGGGGGCAGTGTGTTTAATTAATAGTGGCCAGCTCCAGGAGACAAGTGTCTTACCCTGATAAGAGCTTTGACCATCTTGGGCCCCCCATATATGCAGTAAAGATCTTGTCTTGTCTTTTGTTATCCTGCCACCACACCCTTTGTCAGGTGACTGGAGGTCTGATCAGCCTCCAATAGGTTCTCACTGCATTGCCTGGGCTGCTCCAGAACTCCTGGGTTCCAAAGATCCTTCTGAGTAGCCAGGACTACAGGCAGATACTGTACCTGGTTCTGGGACATTCTTGACAAAAGTAAGCAATTCTTGTTTCATACATTTTGTAATTTATCAATATTTTTGATTGTTCATTAGTTTTTATTATGGTTGACTTTATACAAAAGGAATTTTATTTCCCAATGATTTGCCAATCACAAAACTCATTACCAAGGACTACAGGTTTGTATGTCTGTGGCTGTTCACACCCCGCCTTGTCCCTACATCTGTGAGCAGACAGACAGCTGCTTTAACACCACCCCAGCAAGGCAGAGCTGCAAGAGGCCACAAAGACTCCAGACTTCCCAACAGAGGACTTGCTCACTCTGCTCATAACTTCATTTTCTGAAAACGTAGCATTTCATTTGTAACTTCCCAAGCCTATTAAATTATATACCTCCAATGCTTAATCCAACCCAGAAGGCATACATGAGAAAGGCAGAGAGCTCGCCCATGGTCATGTGAGCGCTGCCCATCAGCAGACCTCCCTTGTACAGCACAGAGAGCACAATCAGGTTCCCGGAGAGCCCTGTCTGTCAAGGGAGAAAAACAGACAAGTCAGGGAGGACCAGAGGCCTCTTAGGATGCAAAATGCATGATGAGGCCTCTGGTTTCCTTTTCTGGATACTAAATTTCATCTGAATTTCAAAGTTTTGAAATATTTGCAACATTGATAGACATAACCACATCAGCATGAAAACCCAGATGCTAAGTCACCCATTGGGGTCCTGTCTTGCTCAATCTACTCAACTTGCAAAGGAAAACAGCAGTCTTGACGATCTGCTCTCACTAGAGGGAGAGAGGAAGTCTGCTCCATGTGTTCTGACGAGTACCCTCTGCAAGGAGGGTCTGGGACTCTGTGCATGGACTCTGGTCAGTGCAGCCTTGTTGGGGCCACTGCTTCCTAGCCCGTTAATTGTGGCAATGACTGAGTCGCCTCCAAGGATTTTTCCAGTGTAGACATACCATGAATTTTCCCATATGGTAATCTTCTATTTCAGTATCCTACTGGAGTGCATTTTGATCAACTTTTTTATACTTCTTTCTTGAAATGCACTGAAGTTATTTTGGCTAATCCTCAGTAGGTTTCAAATTTGCCTGCATCAGAACAGCCCAGAGCCATTCTGTGGTGCCCGTGGAGCTGGCTGTACCACCCTGGGAAACAGCCCCTGACCTCACCACCCACCACCTCCTTCCTAAGCACCTTTATTTGTTTTCCTAACAATGACTAAGTTATTCTTAGCTTGAAGTAGGATAAAATTATTTTCCACTATGGCATAAGACACAGAACAAAAATGTCTCACAAAGCACCTGCCCTTCCCATCCTCTCCAGAACAGTCCACAGTCTACATACTGCTCCAAAGAAGCCAGCCCGGGCGAAGGCCTCCTTCCTTGCTAACTGCAGCACGTGGTCCACTCTTCCAGTGTACTTCTCTACCTCCGTCATCTCTTTCCCAAAGGCTCGGACAGTTCTTAGGTTCCCAATGCGTTCCTCAGCCAGCTGTGAGGGTGACAAACACATGGCCAGGGGGAAGGGTCACATTTCAATCTGGAAGCAAAACTAAAATGTGATTCTCATTTAAAACTCTATCAATGGAAAGCCACTGGAGAAACACTACTAAGTCAGGAAAAGTTAACAAAAGAAGAATACACAGAATAATCCTACTGTCAAAAAATAAGTATCTATAATCCTTGATTTGGACTCCATGCTCCATCCAATCTGACAATGGACCTGCCTTTGTCTTCCAGATCACCCAACAGGTAGTGGAGGCGCTCAACATACAATGGAAACTCTACATCCCCTATTGGCCCCAGACATCAGGCAAGGTTGAACGCTGAACAGGCCAATGGGCTTATTAAGACTCAGTTAACCAAACTTTCCATGGAATTAAAACAAAGCTGGGTCTCCCTCCTCCCTTTGGCTCTCATGTGGCTTCGCTCAACTCCTCAAAAACCATTAAATTTAATCCCCTTTGAGTTAATGTATAGGCAACCCCACCTATTCTCCAACTTACCTGATCCTTCACCACCTCTTGCTGATTACATTCCAACGCTCAACTATGCTCATCATCTCCTTGAGACTCTAGTGGATCAAACTCTTCCTTCTCCAGACTCATCAGGCAATCTACATCCTCCTCTTTCCCCAGGTGACTAGGTATATCTCAGGACTCTTTCCCCAAAACCCCTCCAGCCTCGCTGGGAAGGACCTTTCACTGTCTCCTTAACCACTCCCACAGTGGTAAAACTTCAAGAAAAGGTCCCCTGGTTTCACCTCTCCAGAATAAAAAGAGCCCCTCTGGCTCTCCAGGAAGACCAGTCTGAACAGTAACCCAAAACCCTCAGATACTCCTCTCTTTTGACAGGCCCTCTTAGACTCAAACTCTCTCAGATACCCGAAGAGTCACCTAACTGATGCCCCTAAGTGGTCTCACCTTGAGCTTCAACGCTTTCATACAAACCCTTCAAGCTGGCCTCATCTGGCTTGTCACACAGGAGGACGTTGAGGCACAAGAGGTGGCAGTCGAAACCATTTGTGAGTGGCTAACAGACAGCTATTACCAAGCCTCCTTGACTGAATTCAATCCAGAGGAGATCTCTCTCTACATTTTCCTCCTAGTATGCTGGTGGGCGGCCCCTACCCCTCACTTTCGAGATACCTCCTTGTACTAGTTTCCCTCATCTCACACCCCCACTCATGGGCTACTGCAATGCTCTGGATACAGGTGCTCTTATAGCTCTCTTGTTAAAAAAAAAAAGTATCTACATGTGCACCTATCACATACATAGATACAAACAAATACATGATAAACAGATATATATGATAAATAGGTAACAGCAGGACAGCAGGGATAGAAACATATGTTCATAGAGAGATAATTTTTTTTTATAAAATGTTAAATTAATTCTGAGACAGATCATCTGTGTTTTTGTTCTTTCACATTAGATTTTCACAGTTTCCAATGATAAACAAGCACGGTTTTTGAAACATAAAGTTATTTTTAGCTTTTTTTTTTAAGTGCCCTTGGGGGCCGGGGATTTAGCTCAGTGGTTCTGACACCTGTCTCAAAAGTGCGAGGTCCTGAGTTCGATGCCTGGTACCAAAAATAATAAACAAATAAAATAAAAAAGTGCCCTTTTTATTATTTTTGGCTGTGCTGAGGACTGAACTCAGGCCCTTGCCAATGCCAGGCATATGCTCTACCACTGAGCCGCACCCTCAGCTCATTATTTTTAGTTTTTAAAAGGTACTATTGGGTCCGGGATGTAGCTCAGTGGCTCCACGCCTGCCTCACAAGCACAAGGTCCTGAGTTCGATCCCTGGTACCAAAAAAAAAAGGTACTACTGCACAGCACCGCAAAACTAGCTTTATTGAATTAATGAAGGACACAATGTCACCCAGAAACTATTTCTAAAACACACTAGTTTTCTGATCCTATTAGTAATGGAATTGGTTAGGAGGAAAAACTGATTTAATGTTGAGTCACACTGGATGTTATCTGCGGTGTGGGTAGAAATCAACTCCAGAGGCAGAGTATTCTGTGTCAGGGACCTGGGGGCCTAACATGAACTCTTTTTCTTTTGTACTGGGGGGATGAACTCAGGAAGTACTGAGTTATGGTGCCAGTCCTAAGTTGGTTGGGCTGGCTTTAACTTGCCATCTTCCTGCCTTAGCTTCCTAGTATAGTTGGAATCACAGGTATGTGCCACCATGCCCAATAGGAAGGTGCTTTATGAAAAGCTCGCATACTCCGTACCTCTGCCCACAGCTCTGGCTCTGAGCCCATTCTCCTGGAGCACACGAGTACAGGAAGGCTGTTACCTGTGTGGCTTGCGCCAGCGAGTCCTGTGTGGCTTTGCTCAGTTTCCGCAGATATCGGCCATAAATCACTGCAAGGATGGACACTGGAGGCACCACACTCAAAACAAAGGTGGCTAGACTGGGTGACACAAAAAACTGTTAAAACAAAAGCCAACAAGTATTTGTCAGGTGGAGTGGTGAGACCTTCTCACCATCTAGTGTGTACACAGAGGCAGACTGGAAAGTGCTGTCCCAAGCTGTACCTCCTGGATGGATGGCTTTTCAGACATCATAAAACCCCAAGAACGTGCAGCCTGCCGCAGAGGAGTAACACGGCAGGGAACTCCTGAAGAAAGATGAAAATAGTTGCTCCTCAGACTAATTCTATGTAAGTTAGGCCACCTTATTCAACAGCATAGCTGAGATAGGCCAGTAGTCCATCAGAGAGGCTCATTCTGCTCCACAATGGCCAGACCACATCAAGACTTCTGAGTTCAAGTCTGGATCGCCTTGAGACCCTAAATGAGCAGAACAGTATGTTCCACTGAAATGACTAAGTCATAAAAGTCATTAAAACCCTGCATCAAACAACAGTCAAAAGAGGGCTGAGTGCCGGGCATGGTGGCGCACACCTGTAATCCCAGCACTCAGGAGGCTGAAGCTGGAGAATCACTGTGAGTTCAAGGCCAGCCTGAATTACATAGTGAGATCCTGGCTCAAAAAAAGAAAAAGACAGCAGTGGACAGAGTGGGAGCTGTCTCTACAGGTCTGGCTAATGAGTGGAGGAGCTCCTCAGGACTGCAGAGGCTCAAAGAATAATCAGCTTCTAGCATAACAGAGGGGGTCCTATGAACTTTCCAATTAGGAGACTGTTTTAAATGACATGAGTGTTTCTTCAACACATTAAAATCTACCAAATCTCATTTGCACAGAAAATAGTGTAATAAGTACAGTCTCTTAAAATGCTCGGGAAACACTGCAGACTGAAAGTGAAAGTCACAGCTTGTTTGTTTCTGTGAGACAGGGTCTCACTATCTAGCCCAGGCTGGCTTTGAATTTGCTATGTAGTCTAAGATAGCCTCAAACTTGCAGTCCTCCTGCCTCAGCCTTCTGAGTGTTGGGATTACAGGCAAGTAACAACACAATTGGCTTGTACATCTACTTTCTCACTCACAAATCATTACCGAGCACCTGCAATAAATACTATGAGCATGGGGAGACAACCAGACCATGGAGTGGGAGTTGGATGATACACCAAGAAAGAGAGAACAACCTCAGGTATGCACAGGTCTTGGGAGGCCTCGATACCAAGTGAAGCACAAAGAGGCCGAGTGCTCACAGGAGAAGCCCAGGCTGGGCAGACAGTCCCTCTGGACACTTGGGAACACAGTCATGTCTCTGATGTTGAGAGGCACAGGCCACTGGGACTCCCCATGGCTGGGGCCAACTGCCCAGACCACCCTCCCCTTTGCTCTGCCTGGAGGCTCCTGAATAACTGTCTAATGACTAAAGCAGCGTCCCCACATGTCTTCACGCAGGAAGGAGACAACAGTGCATATCAGCAACTGGCAAGATGGTCCAGCCAACATTAGGCTCTGGTGCCTTGGGCCCAGTGAGTCAGTGCAGGGGAAACAAGGCCACATTTTGCTCCTTTAGCTAAAGACCAGGTCCCAGTCATTATACCTCAGGAGGCCTTGTGATAGCCAGATGCCTGCTTCCCTGAGCTCGTGTGCTAACATCTTAACCCCCACAGTGACTGTGAGGGAGGATGAGGCCTTGAGGAAGTAACTAGGGTTAGCTGAGGTCTGGGTAAGTGGAGGATGGGCTCTCGTGCAAAGGGAATGTCCTGACAGCAAGAGATACCAGAGTTCTTTTCCCAGTGTGAATACACAGCAAGATGCTGGCTGCCTATGGGCCAAGCAGGCAGACCTCAGAATGTCTGGACTTCTAGCTCCAGAATGGTGAGGAATAACTGGCTGTTCTTCAAGCCCCTGTTGGTGGTACTCAGTTATGGTGGCCCAGGCAGACCAAGACAGGACCCTTTGAACCGGCTGACTACATTGAATTTTCTTCCACTGTTATTAAAAAAAGGGACCCCGAGTATCTCTCCCAGCTTGACCTCTTCATGAACCCTAGAACCACTTTCATTTGGAAAACTGCAGTCACAAAGGACAAGCCTTGTTTGGGAGTCTACTTCCATATTGGTTGAGAAAATAGGGAACCTTAAAACTGTCTTCCATTTCATAAGTCAGACCTAACAGGCCGATTATGGCTACTACTCTTCTACTCCAGCCTGATGTGCGGGTCCCAGAGAGGGCAAAGCCCCAGCTCTTCCACCATGTGAGCAAGGGGCAATCCACTGGACCAAAACAGTGCCATCCAAAATTAAAGCCTCCTGTGGCACTGGGCACTTGATATATGGCAGGTATAATGGGTAAATATACCATTAATTTTATTTAATTTTAATTATTTTAAATTTAAATCCAATATTCCATTCAGTTATTGGAAAGCTTTTGCTATGTACTCCACACTGGCCTTTGAACTCACTATGTAGCCAGGCTCAAACTCACACCAATCCTATCTTAGTGTCCCTAGTGCTGGGATTACAGGCATGTGCCATCACAGCTGGCTGGGAAGCTTTTTAATATGCCTGGTTACATCAAACTATTTTTTCAACTGCAAATTTAAGGAAATCTAAATGCAAATCAAGCCAAGTATGGTGGCACATACCTATCATCCCAGTGCACAGGAGGCTAAGGCGGGAGGATCTCTGGAAGTTTAAGGCCAGCCTGGGCTACACAGTGAGTTCAAGGCCATTCTAAACTACATAGTAAGACCCTGTCTCAAATAAATAAATAAATAAATAAATAAATAAATAAATAAATAAATAAATGCAGATCAAGCATTTTCAATGAAAATTTCATGGTCAGATTATAATGCTTCATAAGTATAAAAAACCAAATTTTGAAGTCATAACATAAAAGTAATATGAAATATCAGCAATTTTGATATTAACACATATTGCAATAAAATTTTTACTCTGGATTAAACAAAACATTGCTGAAATTAATCATGTCTGTTTCTTTTGCGTTTCGAATATGGTTAGTAGAACATCATGATCACATATAAGGCTTTCAATGTATTCCCATTAGCGAGCAACACTGCTCCAAATACAGACACTGCCCGGGGAAGTGAGAGAGCAGATGAGACAGGTGAGCCACCACTGGAGGCAGGCAGACCTTGGGCATAGAGCCCCCACAGGCTACGGGAGCAGAGACCACTGTCACAGGCTGAGGGTGCACAGACATCCTCCCCGTAGGCTGGGAGGCACCAGAGACGCCCCACAAGCAGTGGGCCCAGAGACACCCCCCAGAGGCCCTAAGTGTAAACACCCCTCACAGGCTATGGGCACAGAAATCCCCCCTCCAAAGCCCATGAGCACAGAGACCCCCTGCAGACTACAGGTACAGAGATTCCTGCAGGTGCATGGTTCACTTGCACAGACCAGATCCACTCCCCTCAACCTGCTGCAAAGCCTGCACGGCTGCTGTACCTTGTTCACAGCTGCTTCACTCCAGGTTCATATATGCCCAGAAAACCCCACTCTCCAGACAATACCCATTCTGGAGAGGTGTAGACCAGGAAGCCAGGCAGGACAAGGCCATGCCCATATCCCACAGCCTCCAGGACTGTGTTTGAGGAGTGCTCACCAAGCCCCTGCATGCTCCAGACTGGAGGTTCCCAGGGAGGAGGCCAACTTACCATCATGCCCATGCCCACCGAGGCCTGGGCTCCAGCTCTGAGCCCGTCTGAGAGGTTTTCAGTCACTGAGCGCCCTAGCAGTGCAGTGTCTGATGAGAGGCGGTTAATCAGTTCTCCTGTTGGAGTCTTATCAAAGAAAGCAATCTCCTGCCTCAGGACGGAGGAAAAAAGCGAGGTCCGAAGTCTGTTCACAATGCGTTGGCCTGCAAAGCAAAGAAACCAGCTCATGGCAGAAACAGCAGCCAATACCATCAAAGGCAGGGCCTGACATGCAGCTGCTTGCCCTGGTGTCAGCCCTCCTGAGGCTGGGGGCCTCTGCTGCATCCATCCCACCAGTAGGGACAGACTGACCCAACCCTGGCATACTGATAATCATGCTTTAATAAATACAGACTGCAGGCACGGAAGGGGCAAAGACAGTAATAAAATACAGCATGACCAATACATGTCTTAAAAGTAGTATTTCCCTGCATAAGACCTGAATTCACAGAAGAAAAAAAAAAGTAGTATTTATGAAGTTTTATTACTTTAATTTCTAAAAGCTAATTTTGTTCCTAACAACCCTTTTCTCCACTGAATATTCCAATGGCAAACACTGGTTCATTATCCATGGAGAATTTTATTAGCTAAATGAGACACAGAGGACTCAAGAGTCAGTATCTGGCTCTGCCAGGGCTAACAAGAGGCCTCTCCAAAGGAAGACCACACAAATTACCATCCCAGCCCACCACACAAGCACAGAGCAAACAGGTTTCTGCAACTCCTTGAAGAAGCCCAGAACTCCACTCTGTGGCCAAGCTCCTTGTCCTTAAACCTCCTGTTAAGAAAGATTTGGAGTTTGTCCCTCTGTTCAAGTCTAACGTTGGAAAAGAACTGAAGAAACCTCAGTCCAGGACATATATAGCCTTCTCTGGCCAAGAACTCAGATTTGTCCCCACCAGGTGTGATGCAGGACAGGAGAGACAGGGGTTTTGGGCAATGAACCCCCAGGCCAGATCAAACGCAGGGTCCCCTGCATCTTCCCAAGTGGGCCCCTCACCTGAGGACTGCATGAGGTAGACTCGGACGGCGTTGGCAGCAGCTCCGCATAGGAACACACAGGTGAGCCCCAGGCAGAGGCGGGTCAGGCTCTCACCGTAGTCTGAGGTGGGATTGGTATAGATGACATCAATGATCTTCCCCAGGAAGAAAGGAGCGGACATGGTGATGACACTGGACACAGCCAGAAAGCCAACAGCAGCTGGAAGACAGGAGGACACACTCACACTCACACTGCTCAGCACCGGTGCAGGTGTGGCATTCCCAGGGCCTCCTTCTCAGACTCTCAGGCTCAGTTGCTGGGGTGAAAGAGGAGGACCAAATGGTACTAGGCTGAGAATACGAAAGGAGACTGTAAGGGAGCAAGTGAGTGTGCCCAGCCAGATGAGATGCTATTTAGGTTTGGTCATCCTTTCCTTGCCAGGAATAACAGAGTCAACTATGGTATCTGTTCTGGCTTCTTTCCATCCCTCTAGCTCTCAGATCCTCTTCTTCTTGCCTTCATGCCACATGGTATTACTGCCTGGCATCTCATTGTATCTTGGCCTGAAGGTCAGACTATCCAGGCAAAAGTCTCAACCATGTCCAGTATTTCAGAGCCCTTTAAATAACCTGTGGAGAGCAGCTGCTGAAATCCATTACTCATTAGTATGTTTGTTCTTAATATTACTGCCCTGGGGAATAAAGCAATGGGATATCAGCACAATTTGAAAATAATGACACAACTGTTCATGTGCCTAAAAACAAGACAAAGGGGATCTAGTCTCATGAGAAAATATTAAGAAAAATCCAAGGCCAGGGATTTAGCTCAATAGTTTCGGTGCCTGCTGCGCAAGCGCAAGGACCCAAGTTCGATCCCCGGTACCAAAAAAAAAAAAGAAAATCCAATTAAAACCAGGCAAGGTGGCACATGCCAGCACATACATAGCTGGGCAGGAAGAGTACCATTAGTTTGAGGTCAGCCTGGTCTACATACTAAGTTCAAGGCCAGTCTGAACTATAGCAAGACCCTGTCTCCAAAAAAAAATCCAACTAGGAACAACATATACCACAGATAACTGGGGGATGTAAGGGGAATATAAATTTAAACTACAAAAACACACCATTTTTCACCTAAGGGATTGCCAAAGATCATTATGCCAACATGCACTGGTGAAGCACTTTTATTGGTGGAGTCCAAACCAGCAGTCTCAATGGAGAAATTTGACCAGCCACCTGTCAGATTGTAAATGCACATTTTTTTTGATCTAGCAATGCTACAGACTCAAGATTTTATCATAGCACTCGTTATATTAGCAAAAGAATCAAAATATCCTAAACCTCTATCAATAGGGGACAAGTTAGAGGTATTATATTCATTTTATTAATACTATGCAATAATTATAAGGAATGAGGTGACTGTAGGTTTGCGGATAGAACAATCTACCAAGATATACTGTTGGTTAAAAAATGTCCAGGAGGGCTGAGGATGTAGCTCAGTGGTGCCACACCTGCCTGGCAAGCACAAGGTCCTGAGTTCCATCTCTGGTTAGGGGGGAGGGTCCCCAGGACAGATGGGTGTGCTGGCCCAAGCCTGTAATCCCAGCACTCCAGAGGCTGAGGCAAGACAATTGCCATGAGTTCGAGGCCAGTCTGAGCTACACAGTGAATTCAAGGGCCAGCCTGAAATACATAGTGAGACCTTATCTCAACAAAACAAAACAAAACAAAAAGTGCAAGACAGCCAGAAGTGGTGACACATGACTATAATCCCAGCCTCTTGGGAGGCTGAGGCAGGAGGATCACAAATTCAAGCCCAACATGGACAATTTTGTTGTTGTTGTTGCTTTTATGTGTGTGTTTCTGCTTTGCTTTGGTTTTTTTGTTTGTTTGTTTGTTTGTTTTTGGTACTGGGGATTGAACTTGGGACCTTGCTGTTTTGTTTTTTGAGACAGGGTCTCAGTATGCCAAGGCTGGCCTTGAACTCACTATGTAGCCCAGGCTGGCCTTGAACTCTCAGCAATCCTCCTGCCTCAGCCTTCCAAATGCTAACCTGGGCAACTTTAGTGAGACCTTGTCTCAAAATAAAATATAAAAAGAGCTGAGGATGTGGGTCAGTGGTAGAGTGCTTGCCTAGTGTGTGCCAAGTGGCCCTGGGTTTCAACCCTAGTACTGCCAAAACAAAAAACATAAAATTTCCAGTATACAAATATTAACACTTTGGAGGCTTTTTGCTTCTTGGTTTTTTGAGTCTGCAAGAGTACATGACATTGGGCCGGGGATTTGGCGCAGTGGTTTCGCCGTCTGCTGCACAAGCGCAAGGACCCAAGTTCAACCCCCGGTACCAAAAAAAAAAAAGAGTACAGGACATGTCCAGATGAGTAATAACAGTGACCCAGCCTCCTTCAAAGAGTGGCATTGGGCAAGGGGGTGCAGGGTGGCTTCCTTGGGTTTGGTGCTATGTGCACATTACCTATGTGAGGCTCCAGAGTGGACGCAACTTGGATGGAGCTATGGAAGGTGGGAGGTCCCAGCACTCTGTAAATAGCAATTGTTTCTGCCTACCACTGGACAGCACTCACACCTGAGTCAGAGGGAACACTGGTTGTACAGTGGAAAGCAGAGCTTTGGGAGAAACATGAGCTTTTAAGTAGTAAATGAATGTTTTTTCCTAACCTTTCACCAGGCCTGCTCTGACACCTCCCTTAAAATGCAGATACCTGACACTACCCGTGCTCTCCCTCCCTGTTTGTCTCCTATGTTTCCCATCTTCTGGCATTCTAAATGTTTCATTAGTTTATCATCATCATCTCTCTTTTTTTTTTTTTGGTTTTTAAAAGACAGATTCTCACTATGTAGTTCAGCTGGCCTTGAACTATGTGGCCTGGGCTAGCCTTGAACTCACAGCGATTCTCCTGCCTCAACCTCCTGAGTGTTGGGATCACAGGGATGCGCTACCATGCCCAGCTGGCATCTCTCCATTACGACATAAAAGATTTTAGTCTGTTTTGCTCACTGCTATATCCCTACTACCTAAGCTCACAGCAAAAGCTCAATCAATATTTGCTGAATGTGGGCCGGGAATTTAGCTCAGTGGTTCTGGTGCCTGCCGTGCAAGCACAAGGTCCCAAGTTCGATCCCCAGTACCAAAAAGAAAACCAAACCAACAAACAAAATATTTGCTTAATGAATGAGTGACATGAACTTTGGCAATGGTGGTAGTAAAGTCTCATCAGACCAAAGTCCTTCACCAACCTAATTAGAAAAGTAAGGCAGCTCAGAAAGTATACATGCTTGCTTTAAAAACCATAATCCCAATCTAGTGGCTAACATGAACCTAGCGAAGGGCTATTTCATTTTGATGTAAGGCCAGGGGTCTTGTTTCCAAACACCATGCTCCTAGTGATGGTGCCCAGCAGGACTGAAACTCCAAAAGGCAGGGACAGCCTCTACCTGATTGCACACAGCTCAGCCTTATGAACTGGAAGAGATCATACTGGTGCTCAGGGATCAGAATGTAATTCTCTCAAAAGTAAACCATATGTGACACAGTGTAAGGGTCAGTCTCTGCCCCTCCTCCAGTTTTTAAATCAAAGTGTTAACCTGCAGTAAAACGCATTTCATGAATGAAATGTCCCATGGTTCCAACTCTTAAGTTCTTACAAAAAGAAAAAAAAAATTACTTGAATCCAAGCTCATTCCAGGATACCCACCTCAGGTTTACATTTCAATTACTTAGAGAGACAGAGAGAGACAGAGAGAGAGAGAGAGAGAGAGAGAGAGAGAGAGAGAGAGAGAGAGAGAGAGTGTGTGTGTTTTGAGACGGAGTCTCATTATGTTGCCCAGGTTGGCCTCGAACTCCAGGACTCAAGCAATCCTCTTGCCTCAGCCTCAAAAGTAGCTGGCACTATAAGCATGCACACCACACCTGACTAAAAAAATCTATATTGACAGCTTCTTTTATTGCCATTTTCCTCTTTCTCTTACAAGCTAATGGAAGTAAAATAAAAGATTTTTCCAGCCTTTGGTTACCTTGGTTCTTTCCTTTTTTTAATGGTACTGGGGATTAAATGAAGAGATTACTGAGCTACATCTTTAGCCTATTTTATTTTTTTTATTTTGAAACAGAGTTTTACTGTTGCCCAGGCTGGTCTTGAACTTTCGATCTTCCTTCAGCAGGCTCCCCAGTAGCTGGGATTACAAGTGCGCTACCAAATCTATACCTACCCAGCTGGTTACCTGGATTCTTATAATCAAGGTCTGGCTGCATGTCACTGTCTTCTAATATGAATGAATAATCTCATCTTGCATTTCAGGTTCTATCCCCAGCCCTGGACATGCTCAGTGCATGGTTATTTTTCTCACATCCACCTCTACCTTTTCTCCCCTGACTGAGTCACATGCTTGCCCCTCTCCTTGCCTGACTGGACCCAAGCCACTTCCTCTGCCAATTCTTGACATACTTTTTCAAGCATTTTCCCATTATTCTCATTCTCCTGAATCATGGCACTCAAGGAAGAAAAGAACATGGGCATGGTGGCACACACACTACAGGAGGATGAGGCAGGGGGATCACAAGTTCCAGCCCACCCTGAGCAACTTAGCCTCTTAGTGAGAACCTGTCTCAAAATAAAAAAATAAAAACAAAAAAGGCTGAGGATGCAGCACAGTGCAAAGGCCCTGGGTCCAATCTCCAGAAGCACCCTCCCCCCAAAAGAAGGCTCACCCTGCCCATGCCTTTCACCCTGTCCTGGGCAAAATGCTGCCCTGCAGCAGTAGCTCTACCTTCTCCTTGCTCCCTGCACTTACAATGTGCTCACTGTACCCCTGCAGTCACTCTGAAAGGAATCCTCGTGAAATCTGGCTCCAACTCAGCAGATGTCAGGTTCTGCAGGAATGGTCCTGATCTCAAAACACATGACCCCTTACCAGTAATTCAAAGAGGAAGAGGTGACTTCCAAGCCCTCCACACAGGCCTGCACCAGACACTGTGGAAGGAGGGGGTACGCTATGCCACCACAGCCCAAGTAGGGACCCGCCTGGCAAGCAGGGGCCACCTATCTCTCAGCGGCAAGGCCCAGAACACAAAAGGTCTCCTGGCTGGTGTCACATTCACAGGACACAGCACCCTGAAGGCGCCACTCACTGGGAGGGTCGAGCCCAGCCTCCCTATCATCAGGCACAGAGCCAGGCACAGAGCAGCTGATGAAACGCCTGCTATCTGGTCAGTGCACACCCAGCTCCTCCTGGGGCTCCCCACCTCCTGAAGCTCCCTGTGGCTAAAGTGATAAGAGGAAGAAGTTATCAGTGCAAAAGAGCTCTGGACAACTCTGCAGACCACATGACAGGAAAGCAGCTGCCAAGCAAGGAGCAGGAGGGATGGAGATCGCATTAGCCCTGCTCTGGACAAGCACCTGCACACACTTCTTATACAGGCCCTGTTTTCCAAGTTTCGGATACAAAATACTTAGTATCAAAGCTTTCTAACCACATAGTTGAGGGGGCGTACTTCATACCTGGAAAACTGCCAAAGTCAATGGGAAGATTATTACTCAAATATAAACCTACAATTTTGAAAAAGGATTCTTGTATTAATTTTCTAAAAATTAACGGACACTGGAATTCTCTTCACTTTGGGGTTTTTGGTCTCTTGTCTTAAAGTGTCCGTGCCTGCTGTGTTTCAGGTGTGCCAAGGCCTGAGGCCTCTCTCAGGATGACCAGCTATGAATCAATGGTGACTCCACTTCCTCTTAGTCCTGCAAACACCAACAACCAGAATGGCTTTTGTATATAATGTAGAAGGACTTTTGAGGAAACCATAAGCTCTAAAAATGGGTTCTCATCAGATTTCCTCATAACATATGTATCTATCTGTTTAAAAGTTTAAAAAGCCAGGCATGGTGGTGCATGCCTGTCATCCTAGCACTCTGGGGTGGGGCTGGAAGGGGTAGGGTTTAAGGCCAGCCTGAACTACATAGAGAGACTCTGTCTCAAATAAATAAAGAAAAGTTAAAAAAAAAAAAGGCAATGTGCCAACTACAGGCTGATTTCTCAAATCACTCATCCAACATTTCAACAAGGCAGCCCAAACAGCTCTTAGGATGAAATAAGGAGCTGCTCTCACCTTGTGCAAGTCTTGGTGGGCAGGGCAGAGACAGGGAAGAGGTCACTGGGCCGACAGTTATTAGACAGGCAGGTATGGGCACAGCAGCACCAGCAAAGCCTCCCTCCTGAGGGAGGGTCTTGAGACCCTTGACAGCTAAAGTCTGAAAATGGAACAAAACAGATTTCCTTACTGACTGGATCACGCACAGGACTGCTGGGCACATTTCTGCACCCAGGGCACCAGCATCCATCTGCCTGGCTGAGCAACATTTCTCTGCACCTAAGGCGGCCCTGCTCTGTGCTGCACACAAGCCAGGAGCAGGACAAGAAGATAAATTAGGCACAGCTGCTTTGCAGCTTACCATCCAATGAGACCACTTGTCTCAATTTTCTCTCTTAAAATGGGAAAGAGGAAAAGGAGCTTTCCACCAAAATCTACAATGAAGTAACTCTTTTCACACCTAATATACCAAGATTCCCCCTAGACTCTTGTACAGGCACAGATGAAAGGTGGCACCCACCTATCCTGAAGTGCAAGTCTGCCCCAAATCCCGCACCCCTCCCCAGGAGGGCACCTTCTACAGCAAGAGACTCAAGGGTGACAGGCAACCTCAGGGACTCTCTGGGTTTATAGCCAATCATGATTTCCTTAACATTTCCCTCTCCTAAGCTAGAATCCCCAGCAAGAGATAGGACCACCCATTTTCTGTTGGCCAGTGTGATCCCACAGAGGATGAGGGCTCAACACATTTTTTGAAGCCTGCAGTCTTTGTAAGGAGCTACACTTCCAGCCCTGTTTTTTTATTTTTTTGAGACCAAGTCTTGCCAAATTGCTAAATTGTCCATGGTGGGCTCCAAGTTGCAAATCTCCTCCCTCAGCCTCCCAGAGTGCTGCAATTACAGGCATGGGCCACTGGATTAAACACATTTTTAAAGAGAAAATGAAGATTTAGAAAAACTTCAATAATTTATAGATCTTATCAGGCCATTGTGTTTAAACAGTCCTCCAATCACGGCTAAAAATGAAGAGCTGTGGAAAACTGTTTTTATTTGGATGTTTAAAAAAAGGACTTTTTGATTTCTTTAAAAAAGTTTGGGCCCGGGATTTAGCTCAGTAGTGCCACCGCCTGCTTCAAAAGCGCAAGGTCCCGAGTTCAATACCCGGTAACCTCCCCCCCCCAAAAAGTTATTTTAAAAAACTACTCAATCACGATTCAGTTGTATTATAGTCTCGTTTCTTGGGCCGAGGGTCAATGCCACTGTCCCCACTGAGCGCCACTGGGCTCACCAGCCAGAGAGCTGACAGCCCTCCTCCAGCGGTTCAGACCGCGTCCCTCCACCGTGTGAATGTTTTGCAAAATACCATAAGTGCATAATACAAGGTAGGCATGTTTTTGTTGCTTTGTTTTTGTTTTTGAATGAAGGGAACTCGAGCTCACTCTGAGAATGTTCCAAAGCAGACACTCTCATGAAGCTGGTGGCGGACGGACCGAGCTCAGTAAGCGGTTGTGCTGTCGTCGCCCGGCACGACCCGGAGAGAACCTGCCTCTACTCCCCGCCGCCCGACGTCCCCCCCGGAGCGGCTCCCTTACCTGCTAGCCTCCGGCGCTCAGGGCGCACCAGCGCCAGCAGCTTCCGAGCCTCGGAGCGCCCAGTCGGGGAGCTCGCCCGCCTGTCGTCCCCAGGGTCCGCCGCCGGCGCGCGCCGCCCAACCTCGGCCCCTGTACGAGCCACCACCGCGGGGGCGTCCTGTAGCCCAGCGCGCGGGGCACCCGGCCTAGCCAGGGCTGCGTACCTGCGGGCTGCGGGGGACACGGCCGAACGCACCAGGGCACGCGCGAGGCTCACGCCTCCCGGCAGCGCCGGTTGCAGGCCCGTCCACGCCAGCGGGGTCCCGAGGGCATGCGGAGCCAGGGTCCATGTCTGGGCGGCCGTGGCCCACGCAGGACCCGACGGCGTCCACGTGCGGGCGGCCAGGCACCGCCGCGCCAGAAGCAGCACCGGCCAGGCAGGAGGGCCGCGCATGGCGCCGCGTCCAACCTGAGCCCTTCACCCGCCGCGCGCCCGAGGACACCCTCAGCCGGGCCCGGGCGCAGGGCGTGGACACCGCGCCTCCCGTCCCTCCTCGCCTGTCCCTCCCTGCCTTCGGCCGCCCGCCCGCCCCATCGGACTGGTGCCCCTGACCCGCCCTTCCACCCAGCCTACCCATGGGCGGTGACCCGACTGAGCCCTCGAGCGCCCCCGCCCGGCAGAGAGCTGCAGAGCCCGACAGGGTGACTGCGCCTGCGCATGGCGGGTGGGCACTTTTTCCGCACTCCGGCACCCTCCCGCCTGTAGATTTGGGCCTTTTCTCACACCAGGGACTGGCAGAGCGCGCAGGCGCGGTGCACACAAGGCCGTGGAGCAGACGTTAGGTAAAAACTGGGCTGTGGGAAGTAGTGTGACCGATTGCTGAGTTACCCGGTGCCGGTGCAGAGCCGGTGCATGCCGGTCGAGGCGCGGAAGCACTGCTGGAAGACACAGTGGGGCCAGGGCGGCTGGTGGAGGATGGCCGGGGGGCAACGAGAAGCGTCACCGCTCTGCGTGAGGCCCGAGACCAGCGGGAATGTAGGGTCCTCGCAGGGAGGGGACCGAACAACAGTTTTGAGCCTGGGACCAGGGAGGTGGAGTTTCGAGGGCTCCGAGGAATTTTACCTGGTCTGGGACTAGTTGAGAGGCACTCGCCCCTATTTGCAAAATGTATGGGTTTACAGGACGAAAAAAACTTCAGTAATCCAGATAAACATTCTAGTACAATATTTTTAAAAATCAAGATGAATGCAAAATAGAAAAGATCAATAACCAACAAAAACTCAAAATTCAAATTCAGGACCCCACTCCCTGAACTTGCATAGTCCTGTCTTCTCACCCTAATCCCAGCCCTGGAAACTTCATTTATGAAAACAGGTACCAGCTTGTTGTAGTTTCCAATCTGATTTTTAAAATTGTTATTAAGATAAATTTTATGTTACTTAACTTGGTTACAGATATACTTTAGCACTTCCTTAAATTTTACTCCCAGGCCAGTGCTTTACTTGTGCTTTGCACTGGCTTGTGAAGTGGGGAATATGAATCTCATCCCCTAAAATCTAGCCCTGTAAACCCAGGGAGGGAATTCGGTCTTCCTCATGCAACCGCAATTGTGCCTAGCTTCTCACCCGTACAGAAACTTAGAATCCAGGGTGTAGGGTGAAGTAGAGGGCAGTTCCTTTGGAGGTAGTTTTGTGAGGTGACCTCTGAAAACGACAGCTGCGCATCGTCATGTCTTGATCTGATCCTGCCACTTGCTCTCTTGTGCCCAGAAGAAAGTGTGACAACAGCTTGCTTGGAGACTTTGACCATTTTTTATTTTTATTTTTTTGGTACCGGCGATCAAACTCGGGTCCTTGCATTTGCAAGGCAAGTGGCGGAACCACTGAGCTAAATCCCCGGCCCTTTTTTTTTTTCACACACCACATCGGTCACTTTGACCATTTTTAACTCAAATCTGAGTTTTCTTTGTTGGGTTTGGTTTTTTGGTTGTTTTGTTTTGTTTTTCTTTGACCCAGGGTCTTGCTATGTAGTTCAGGCTGGACTTGAACTTACTTTGTAACCCAAAATAGCCTCGAACTCCAGGCAATTCTCCTGACTCAGTTGGGATTACAGCTGTGCGTCACCACGCAGGGCCAGAGTTTCGTTTTTCTCTCTTTCCCACTTGGAGAAACCATTGCTGCTGGGAGGTCAGGGAATGAAGGTTGCCTCCCTAGCAGCATTCTATCCTCACTCCTTTCTCAGCTAACACTCTCTGGGTCTGAACAGAAAAATAATTTGAGTGTAGCTAATTAAAAAGGGGTGGGGATCGTAGTGTATCCCTGTAATCCCAGAGCTCAGGAGGCTGAGGCAGGATGATCTCAATGACTTCAAGGCCAGCCCGAGCTACCTAATGAGTTGGAGGCCAGCCTGAACTACATAGCTTGCAAGACCCTGTCTCAAAAAACAAGCAGAAAAAAGTATGCAGGTTTGAGATAAGAGATTACGGCGTGCAATGCTGGCTGGGGTAGTAGGCATGACCTGTTAATTACAAGATCCCAGACACATGCACAGAAGAGTTCCCAGAGCCCTGCATGTGGACTTCTCGTGAGAATTTGAGCAGATTTTCAGTAGGCAGTCTAGATCTGATGTCACCCTGAGGAGACCTGGGAGCCCAGCATTGCCTCTTAGGATCCATATGTAGTTCTCGAGGTTTTCCTTGAAATTTGGACAATATAAAGGATATGCAGCACTGCGCCTGCCTGGCAAGCATAAGGTCCTGAGTTCAAGTCCTAGTACCCACACAGATGCTGTGAAGAGTACTCTATGTTCCCAGACACAGCATGTTCTTTTAGTTTTGCTTTTACCTTCTTTTTCTCTTCACTCAGCCCAAACTCACTCCGCAGAGTTTCTCCCCAACTCTTCACTTCTTTTTTAACTCTTCGCTTTTATTTTCTGCAGTAAATTTGGCCATTGCTTTTTGCTCATTTTGTTCAAGTCTTTGTTTGAGACAAGAAGAACCTGGAATCTAACTCCAGACGGAGAGGCAAGCAACCCAGAACCCAGTAACATTTAGTTGGCGAGCCACTTTTAGAAGCAAGCTACCGGATAACAGGTTTGCTGACTCCCGTCACGGAAAAAGAACTTTCAGGACTTGTGAGTAAAATAGGCACGTGAGAGATTTATTAGGGATAGATATAGGAAGCACTCAAGGGTGGAGTGTGGATGCTCAAAGAAAGGAGGCACAACACAGTTGGGAATGTAACATCTGGGGAGAGGTGTACACCATGCCATGCTATTATAGACAGCTAAGTTAAAATATTAGAGGAGTCAATGCAGAAGATAAGAACATAACTGGCTGGAGCACATTCCTTGAAAGTCAGGCTTCAAGACAAAGAAAAATGACTACACCCACATACTTCCCCTAGGGATGAATAGCAAATGATATTCTAAATAGATGTCAATCACGTTGGGTGGGGGACCAAAACCTCCCTAGCCCATTCCTTCCCGGAAAATCCTTGTTGCTTCCCCATTTGATCTCCATTTAATCATTATTACCTAAGCGACTATACTCATAATCTTATTAGCTGATCGTAATATTGACCCACCATATACACACCTTGTGATTTTCCATTGGATCAATATTACTTAAGTAACCATACTGTTGTAATCCTATTGGTTACCTTTAGTTTTGTCCCACCTTGTACCCACCTCACCTCATGGCTTTGCTCTATAAAACTCCCTTGAGACAGAAGATCCCCCGGTAACCCACTTCCTGGGCCCCCTTCTGTCTCTCTTAGAAACTATCTTTCTCTGAAGTATTTCCTACTCTTCACCACCTAGAATTCATTCTTTGGTTTTGGAGAACTTGAACTTGGCGTATGAGACATCTAACAGGTTGGGAGTTACAATATTTCCCTTATATTATTTGGAGGTCCATATATCACCCCTTTACATATGCCCTATAGCAATGCCAGACCACGCCATGTCACACCACACCACTGCCCTGCTGGAACACGCAGCTCCTGGTAGTCCTGAACACATCATTAGTAAAAGAACTAAAAAAGCAGAGTTTAAAATGAAAGATGATTTATTTGAAGGTGGAGGAAGAGGGAGAGGTGACATGCTACTCTGGATGAATGGGGAGTATTCAAAAGTGAAATACTCTTGGACTTCTCGTCCACAGCTCCTTTTATTTTATTTTATTTTTTTTTCGTACTGGGGATTGAATTCAGACCTTGCGCTTTCGCAGCAGGTGGTGAAACCACTGAGCTAAATCCCCAGCCCCTACAGCTCCTTTTATTGAGACCTTTCTCCCCACATAGACTCCTGGAATCTGATGGGCTCCATGGCTTGTCTTTCATCCTAATGTTGGATTTCTTCTGGCCATGACTTTTCCCTGTCCTTGAATATGACTGGGGGCCTTATGGAAAGGTAGTTTAGGGTTAAGGATTAAATAAAGGGGAAATGTGTGATTCTTATGTCAATCGCACTATCTGAGACCTTTGTAGACCTGGTTGTCTAATTGCTCAAGTCTAGATGCAGAGGTGGAAGCTGCCTATTAATTTTTAATAAAGCTCAATGAGGCCTTCATCCTATCATTTTCCTATCTATGGGGGGCCCCTGTCCCTACAGGAACTATGGATCTTTTATGTGTTTTGGGAGGTGGAAATCTGTGGATTTCAATAATCTATAGTCTTAATCTAGATTTAATGGGTGGGAGAGGATGGCCCACCCCTAGTACGATAATGGACTATTCCTATGGGAAATCCCAAAAGAGTGGTTCCTTAATGGGAGAAAGAAGACCATTTGCAAGTAAAAGTTGGAAGTGTTTTTTTTTTGTACCGGCGATCGAACTCAGATCCTTGTGCTTTCAAGGCAGGCAGAGGAACCACTGAGCTAAATCCCCAGCCCTGCAAGTAAAAGTTAATGAGCAGACCCATTTGCAGATGAAAGGAAGTTGGCCAAACTTGCTGTTTTGGAAGAAGGAAAAAAGTAAATAAACTGAGCTATGTTCTGCAGCTGCAGTTGGTTTTTTTTTTGGTACCAGGGATCCAACTCAGGTCCTTCAGCTTGTGAGGCAGGCGGTGGAACCACTGAGTTAAATCCCCGGCCCCTGCAGTTTTCTTTAAAGTACAATTTTGGGGCCAGGGATTTAGCTCAGCACCGCCTGCTTCGAAATTGCAAGGTCCTGAATTCGATCCCTGGTACCAAAATAATAATAATAAAGTACAATTTTAAAAATCTCAATGTCCTTGTTTCCTTCATTTCTTCTATCTTAACTCAATGCATCCTGAAAATTCTTTTTCTGTGATGGGAGTCAATGAACCTGCAAACTTATTTTATTTTTTCAGTACCGGGGATTGAACTCAGGACCTTGCACTTGCCAGACAGGCACAGCGGCACTGAGCTACATCCCCAGCCCTGCAAATTTATTTTAAAAGGGTGGGCTAGGTTCTACATTTCAGACTTGGGGACCCACAGACCTGGCCAAGTGGCATTTATCTTGGCAACCATGAAGAGACTTAAAAAGAGACACAGAGACTATAGACATCTTAACTTTGGTTTGACTTGAAAGGTGATGGTTCTCAAAGGACGGGACCTAATGTATATTCCTGTGTCTGCTTTAAATCAGTCCGGATGAGAGTGAACCTATGCAGGATCAAT